ATCAGAACCCTGCACTCTTGACATTGCTGCTACATGAATAATCTTGCAAACCTGTACATCTTATTTGGATTACATGTGAGTGTGAGTGTGAGTGTGAGTATCTTTACAGTACAATTAAAGGAACTGGCGCATTGAACGGTGATCTGTAACCTTTTTACATATACAGTGTAGTTATTAGTATAAACTTGCACTTTTACTTTCCTTCATTTATTTATTTAACAATCTACACAGACGTGTTTTGTACCATCTTAAAAGGGGGGGCCTATGAATTTTACACTGAAATTAATTTTTTCGTTTTTTTTTAAATATTTTACAGTTGTTACAAATTAGACGAAAGTAATATGAACGGTAGTAAACTAAATAGGTGCAAAACAAAATAACCCTCATTGTTAAGTTCAATTAATCCAGGGCACAATGAATATGTAGTTCAGGTGGTTATCTACGTCTCGAGTTTGTCTATTACTCCTTTCATTTGTTCATTCTGAAAATGAAAAAGATCTACAATATGCTAAATATCCCAAATGATGACCTAAATTAATCAGGTGCAAATTTTCATTTCAATATGTGGTTTGTTTCTTCTTTCTTCATCTTTTTCTATTTGCTCATGAGCACAAACACTTGTTTTGTTTTTGTTTTCCTTTTTTTTCTCAGCTTCTAATGCAATGTATATCGGTTTTATTGCAGGATTGTAAATTCTTAGATTATCAAATTAAGTCATCTGGCATTAACACGCTCAAAACCAATACGTTTGTAATTTTATAAAAATGGGCTGATTTTTTTTTGCCTTAACAACTGTATTGTACAAAAATAACAATTATCAAATTTCTTTAGGGCATTTAATTCATTGTACCTAGAATTAAGAAACATTAGACATGATTCAAATCCTTCTTTTTGTATTCTATTTCGTGATTCTAAACCATTAAAATAAGAAAAAAATGAACGTGAATTAAACAAGCAAAAAAAGAAAATGCACCCATAGCCGAGGCACATACACTATCTAACTGTTCGGAGGAAAAGCACTTGCTTTTGTTTGATAATTAGAGCAAAGGAAATGTTTAACTAAACACTCTTTATCTTGTGATAACACGCCTTTAAAAACGAGTCACCCTTCTTATCGTTGTTGTAGCCTTACCACCGAACATGATTCTTTCAAGATAAAATAAAAAAAAAAACAAAGAGATAAAGAGAATTCCCTTAGTTTCATTCTTCTTCATTACTGTTTGTGATTCTATGCGAATGAATTCACTTGTCTGCAATTAATTTCATCCTGGCTTTCGTTTTTTTAATTCGTTCCTTTGAAAAAAAAAAAGATCTTTAATCTTCTTGATCTTCTTCTTCTTCTTCATAGTCATATACAGGTTCGGATTTTGGAACGTGTTGTTTCTTAACTCCAGTCCATCCTGTATATTAGACTAAAATGTGACAAATTTATCCGTGGATTTAAGAACTTTTTATTTTAAAGGGTATTAATTTCATTTACAAATCATCTTAGGGTTAATTAGTGTGTAAGACAAACTAAGCAAGCAGTTGTTGCTTTTTTTTTCTTATAGAAAGTAGCTTATCAGATGAAACGGATGACAAGAAAACAAATATTCATTTACGTGTCATACCATCACAAGTTTGTATTTTTTTTTTTGATAGAAGCAGAATTATCCGTATCAGCACAAAAGATAGTGACAAAATTTGAATTATCACGTCTTCTTTGACGCCTGAAGCATCCCTTAAACCGACTACTAACCAAAGCGTGAGTCTTTTGTGATTTGATTTTGTAATTTTTCGTTGTAATCTGCAAGGGATAAAGTAGTCATTTGATGCCAGTAATCAAGTATTACTTTTTTTTTAATACATCTTGCTTAAACTGTGTTAGACCGAGAGAGTGAGAGAGAGCGCGTGTGTGTGTATGTGTGTGTGTGTGTGAGTTCTATTTTACTATCAATTCTTACTTCATCCTCTTCTCTCTTTTTTTGTTTCCTTTTCACATATTGCATATGTGTTACTTTATGGTTATTTCTAATTTCGGATTTTGAAATTTGTGTAAAGAATTGAAAACATATGACTCAAAATAAAATCTTACTTCGATTCTCGCGAGAGTCGCACCGCGTTTAAACGGAAATAGTTATCCACCAATATCAGCGTTGACCATCTAATAAAAGAAGAAATTCAGGATTATCTAAACGAATGATTTAATTGGTGATTCACATGATGGACGAATCAAAGAGTAAAAGATTTGGGAGTGATTTCATTGTTGGTTTTAATCTTCTTGTATCATAGTTAGGAGAATTTCAGGTATTTTTTGCATAGAATATTATGTAAAATTTTCTATTTTTATTATAGCGATTCATCTTCTCTTTGTTGGATTCCAACTGTTTCAGGCGCCAATGAATCATTACATGCTTCAATGTCAATACTTATTATTAAAGCTAGGCAACGCATTTATTTACTGCAAAGGTCATGATGTATATATCTATATCTATTATTTGTTCCTCACATATACATGTAATTAACGACAATCAACATCTAGATCCTGTTTAAAAATTAATAATAATAATAATAAATAATAATGAAAACATTCATTGAAGAACATTAATACTAATAAAGAAAGAAAAAAATGAAAACCCTCAGTTCAAACCCCCTTTATTCTACTCTAATCTCTATCGCTTCGCTACTGCCACCCCTAAGTAAATATATTAAAAACAAAAAAAGGTTATTACTAGGGGGTTGCCTAGAACATCTCGTTTAATCGTTATTGTGATAACTTTCACTTTGTTAAGGTTTCTATTTTGAGACTCATTCTTTTGAGGACAATTGTACAATAATTGAATAAAGAAAATGCAATGCACTGCAGCGTATATGTGGAACAAACTAATCATAAGTTGTAACAATAATAGAATGCGCAATCTAAAATTGAGCATATTAACAAAAAAAAAAAAAAAAAAGGATCACTTTAAATCTGGATTTTAGATCCGGAGTTAAGCTAAAGAGAATAATGTAGCGAAGAATTGAAAAGACACGAAACTCCCCGTAACGATACAATGAATCATAATTTAACTTAGTCTTTGGTGTTTTATATTCTTTTATTTTTTTAGTACTCATCTACAGTGACGGAAATGATTGGCACTGTACATCAATTGTGCCTTAGAGTATGGTACAAAAGATCTACATTGTCATATGGATAAAGTCCCAAAACGCCTAAAAATGTTGAAGTCAAAGTAAGTGGATTTGATTGTTTACAATAGTTACCTTCTCAGTTCTAAATGCTCATGCTTTGTAAGAGTTTTTGTTTTTAGTTCTTGAATGATTTTAGATGAGCAGTGCTTTTATGTTACTGTATGTGAAATCTATTGGTAACATAGCAGAACATTAGATTACGTATAATCTTGCCTACTTTTCATTGTATTATGATCATGCTAGTTCTTTCATTGTTTGTAGTTGCACCCAAGAAAATTACCTCGGGCATTATATCCATACCAGTTCATAAAACCGAGAGGTGATTTACTGTGGAATATAATCAACCCGTTTTAATACTACACCACTATACTCCCCCAATTCAACAAAAAAAAAAGAAAAAATTACAACAACAATTCAACATGCTTGAATCAAGAAATTCAACAATCAAACATATACGATGCCATAATAGTGATAAAAAAACTATACAAATTGATTAAAATCAAACTGAATTTCAGTTGAATCAACAGATCGCGCTCTTGGGTCCTCCGCCCCTTTAAATTTCATCCCTCATGAGAAGAAATGAAATGAAATATGCCAAGTTATTGTGATTCTTATTTCTTTTTCATTTGATAATTGGATATCATTCACGCAACTTCCAATGTTCAAAATAGATCAATTTAAGTCGTATGTCTTAGCCTCTATTTTGACAAGAAATAGTACAAAAAAATCGTAAATCTTTCCTAATTCAGTCAGATATTCAACTAGTTCAAAATCCTGAAATGCGCATGTTGAATAACTCTTATGAGAATATTCATGAGTGGTCCCCCCACCCGATTCAATTTTCCTTTGTTAGAAGAAACAAACACTAACCAATTGATTGAACTTCTTAAATCATATAGTTATTAATCTTCTCTGCATGGTTTGAATTTCATTATATCTAGACAATGTCCAAAATAAGACACATGTCTAGAATTATTATTATTGTCTATTTTTCTATTTTTTTTTGCTATACATTTGGAACCATGGAAAGGATCCCCCAAATGCAAAAATAGCCAACTAACATTCTACACTCAGAACCATAAGTATTAGCATACATTAAAGTGAGACACTGTACCTGCGATACAAATACTACATAAAGTTCAAGCATAAATAATAATCATCTGGTAATTGTTATTTTTTTTTTAGCAGGATTCCCCAAACTCACAAGCTTTGCCTAGCATTATGTATTCACGGATTTACTGAAGACGTTTATTCCGTATTCACATGAAACTAAATGTAACTACAATGTGAATGCTATGCTAGAATTAGTTAACGAGTCTGCTGCTGTGATATATATGGTAGTCATAGTACGGTTTTTACCGATTCTTACTGGAATCGAGGAGAAGAAAAAAAACGATTGTCGAAACTTCATTCCCCCATCTACAATTCAAATACAACAATGAATGACATTACTTGTTTTGTTGGTCTACGCTAAATAATTAAAGAATCAAATAGTTTGTCATTCATTTATGCCTGTGGTGGTGGAAGAGGAGTAGTGAACGAATAAGAGTCATTGGTATTATTTTTCGTGGTATCAATTAATAGACTCAAGCCATCGGCTACAGTCATTCGTTTGGCACGCGGGAAAAAAAAAGGAACGGAAAGCTAAGTGAATATTTTCGCAAGACATTGAAAGAGTCATACCACACTCACACACAGCATTAATCTTGTGGTTTTCTTTTTTCTTTTTCTTTTTCTTTTGTTCATATTAAGTGGAGAATTTTCTTTGACGGTTTTTTTTTATTGAATATTAATTGTTGAAAAATTATTTTCTTTGATAGATTATCTATTACATGTTTAGACAACTTATATCAAGACAACAAATACCAATCAGGAATACAATCTCATCATCAATTAGACTTATGACTTCTTCTGCCACCATTAATTCTAATCACAAAACTGAACCTACCCCAGCTAGACTGGAAGATCCAGAGACTACCACTCAAGAACCAATTATTTTTGCTCCACAAACTTACCAATATACTAAAGGACATTTAGGAGAAACAGAAATAGAAAAAGATCCATTGATTCAATTTAATAAATGGTTCAAGGAAGCTCAAGATACTTTACCAGCTGATTCTGATGTCATTGTTGAAGCAACAAATTTTTCTACGGCAAGATTACCAAGTGGTAGAGTCTCATCACGTATTGTTTTATTAAAAGAATTAGATAAATATGGATTTTTGGTTTATTCCAATTGGAATACTTCTAAAAAGGCTAAAGATTTTGAACTGAATAAATATGCAAGTTTAACATTCTTTTGGCCTCATGCTCAAAGACAAGTTAGAGTTGAAGGTATTATGGAACATGTTACTAGAGAAACATCTGAACGTTATTTCAATACTAGGCCAAGAGGTTCAAAAATAGGTGCTTGGTCAAGTCCACAAAGTTCTGTTATCCAATCTCGTGATGATTTAGATGAAATTAAAGATAAATATAAAGATAAATTTAAGGATTTGAAAGATGATGAAATCCCATGTCCTGAATATTGGGGTGGTATCAGAATAGAACCATTAGAAGTCGAATTCTGGCAAGGTGGATTAAGTAGATTACATGATCGTATTACTTATAGAAGAGAAAGAAAAGAAGATCCAAATTGGGAAATTGTCAGACTTGCCCCATAGTTTCATTACTATTCAGATTCATTTCTGCCTTTTTTTTGTTTTGTTTTGTTTTGCTTTCTGTTAGACATATTGTATATATACATGAAACTTTATTTACAAAAATAGAAACTAATTAAAAATAAAAGTAATAATAAAATCCATTATCAAAATTATCGTAGGAGATGAGAATTCTATTCAAGTTTAACCATAACTGGACCTTTGTTGCTCTTTTTAATATGTTTAACTTCTTGATGATTGTACAATCCTGCTTCTTCTCTTTGTGGAACCCAATCTTTAGATTTCAATCTTCTTTGTTCATCAGTTTCAAATTTACCAGGATAAATAACTCTTTCATCTAGTGGATTCAAATCACTTTGTGGATTAACTGGTTCTTCAAGTAATCCATTCTTTCTCTTTAAACTTTTCAAAAAAGTTCTAATTTCAGCAAAACAATTCATACACATGAAATGAGAACGTTTAACACTCCCACATGCCGAACATCTAACAATATTATTTATAGGATGGACTTGTTTATTCCCTGAAGCATACAACTTCTTTCTTCTTCTAGCTCTAGACATTTTCTTTTTAGGAACAGCTTTTAAAATTGTACCATTATCAATCATAAATGGAGCTTCTCCAGATTCTTCAATTTTTTCTTTCAATTCTCTTAATCTTTCATCCATAGGAAGTGATTGTTGATTGCCGAGTTTATTTTGTAATCCAAGACGAATAGTTATAGAAGGTAAACGTGGAACCAAACCCCATAATGATTCTTGAAGGGATGTAACAGCTCCAAATCTTAATGATAATGACATGTTGGTGATAATGAAAGTGTTGATGATAATCAACTGGAAAGACCTTTGAATGAAAAATTTTCCTTCTCTCTTTTTTTCTTTTTCTCCCAGCTCTTGGAACACTTTAAGATCGATTCTAATTGAGTGAGAGAGAGAAAGACGTGCAGGATGTTCAAAAATGGCAAACAACAGATAATGATAACCACAGTCCCAATGATGGGTAATACTACAAATGAGTAGAATGTTGCAAGTGTATAAAGTATTTAACAACGAAAGAAGTATCCATGTTATTATTATTGGTCTGAGTAGAGATTACCCTCAGTCGAAGAGAATCTAGGGGAGAACAACACTTTCCCCATGGAACGGACGTCTAGGATCATTCACACACATTTAATATACACCAACACATCTTACAAGACTGTCAATACTTCATTATATCTACAACAAACCATGGAGAGTCAACATAGATTCTTGAAACATTGAAACATTGAAACATTTTCATTGTTTACGATTATCCAGGGCACGCGCGTTAAGCAAAATCAGCGAGAAGGAAAAAAAAAGAGACAGCATGAAAAAAATACAAGCAAATCTCACATACAAAATTTCTTACACGAGAAAGAAAGAAACAAACAACAACAAAAATTTTTTTTTCTGTTTTCATGTTGTTTTTCTTTTTCCCACTTTCTTTTTGCATTTGTTATTTTTTTTTTTTTGTATTTTTGGAGACACATTACCAAACCATATAATCAATCATGTCATTTGAAGAATCTACAGTGCCAGCTGTTACTCAACCACAGAAATATGTTGGGTTTGATACCATTACCACTCAAATCGAAAACAGATTATTGAAAAGAGGTTTCCAATTCAACGTTATGGTTGTTGGTAGATCAGGCTTGGGTAAAAGTACTTTAGTCAACACATTATTCTCTTCAAAATTAACTACATCTCATGGAAGAAAGCTGCCTAATGAACCTATTGAAAAAACCACCGAAATCAAAGTCACTTCTCATTCTTTGGTGGAAAACAATGTTAGATTGAATATTAATGTTATTGACACTCCTGGATTTGGCGACCAAATAAATAATGAAAAATGCTGGGATCCATTGGTTAAATATGTTAAAGAACAACACTCCCAATACTTGAGAAAAGAATTAACTGCACAAAGAGAAAAATATTTGGCTGACACTAGAGTTCATTGTATATTGTATTTTCTTCCTCCAAATGGTCAAAAATTGAGACAATTGGATGTCCAAGCTTTAAAAAAATTATGTGACATTGCTAATGTTGTTCCAGTTATTGCCAAATCTGATTCTTTGACTTTGGAAGAAAGAAGCGAGTTTAAGAAATTGTTGCAACAAGAATTTTTGAAATACAAGTTCAATATTTACCCATATGATAGTGAGGATTTGTATGAAGAAGAAAGACAATTGAATGAAGATATCAAATCGTTAATTCCATTTGCTATTGCTGGATCAGAAAAGGAAATTGAAATTAACGGGGAAATGGTTAGAGGAAGAAAAACCAAATGGGGTGCTATCAATATTGAAGATGTCAGCCAATGTGAATTTGTCTTTTTAAGAGATTTCTTGACCAGAACTCATTTACAAGATTTGATTGAAACCACTGCCTTGACTCACTATGAAACCTTCAGATCCAAACAATTGATTGCTTTGAAGGAAAATGCGTCTAATCCAAATAGACAATCCCAAGTTCCAAAAGAAATCCAGGGTCCAACTTCTCAAACTTCTAATTCTGATTTGAAAAATGTTACTGGCGGTCCAACTGCTCCAATGTACCAAACCACTTCAGGTAACAACGGAGGTGCTGCTGTAGCTGCTAAATAAATAGATGTATAAAAGAATACCTACTGTTTGCTGCTTTGTTTTGCTTGATTTCGATTAGTGCCTTTCCTCTTTCTGTTTCATTTATATATTTAGATTTGATCTACACGAATTTATTTTTTATTACACTGAAAAGACGTGTAGCTTTTTTTTTTTTTTTCTTACTGACGCGCGAAGACACTTTTCATAGAATTTTTTTTTTTTTTTTTTTTTGCTTTAGTTCTTCGTTCTTTTCTGTTTATTATATCATATTATCAACTTTTATATTTACAATGGGTGTTAAAGGGCTTAATAAGTTAATCAAGGAGCATTCTCCTAATGCATACAAAGAATATCAATTGAAAAATCTTTTTGGAAGAAAAGTTGCTATTGATGCATCAATGTGTCTTTATCAATTTTTGATTTCAGTAAGACAATCAGATGGACAACAATTAACCAATGATGATGGGGAAACAACATCCCATTTATCAGGGATATTTTATCGTACGATTAAAATGGTTGAAAATAACATTAAACCAGTTTATGTATTTGATGGTAAACCACCAGTATTGAAAGGAGGAGAACTAGAAAAGAGATTATTACGTAGAGAAGAAGCTCAAAAACAAAAAGATGCACTTAAAGATGAAGGTACAGTTGAAGATCATTTAAAATTTGAAAAAAGATTAGTTAGAGTATCAAGAGAACAAAATGAAGAAGCTAAGAAATTATTAGAATTAATGGGAATTCCAATTGTTGAAGCTCCATGTGAAGCTGAAGCACAATGTGCTGAATTAGCTCGTGGTGGTAAAGTATATGCTGCTGCATCTGAAGATATGGATACTTTATGTTATGAACCTCCTCAATTATTAAGACATTTAACCTTTGCTGAAGCTAGAAAAATCCCAATTGATGAAATATCTTATAAAGAAGCCATGGCAGGGTTGGATATGAATAAAGAACAATTTGTTGATTTGTGTATTTTATTGGGTTGTGATTATTGTGAAACTATTAGAGGTGTTGGTCCAGTCACTGCTTATAAATTAATTAAAGAACATGGATCATTAGAGAAAATTGTTGAATGGATAGAGAAAGGAAATACTAAATATACTGTTCCTGAAAATTGGCCATATGCTGAAGCAAGAGAATTGTTCTTAAATCCAGAAGTTAAAAAAGCAAGTGACATAAGTTTGAAATGGAAAGAACCAGATGTAGAAGGATTGATTGAATATATGGTTAAAGGCAAAGGGTTCAGTGAGGATAGAATCAGAAGTGGTGCTGAGAAATTGAAAAAAGGTTTGAAAGGGGGAGTTCAAGGTAGATTGGATTCATTCTTTACGGTAGTTAAAAAAGATGATGGCAAGGACAAAAAGAGAAAATCAACTGCCAAAGACACTAAATCCAAAAAACAAAAGAAGTAAGTGTGTATAGATAGATAATTCTGTAATATGTATATTTGCAATTGTATATTTAAAAACCAAAAAAGCTTTCTATCTAATCTTTGGATTTTGTTTTTTTCTTTTCAGCTTCAGCTTCCTTTTCAGCTTCAATTTCATCGACATATTTCTTTATTTCATCAATATCCAATTTCTTAATAACAGCACCTGGCTTCAACACCGAGACTTCAATATTCTTGGCCCCGGTTTGGACAACTTCCAAAAGTGATTTCACAGTCAACTTGATGGTATCTTCCTCACTCAAGTCTTCTTCGTAGTGTTTTTCTAAGAATTCCTTAACTGTTTTTGAAGATCTACCAATGGCATGAGCTTTCCAAGCATTGAAAACACCCGAAGGTTCAGTTTGAAATAATTTTGGAACATCATCACGGACATCAAAACCAGCAATCAAAGTGGCAATACCAAATGGTCTAACACCACCAGATTGAGTATATTTTTGCTGTACACCAGCAACATATTTGGTCAAATATTCAACACTTACTGGATCTTCCAAAGTCAATTTATGGGATTGTGCTTCTACTCTTGCTTTATCAACCAATATTCTGGCATCGGCATTTAAACCAGCAAAAGCTAAAAGAATATGATGATCAACTTTACATATTTTTGAAGGTGTAATTCTTGGATCCTGTAATTTCAACGCTGTTCTCTTCTCACATCCTAATACCACAGTATTCTTTCCTTTAACTCCAACTGCACAAGTACCTCTCTTGACTGCTTCAGAAGCATATTCAACCTCTATAATTAAATGTATGTTAGTATTAACTGTTCATTTTCAAACTCGGAAGGGAATATTATCTAAAAAATACATACGAAAAACATGTCCGTCAGGTCTAGAATAATTTATGTTAGTATATAAAACATTCATTGCATTGAATGAAACCAATTCATTGAACAATCAAAGATTATTAATACATACGAAAAAATTGATAATGCACTGTCGTATCCACTCATTGTATAGTTGTTGCCGTTGTTGATTAAGTTAAGTTGGTCGCTATTGGAATTTGTTCCAACCTTTTTTATTTTTTTTTTTTTGCCTTCTTGTCGTGTTACAAGAAGATTTTCTTTGGATTTGATACAAATACACGACAATGCGAAACATCATAATTAGCACTCGATTTTATTTCGATTATGCCCTATTTGAATATGTTTATATATATATACTTGAGTTTCCTCGTATCTTGGGAAATTAAAACTTTTTAGAATAAAAAGTTGCCATTTTAATTTAACAAGAATATTATATTTCTGATCATAGAAGCCCACCCATTCTAAGTGAATATCTACAAAATCAAATATCAGACTCATACTAGAATGCACAGATTGGCTCAATTTCTATTGTTACAGATATCAATACTTCTTAAAACATATAGTATAGTCATTTTTTTAAGATATAAAGTGTTTAATTATATTATATATAATGAATCATATATCCTTCCAATAGATATGGAATTATAGCAGATTTTGTATTTTATATGGCGAAAAGAGATTTAAGTCAATTTTTGGAGAATTTTTCGTGCGTGAACCAATTTAAATTTTACGGGAATAAATCAATCGAGTTGCTGATGAACCCCTTAGGAAACACCAGATACCCTAAATATTAGAATTATATAATAAGAATGGTATGAAAGGAATACTATTTATATTAATATTCTAATGAACACAGTTTCAGCGGCCTGGATATCATAATTTTTGAGTTATTTGGGAAAATTATAATTCCCGAAGAAAAAAAGATACTTTGATTTTTGAAGAGTAAGGTTTGATAGATAACTCCATCAATTGTTAACCAATTCACCCAGGATTGGATGTGGTGATAATAAACAGCGATTCAAATAATATCATGTTGTTCAAACGACGATAATCGAGCCAGAATCAATAGATCTAGCAAAACATAGACAACTTCATGAAATTACTTTGGTTTTAAAAATAAGCAAATTAATTCTTTGTCGTCGCATTTTTGGAAACTTTCTTAAAATTAATGAGGTTTCCAATTTTCCACGTTTTGACAACTTTGGGCAACCTTATGATGATGCCACTTTTCAGCAACATAATGAGGTTTTCAACAAACTAAAAAGAATGCTGCGATTTCTCAATTTTGGTTATTTCAAAAAGACTCCCTCAACTTTATTATTTCACCTTTTTTTTTCCAAAATCTTGCAACAACATCAGTTGACTGCTACTAGCTTTGATATTATTTTTGTTATTTGAAAAAAGTGGAAACCACAACAATATCGATAAACAATATAGCGGAATACTATGAATATTCGGATAGACTATCATTTTATATAAAATATCGACAAATATACATCAGCGGCAATTATTGAAACTATTCAGGAGCTACTCAATCAATATAAAAATACAGGCTAAACTTCATTCTCCAAAGAGGTAGACTGTAAGTAAGTTTGAAAGAAAAAATTTATCATTTGAATACACTATCAGTAGTCGATGGCTTGAATTGAATCAGCATTACAAATCCTTACAGATTAAAATTGGTTATTAGTTATGCTCCAAATCTATTATCGACGTACAGTTTCCGCGAATTCTTGAATTTAGGTCCATGGTTTGCAAGAAAGAATCCGAAGGAAAAGAAAAAAAAGTTCAAATATCAGAAAAAATGAAATATATAATCTTTAAATCTGGTTCTGTTCCATTAATACCACTATTAGTACTTACCAGGACGATCTATTATGTTATTATTTTATTATATCACCGATTTAAATGCATAAAACCCACAATGAATCACGTTTTCAACAAATACAACTGAAAACAAACGAATTGCTATATTTTGTATGGGGAAAAGAGATTTAAGTCATTTTTGGAGATATTTTCGTGTGTGAACCGATTTGAAAATTACGGAAATAAACCACTTGAGATCCTGATGAACCCCTTTGGAAGCACCAGATGGTCTGAAAACCCAAAATAGAATATAATAATAGTATAGATATGATGCTATTTACATTAATATTCCAATGAATACAGTTTGAGCGGTATGACTAGAGTAATTACTGACTTATTCAACAAAATTATTATTCCCGATAAAAAAAAGATTGTTTGAATTTTCAAGAGTAAGAGTGATAGATAACTCCTCCAATATTTATCTAATTGATTCAGAATGAACTGTGATGACATAATTTATCACTGCAAATCATATACCATTTTCAGAATTGCAAAAATCGTACTAACAGTGACAAATGTTACAAATCGTGGAACATTTGGATGTCGCACTGTGACGACAGGAGAAACAGAGATATAAATGTTACTTTTTTCTGGAACATACAAATATTCTACAAATTTGGAACATACAAATCTATGGATCTATGGAACGGACATTTAAATTTATGGATATATGGACGGAACATTTCTATATACAGATATATGGAGGGAAAATTTGTACATACAGACGCGCACCAATTCAGGAACATACAAATCAATGGTTTAATGGATGGAACATTGTGACACACAGATATATGGCGCAATCACTGGAACATATAAATGTACAACAAAAAGTGACATTCAAAAATATGGTTTCAAGGGTGGAATATTTGAATAAATATATATATTTATTTTCGGAATGTAGATTTATAAGTTACCGCCATCAAATTCATAAAAATAATCTACTGTTATGTGTCTTTCCTTATTCAGAATAGTGTCAAATTGATTATCTTGATTGATTCCCATTATATTCAAATAGATTATAAAAATATATGTCAAAATGAGATGATCAAGAGTGTCGTAAATGCATTCATTTTTTCTGTATCATTACAAAATTATGAACTATTCTCGCAACATACCAAATCTGCTAACCCGATTCACTTAATAGAAGAGTTTAATCAGATCATAATTTTAAGTAGAAAATCTCCATTCATTGCTTAATTGTTTTAGGATATTTATATTCATAGTGGATATCATCATTATTCACTTCTATTTAATCTAACTTATCAAAACTATAACAGTTGTTACATTTTGTATGAAGAAATAAGATTCAAGTCAATTCTCGTGTCTGAATCAAAATGAAAATTACGGAAATAATCCACTTGAGATCATAGTGAATCCATTTAGAAACACTAGATACACCAGTACTATGAATTTTCAATATTTAAAACTCATAATATGATGGTAAACATATGAATATAATGAAGATATAATTTTCAGCTATCTCAGTAGCACAATTATTGATAAATTTATACAAATCATAATTCCTGATAAAAAAAGGTGTTCCATATTCACCAAAGTAAGATTTGACTGCAATCAACACTATTTCACTAGCAAATTCAGTGAAATTAAGTTGCACAGACGTTAATTCACCATATCTTTTAAGCAATTGTAGTTTCAGGTGTGTATCCCCTTGACCACACGTTGAAACCACAACAACATGAGATTTTTTTGCGAAATACTGTGATTTAACTAAAACTGCCATTTATCGAAAATTGGCCAAGAAGATAAAAATCTCCAATTTATTGATTTGACTGAATAAACTGATTTGGTCAAAAGTGCTGTTTATTTAAATTTGGTCAATACCAGTTACATAACACAAGCTTGAGTACTCAAGCAAGTATGATTTCATTATCGGTCGGCTGATAACTATGTTGCGTAACAAACTGATGTAAATAGCTTGAGTGACATATACTGAAAAGAGTTGAAGTGTATATATATAGAAGATGTTGTTGGATTACAGCTGGGATGGTGAATTCTACACTATGTATAATTTATTCATATAAGAGGTCATAGTAGCTTGCAATATGACAATATGCAGGTATACATCAATTTCACACATGACCCGACATTAAAAAATATCACATATAATATACCTTTCCGGTATTCTTTCGTGATATGATTTGTTACCGCTTGTTTTAGCTACCTCGATGATTTAGACTTAGGCAACATGGACTATCAATTAGTATTTTATTGAGACTAGAATGCTACTCTTCTGATCATACAAATCCACACATAGTGACCGAATTCCTCCAGATTAACATTTGTCATGAGCGTAAACTAAGGATTATTGTTTAACTATTTCATGCAATAATTGGTTAATTATGGAAGATTATGGCGTATATAACTATATCGAACATACCAAAGCGATGGTTTCAAGGATTATACGTATTATGTATTGTACAAGAACAGTGTGTGGTAGTGCGATTTGTTCACATTTTAAAAAGAGAACTTTTCCAATGACAGAAACCTCTGGATTTTTGGTGAGAACCATTTTTGTAGTAGTTGAAAAATAGTGAAGAACTCGAAACAGGTCCAGATCATTGCACTACCAGCAGGACAACCCTTACTTTACACAGAACAACGTATCTACCCAATGGCAAAGAAGAATAAAGATAAAGGAACTGGAAAGAATGTGGCCAATAAAGAGAATTATGCTCGAATGTCCCATTTATACCAGATAAGCAACCAATTCACCACATCTCAGTCCGAATATCAAATCCTAGCGAGAGGGTATAATAGAAACTTGGATTTGATATCAAAAAAGACCGTTACCAAAGTATCACCACATTTAAAACGTACCATATGCAAAAAGTGTAACACATTCCTCATTCCAGGATTAACTGTTTCTATTTGTCTTGAAAATCTATCCAAAAAGAAATTGCAGCATAATGATGTCCTAGTTTATAAATGCAACAACTGTGAGGAATGTAAACGGTTTCCCGTTGGTAAAAATAGAGAATATCAATTGTTTGTTGATAAGTCGGTCGTTCAGTAGTTGGCATGACTCCACGGTCTACCGTAGATAATTTGCATACACCATTTGCATTCTAATATATACATATGTATTCCCCCCTTTTCTTTACAAATATTTAGAACTAGTCTCGCGTTTTCTTTGTTCTAGTCTTCTTGGTGGTTCTACTCTAGCACCTGACCAGTTATAGCGGAACCCAATTTCATGGGCCAAGATTTCACCAAAACCCAACATCATACCATTAACAAAAGGTAATACCAAATTAATAGCTGTTTTCTTTAGTATTCCAAAAATATCAATAACATATGGTGGTTGTTCATCTAAGGATCTACTTTCTTGAATCAATTTCTCTGTGTGAATAACATCAGCATTAAGTACAATTTCATCGGATGAAAGTTGTTCTTCCAATACTATCAAATCGTTTTCTTCAGCTAATCCATCAACCGGTGAGGATTCTTGGAATTGTGATACATTTGACTCCTTGTACTCTTGTGACATGGTTGGACAATCGTGGTGGTGGTGGTGGTGGTGGCAATTGAAGTGTGATCGTTGCACAACAAACGAAAATATAAATTCATGATGGAGAAAAATGAGGTGGAAGATTGATCAAAGAAACTTACAAAATCTGGTACGACACACGCACGCCTGCCCACTCACCAAACACGATACAAGAGTTTACAGGTTGTTCTATTTGACTCTTTTTTTTTAACATCTATTATTATATATAAAGAAGTACATATTCATGATACACATTAATCATACGTAATTTCATAACTCCACAAAACAAAAATAAAACATTAAACATTTCTAAGCAATAACACCGACAGATTTACCTTCCTTCAATCTCTTTTCGGTCAAAGCAGCAATAATAGCAGCACCAACACCACTACCATCTTCAGCAGCAACAATGACAATTGGGTCCTTTTGGGTAGCTGGCCATTGGTAGATATCTCTCAAAGCCTTGGCAGCTCTTTCCTTGAAACCTGGGTATCTGTTGAAGACAGAACCGTCAGCAGCAATATGGGCGGTTTCATAACCTCTCTTTTGACAGATAGCAGCAATACCACAGACAGATAATCTGGCAGATCTTTCACCAATCAATTCAGAAAGACGACGGATGATCTTTCTTTCTGGTTCAGTGGTTTGGATACCCAATTCATCTTGGAAGATATCAGCAACATCAGACAAGTTTTCGAATGGATCCAATTCAATTCTGGATGGGAAAGAAGTATCCATAACATATGGTTTTCTTAATTTATCAATGTTTTGACCTTTAAAGATCAATTTCTTTTCATCAGCCAATTCCAACAAGATCAATCTCAAAAGTTCACCCAAGTAGTAACCAGAGTTCATCTTTTCAAAAGTTTGTTGACCTGGTTTTGGAGATTCAGCATCAATTTGGATATCGTATTTGGTTCTTGGCAAGATAAAGTGTTCGTTATCGAAAGAACCGTATTCACAGTTGATAGCCATCAATGAAGTTGGTGGAATATCAGCGCCACATCTGCCTTCCAATTTTGGAATTTCACCAACAACATCGTAGTAAGCACCATTGACACCAGTACCGAAAATAACACCCATCTTGGTTTCTGGATCAGTGTATAAGGAAGCAACCAAGGTACCAGTGGTATCGTTAATCAAAGCAACAACATTGATTGGAACACCAACCTTTTTAACAGCAGATTGCAACATTGGAACAACATCGTGACCTTCAATTCCATCAATGGCCCAACCTTTAGTCCATCTTTGCAAGACACCTTCGTTGATACGGTCTTGGGAGGCTGGATAACTGAAAGTGAAACCCAATGGAATTGGTTGAGTGACACCTTCTGGGAAAACTTCATCGACAACTTGTTTCAAACATTTAGCAATGAAATCCCACAATTCATCTTTAGTGGCAGTTCTCATGTGAGATGGCAAAGCAAATTTGGATTGAGTGGTGTCGAAATCTCTGTTACCACCTAATTTGACCAAAACAACTCTCAAGTTGGTACCACCCAAATCGATAGCAAGGTAGTTACCGGTTTCTTTACCAGTTGGGTATTCCATGACCCAACCTGGAATCATAGGAATGTTACCACCTTGTTTGGACAAACCACGGTTCAATTCTTTGATGAAGTGGGCAACAATGGCTCTCAAAGTTTCACCAGAAATGGTAAATTCCTTTTCAAATGGTTTGATAGCTTCTAACAATTGACTTGGGACATCAGTGAAGGTACCCTTTCTTGGTTGAGCTGGTTTTGGACCGAGATGAACCATTTTTTATATATTCGTTCTTGTAGTAGTAGTTTATTGGGGGAAAGTCTTTTTCAAAAAAAAAGCAACAATTGAATTCAATACACTATATTAAGCAGTACAATCCAGTTGTAGTTAATATGTTTATCTTCTATGGAAGTAGATGATATAGAAGAAAAAAAGGAAAAGGAAAAAGAAAAAGGATTATAAATTTTTCATGAAAGTTAGATCCATTCGTTGTCTATTTATATTCCCAAAAAAAATTGAACAGAAAAGAAAAAAAAAATTTCTCGTTGTCTCCAACGATCTATTGTTCTGCTGTAGTCCGGAGAAACACAAAGCAGCAATCAACCAGTGAACCACCGCCTACCACCACTGGGTCGTGCTGATTTGTAGGATTTTTTTCTCACTAGTGGGCGTCGCCTTCAACACCGGCGCGACAACAAAAGACAGACAGAGGGAAAAAAAAAATTTTTTTCACAACACAAAAAAGGAAAAACATCACACATCACCCCATGGTCTTGAGTTTTTCCGACGAATACAACAAATGAATACTATGGACATTAAACAATAAAAAAAAAGATCACAACAACTCTTGAGAATCCATAACCTGATACACTTTTATTCTTGCACCTATTCTACTGAAAATGGACTGACTTTTTTTTTGTTTGCATTTTAATTTTGTTACTTGCTGATACTAAATTGAGCCCACGGGGAATATTTTCCCTTCATAGAGGCGATCTGGTTGAGTTTATTTTGTAGACAGGGGGTAGAAAGGCAGAATTATCAACAGGTTATTTTGTCTATTCTCCAAGTAAAACTTTTTACACCTGCTATTGTGGAGGTTCATCAACAAACACTAAACTGGATATTTCATTTCGGTTTATTAAGAGCGAAAAAAGTTGCGAGAATTGTTACGAAATTAAGTAACAAGCTTCCTCATTGTTACAGGTTATGATTTCATACCGTTGAGATGATTGACAAGAAAACCGGATTAGGGGCCCCAATATACCCTCGATATTCTTTTCAGAAAATAATATTGGTGCTATTCCGGAGAATTAGATCAATATCCGCCTTTTGCTTGGAGTCTCTGACAAAATCTGGTGATGTGGAGGTAATACTGCAAATAGTCAATAAAAGTCCAGTCTAAAATGTAGACCACATACAGCACCCCACTAAAATCCCCCACGCAAATCCACCAACGAAACGAAACGAAAAAATAATAAAAAAAATTAATTAGGCTAATTTGATTTTGTAGTTCTAAACGAAATATGTATGAAATCTTCTATTGTTCTATATCCAGGTTACAACTCCAACTTTCACCATATTTTCTAAATTCTACTCGACTTTTGATTGGAGTCAATCTTTGAATATACAAGGCAGCAGTTCGGAGTTTCATTACTCACCACCAAAGATCTCATTAATATCATGGTTTGATCCCCCGCTTAAACTTTAGAGAGCAAAAACTGTGGCATCTCAGGAACTGTGGAAAAACAAAAAATGAGTAATACCATAAAGTCCCAAAAAAAAAAAAAAAATCGAACCATCTATAGATTTAATGGATTATATCACTATACTTTTCTTATTCTAGTTCATTACGATCCTCGAGATGTCCTTTCAAGAGATTCCTATACTTGATTTACAAGAAGCGTTTGACGAAACTACCAAACCCCAGTTTTTAGTAAAATTGCGGGATGCTGTGATCAATGTGGGATTCTTGTTGTTGAAAAATTATGAGTCATTGGGTCCAACCAAAGAAGAACTAGAAGATATTAAAGAACAAGCTATTGAGTTTTTTGCTTTGCCTGAACAAGTCAAGCAACGTGTTGAAATGATAAACAGCCCACACTTTTTGGGGTACACCAGATTGGCAAACGAGATCACAGCTTCTCATACTGATTGGAGAGAACAGATTGATCTTGCAACCGAATTGCCAGCACTAAAAGCAGGTGAACCTTTATACAGAAACATCGAGGGACCCAATTTATGGCCAGATCCGAAAGAAATACCAAAGTTCAGACCAACGGTAGAAACTTTCATTGCAAAGATGACAACTTTGAGTAATGCGTTCAAAGACTTGGTTGCAGAATCTATTGGAATCGATGCAAAGGTATTGAATGGGTATTTCAAACCAAATCAACAGTGCAAGATGAAATTAATTGCCTATCCAGATGTCTCCCAGTTGAGAAACACTAAATCTGTTGCTTTGGATGATACTCCAAGTACAAATCAAGGTGTGGGGCCACATAGAGATTCTGATTTGATTACTTATATTTACCAAGCAAGCGAACACCAGAATTCATTGGAAGTTCAAAACTTTCAAGGGAAATGGATTACAGTTCCAAACATTCCAGGACATTTGGTAGTGAACAATGGTCAAACATTGCAGGCAATCACGCAAGGTGTTGCCAAAGCGACAATTCATAGAGTATTAATACCAGAGGCTGGTTCAGGAACAAGAATATCCATCCCATTTTTTCTGACAATTGATTTGGATAGTTCGAAGGCTGCCGTGGACAGCATTCCTAAGGAAATTCTCGAATTGAAAGATGAAAGAGATCGGAAAATTAAAGATTGGGGTGTGGACACAGGGTTTCAGTTTGTTCCTGACGTGAGCAAAGAGCCAATTGGTCATGCAGTTTTTAGAAACAGAATAAAGTCACATCAAGATGTTGCAAAGAGATGGTATCCCGAAGTGTTGGACGAAGTTTTAAAAGAATACGTTTATTAGTTATAGGAACTATGAGTACAAATAAATCAATGGTATCACCAAGATAATAAATGTGGATATTACGTAATAGTAAACAATGTAAACCATGAAATCTAACACGTAGAATGCAGAAGTTACAATAAGAGCTACCATGACCATCAATGTATAGTGGATTCGATTATATCCCAACTGGCGAATTTTTACATCGTACAATGGAAGCAAGATGTTAACTTCAACGGCAAATAATACAAATGAAAATGCTGCTAGTGTCGAGTTGAGTCTCGAAGCGAGCACAATAGCATTGGATAATGAAATGTTTGTTGATAGTATTGGCCTATATCCTATTTGAACGGAGTATTCGTGGAAGATTGCATTTGCCAAACACAACATAAATGAAATTGCCCAAATTGAATCAGATGACGTTGACTTACTCAAAGACTTTAATATTGGGGATAATATAAGTAGAATGAAAGTAATCACCATCAACGACTTTATATTCATTGAAGAATTTCTAAGTATTAGAAACGCAAAGAAGGATGTAGTTGTAGTAATTAGTGTTGGGTATATAGGATCCCATTGTTCCATGTATATCCCCACAAACATCAAGATCACTAGTACAATACATGACATATAGAAGGATATCAAAGAGAAATCCTCTACAAGCTTTCGGTATGAGTACTTGGTGACAGGATGGCTTCTTTTCAACTGCGATAGAAATGACTTATCCGTATAATTGTCAGGGTACGGTTGTTGCAAATATAGAAGCTTCTTCCATGATGGTAGGGAGGTAGATTTTTGGTCTTGAATCAGACTCGTTATGTGTCCTTGGGTGGATGGATCCATCAAGATTGTAGTGGAGGTAATTAAATATCTAAAAAGAGTAAAACACGAAAACGAAAAAAAAAAAAAAAAAAAAAAAAAAATTATGACAAAACAAAAAATAGTGAAGTTTCTTTTGAAATCTAACAGACATTGATTTATCATGAATCTGCAGAATCATTTACAACCTATGAGAAGTGAAGGTTCAGCAAAGCTAGCTGTACCAGGTCGGCATTCCTATGCGACATCTGTATCGTCTTTTAATCACAATAATCTATCATCACAGCATTTCGGCAGTCAACGACCGCTGACGGCACATTATAGATTGTCTAGAAGTAACACCAACATCACAGCGGATAATTACTCCACACAGGACTCCCAAAGTATAGCCACAATAGATAAAATACCTGCTACCAAACCAACTGTGACTTATCTGGATAAGTTATGGACACAAATCGATGTACTAGATGATGTTAAGAACATGGCCAACGAGGTGAGAACCAAAGGATCATTCTTTAACGACAAATTTAATCAGGAATTAGATAAACTAAAAGCACTGCAGGAGAAACTATTAAGTACTATGTCAACACAGCAGTTTAATGATATAAATAACAACGAACATCAGAAGCAACATTTTTACCAATTGAATACAATTACTCCTTCGGTCCATCCGGCAGATAATTTACGTGCTGAAGATCAAACAGTTCATGAAGATGAGGACGAAGAGTCGGAGAAAGAACGAACTAAAAAGAAGGCCGTACAGGAGAAGATCAATGCATTTTTCAAGCACGATGATCAAGAGGAAGATTTGGAGTTTAAGAACCAAACTATATACAGAAAGGAAAACTTTGATGAGATCAATATGTACGTCTCCCAAATAAAGAAAGATTTGAAAGGATTGGGAGAGTCCATGAAGAAATTTGATGAGTCTACTAGAGAAATTTGGTGATATTTGTATATAAGTAAATGTGTAGTGTCAAATAATAGTAATATTGCTTTGCAAAAAAACAAAAAAGTAGTGGAATTTTGTACAATTTTTCTTCTCGCACACCAAAAAAAAAAGATACAACAGAAGAAGAAAAAAAAAATAATGAAAAAACTCCAATCATCGAAGTTCAAGGTAGAGTCAACCAATACTCTTAATTGAATCAATTCATAAAACAATTTATAATGGTTGGAGAAAACAAAGAAACACCATCCAATCAGACTGGATCAACCACCCAGGGTCAAACCCAATCAAACTCATCTAATGCGACCCAAGGAACTCAACCTGCACAACCTACACAACAACAACAACAATCTCAACAAAAACCTGGTGGTGCACGTCCGGCCCAAGGTAGATTGAACCAGGCCCAATATTCACAAGCTGATTTGGATAGAATAGTTTTGGAATATTTAAATAAAAAGGGATACCATAGAACCGAAGCTCAGCTTAGACTTGAAAGTTCCAATATCCCAACACAAAGCGTACCACCGGCAACTCCTGCAACAACAACTTTGGCAACACCCAGTGAATTGACAAATAATGATAATAACAAAGAGCTTAAAGATAAATTGACAAAAAGCGAAAGAGAGTTGAAGGAATTGCGTGAAAAACAGGCCAAGATTGAACGAGAATTAAAGGAAACGAAAGATCGTGAAGTGAAAGCCGCAAAGGAAAAGGATTTAAAGGAGTTGAAGGAATTGGAAAGTAAAAAGAAAAGAGAAAACAATCCTGAAATTTATTGCACTGCCTATTCGATGTTGAGAAGATGGGTGGATTCTTCGTTGGATTTATATAAACCTGAATTAGCACGAGTTTTGTATCCGTTATTCATCCATTGTTTCTTGGAATTAATTTCTAAAGGTTTTCCAAATGAAGCCAAGGATTTTTTCGACAAGTTCAAATCAGATCACTTGATCTTGCACGGTGTTGAAGTCAAAAAGTTTGCAGGGTTATCATTACCTGAACATTTAGAAGAAAATGATTTGGCTACAGCTTACAGAAAATACAAGTATCGTATTTTGGTTTCTAAAACATCATTAAACTTGTTGTTGTATTTTCTTCATGAAAATGAAGCCGTTGGTGGAGGTATTTTAATCCGTATAATTAATCAATACTTGGATCCTGTTATTTCCACTACAAGACCTGATAAGATCGACCAAGAGGGCGAAGCTAATCCAGAAGAAGGTATTTCCAAGTATGTTGCTGACACTAACGAGGTTGAAAAATTCAACGAGCAAACTGTTAAGTTGGGTAAGATGCCTATTGACCCGGAGGTTTCCAAAGAAGTTGAAGCTGAATTGAAGCTTAAAGATGAGAAAATTGAACTGGTGAATGGGAAAACACTAACTGAAGAGTTCCAAGAAATGATCAAACCCGAACTGGACCTGCCGGCTAGGGAATCCTTGCCTTTACCTTTGAAGGATGCAAATGACATAAAGAAAATGATTTTGCAAGTTGAAGATTCCCGATCCAAGATTAAATTAGGTGCCATTCAAGCAAGTTCTCCATCCGTGTGTATGTACACGTTCCATAACACGAATAACGACATGACTTGTATTGAATTCAATGATGATTCTACCATGGCAGCAGCCGGGTTCCAAGATAGTTATATCAAATTGTGGAGTCTTGATGGTAAGCCGTTGAAATCGGTATTGAAGAGAGATAGACACAAACCACAGGACAATACACGAAAGTTGATTGGTCACAGTGGTCCAGTGTACGGGGTTTCTTTTTCACCTGACAACAAGTACCTTTTGTCGTGCTCCGAGGACAAGACTGTCAGATTGTGGTCATTGGACACATACACGGCATTGGTTTCGTATAAAGGTCATACTCAGCCTGTATGGGATGTTAAATTTTCACCATTGGGACATTATTTTGTCACTGCATCCCACGATCAAACTGCGAGATTATGGGCAACTGACCATATTTACCCATTGCGTATATTTGCGGGCCATATTAATGATGTTGATTGTGTTGAGTTCCATCCTAACTCGAATTATGTTTTCACTGGTTCAAGTGATAGAACATGTCGTATGTGGGACGTACAAACAGGAAACTGTGTGAGAGTATTCTTAGGACATACTAATCCAGTCAATTGTCTTGCTGTTTCTCCAGATGGTAGATGGTTGGCCAGTGGTGGTGAAGACGGTATAATTTGTGTTTGGGACATTGGAAGCGGCAGAAGATTGAAGTCCATGAGAGGACATGCTAGAGCATCAATCTACTCATTGGCCTTTTCAAAAGATGGTACTGTTTTGATCAGTGGATGTGCAGATAATAGTGTTAGAGTATGGGATGTCAAGAAGAATACAAACGACGCAGGTCCAGAACCTGAGGCGTTTGTCAATAATAATAACAGTAACAATGGAGCAAACTCAGCCGATGGCAATCAATCATCACAAAATCAACAACAACAACAACAACAACAACAACAACAACCAACCAAAAAGGAGTCAATTGCTACAAGTGATCACATGAATGCATTTTTTACGAAAAAGACTCCAGTGTACAAGGTTCATTTTACACGTCGGAACTTATGTCTTGCGGCTGGTTCTTTTCAAGGTTAAGTAGTGTATAATTATTATATTTAAAGTGTATTAATAGTTACAATAACAATTGTAGACGGCAGTGTTGGAAATCTGAAACAATTGAAAATAAGAAAAAAAAAAAATTCTGGCAAGTGAAATAGATCGACGACTATAAATTTTTCAAAAGTCGTGTGACACACAAATCCCTAAAAAACAAACAAAAGGAGACAAACAATAAACAATAGATAGCATTTAAAATATGCCATAGCCATTACAATGGATGATGTAATTTTATTATAGGACCTGGAATTAAAATACTTAGAGCAATACCATTGATTCTACGAAGAGGATGTATCATTTAGGGGCAATTTTTTTTGTTCTCCTACAAGTTGCCAGTTCCACAATTTGCCCAGCAAGCATTTACCTATGCCCCCACACTTTTGTCGCACTCTAATTAATTTTTTTTACTTAATTTTCATTGAATTTCAGGTGTTGTTTTTTTTAAAAATAAAAGAATTCTACCAATGCAATGAGAAGGTATCGTTAGCAAACAAGATCACACTACTGGAATACAAAAGGTCATCTTTGTTGTAGTGAACCGCCATGTGTATGTTTTTATTCGTTGTGGTTACTCCAAAAAGCACTTGAAACGAACTAATCACAGTCTAATTTTGGAAACTTGGAGAGCAACCGTATCTGCTTTTTGCGCAGCCTTACGTAATTTTTTCTTTTTTTTTTTTTTTTTTTTTCAAATATTTTAGAAAGCAATTGGTTAAAACGAAAACAAATTGGGGCTAGTTTGTTGCTAAAATAAAGGGGTAGAGGTGACATAGGACATTAGGAATATTCAATTCTGAAATTCCCGCAAGGTATATAAATAGCCCAAAAGAACTTTCTTCCCTGTTTCCATTTCTAATCTTTTTCTTTTCTCTTCTCTTCTGATTAAACAAACCAAGAACTCCTAAATTATCACAATGAAATTCTCTACTACTTTATTTGCTTTATCTGTTTCAGTTGCCTCCGTTTTGGCTGCTGACTCAACTACTGGTGGTGTTGCTTCCTCTCTTGCCGCCAAGGCTACCTCAAAGGCTGGTTCTGCTGCCAGTGATGTTACTTCCAAAGCCGGTTCTGCTGCTAGTGGTGCTTCTTCTAAGGCTAGTTCTGCTAAAAGTGGTGCTTCTTCAAAAGCTAGCTCTGGTGAAAGTGATGCTTCATCAAAGGCTAGTTCTGCTACTGCTGATTCTAAATCTAGTTCATCTGCTGAATCAAGTTCATCTGGTATGGCTCCAGCTGTTATTGCTGGCGGTGCTGGTTCCTTCGCCGTCATTGCTGGTATCTTGTTGATGTAATTTTAGATTTATTAAATTCATATGAGATTGGAGTTAGAAATTTAGAGTATTGATCTGTAGTTTTATTACTATTTTGTATGCACAATTGCTATTTGAAAGACAAACAACATTGGTATTTCGAAAATTCTCTTTTGCATCAATTTCGTGCCAAGCAAATTAAACTACTAATTTTCGGTCTCTCTCTCAAGAAATTTCTATTATAGGCTCATTTACGAGTTACAGTGAAAAGGTGGCGGTCAAGAAGTGCAAACCTTTATAAGCCATTGACTGGAGTTATCCAGATCGTCATAGTTGTAGTCTTTGGATACGTTCAATAACACGAGATCATAATAATTTCAACCAGGTTTTAGCCCTCAAATTATGCCAAAAAGAAAAGAAAAAAAAAATTAGTCGCATCATGGGAATACACACAAAAAGACAACTCCCTGATGTTGCTGACCAATTGACCCTTTCCTTACACTGGATGAAGTTGAATAGAAACACAAATAGTATAATCAACAACTTCTTCGATGTTTTCTTTTTATTATTATCATCATCTTGGCAACAAAACATCTATTTGTTTAAGAAAATAAAAAAAGCTTAAAAAGTTTCGCAATTTGCACGACTGGTTATCATCAGGGGTAAGAATTATAATTGAATGGAGTTGGAACAATGGACACACTTGGCTATTTCAAAACCATTGGTTCCAGATCTTAAAACTTTGCCTTTTTTATGTCCACTTTTCTTTTTTTTGGCATGTCTGTTATTCTTTTCTTGCCGCAATATCCAATTTGCTTGTTAAAGTAGTAAATCAATGTGGGGTCATCAATTACCTCCTTTGTATTACAGTTGGAGTAGAGGAGAATAGAAATGAATAATTATTCAGAAGAATGTTTTTTTTTTTATATAGAAAGATCTCCTTTGATTCAGTCCCAGATGGTGCGGAACGAAGAAGAAGAATAATAATAATTATAACAAAAGGAGAAGACAGCAGTTTTAGTTTATTGCCTTTGGCATATTATTGGTCACGGAATTACACGATACGCATTTAGACTATTCAAACTCATGCACAAATAATTGACGTTCAATTTATTATATAAAAATATTTGGCCATGGTTTTGGGTTATAAAGTTCGCTTCCACTAATCGTGTCACTAAACGAGATGTATGGTGTAATTTAATTTGTTGGTTGAAACTCACAGGGCCAACAAATTGGCAATGGGATACAAAATGAAAAATCGTTCTCATTCCAATGCTAGTAGATTCCATAACACATCACTGTGGCCTGAGTGTTGTAGCCATACAGACACATTCCGTAAGCACGAAATGCTTAACGCGTTTGATGTTTTAGCAAACAATGAAGTGACAAAATTCAGTTCTTTTTTTTTTTGATTCGTCTCGTACTACCCGAAATAAGTAATTGCCTAAATGGGAAATTTTGTTCTACACAATGAAGACATCGATTTTTCCCACCACCGATGAATCGTAATATCGATTCGACTATAAATAGTTGAATAGTTTCTTCCTAACCAAAAAAATTTTTAAAAAAAGAACATTTTTCGGTTTTCAAAGTTTTCACTTTCTGTTATTCTATCAAACACTATCAGGAAACATATTTATCTCACAATGAAATTCACCACTACCTTTTCCTTAGCCGCTTTGTTTGCTTCCTTGGTTGCTTCAGCCGATGTTCCTCAATCAGAAATTGATTTCTTCACTGCTTTGGTCGGTGATTATCAAGACCACAAAACTGACTACATTAAATACTTTGCTACTGCCAAGGATATCCCAGCTGAATTGCTGACTATCGCCACCAAAGTTTTGACTTACCAAGATGATTCATACACCACCTTATTGGAAAACGACTCCCTTGATGTCAAAGCCATTGAAAGTTATGTTACCGAATTGCCATGGTACACCAGACTTCAAGAAGCCGTCGCTGGTGCTGCCTCAGGTTCTGCTTCTGCCGAAGCCTCCGAATCTGCTGAAGCTTCTGAAACCGCTTCTGCTTCTGAATCTGCTTCCGAATCTGCTTCTGGTTCTTCTTCAGCTTCTAAATCTTCTTCTGCTTCTAAATCTGCTTCTGCTTCCAGTTCAGCTTCTAAATCTGCTTCTGCCTCCAGTTCAGCTTCTAAATCTGCATCTTCTTCCGCTTCTGCTTCTGCTTCTGAAAGTGCCACCTCCAGTGAAACTTCTGCTGCTCAAGCTAACGGTGTTCTTGCTCCAGTTGGTGCTGCTTTGGGTGCTTTGGCTCTTGCCTTGTTCTAAGCTTTGCAAACTTTGTGAAAAAACATCTTATAAATCATTAAAAACAAAAGACGTAATCCGTCATAAAACTATACCTTTTGAATTTACATTTAATGCCCCCCGTTTCGGTTTCTACTAATTTTTTTTGTTTGTCTTTTAATTTTCATTTGTATATTATTTTTAGGTTTTCTTTATCACGGATAAAGCATTGTACAGTATTCAATATATACTATTAAAAGAAGAAATAAAAACCACGTCCTCCTCTTTATTTCATTCATTCTAGGCAGTCATAAATAATTCTAAGTATTTTAGATTCCAGAGAAAGTTGTCCAAACAATCTAGTGGCACATCACTGACTATGTTTTCTGATCCGATGATTAAGTTTTGCACGTTATCTATCAATATCATCAAGTTCTTATTCATCAATTTTAGTCCATATTCAAAATTCTGGTTCATAACCATATACTGGTTACCATTTAGTACCTTTTCATTGCTACGTGGGTCATAGAATAGCGGGAACTTGTATGGCTTTGTCAAATTGCGCGGAATTTTCTTGGGTATTGGATACTCTTCGGATATTTCATCAAGAATATAACTCTGATTTCCTGAAAGAACCATTTTGTATTTTAATTTTGAATTTGTCAACTCGGAGATTACTAATATTAATTGAACAATCAAGGATAAACATGCATTGATTTGATTCACCTTGAATCCATGGAACTGAAATTCGTTCTCAAATTGAGGCTCATAGTACAGATTCTTCAAACTTAATTTGGGATCATTATAATAGCAAATGGACAAGAGATCCTGCTGGTCTTGAGGGAACTGGAACCCCAATATTGAAAAATTTGTGGAATCAATGTTGGTTATAGGGAATATAAAATTGACAATCTGAATATATTTCTTCAAAAGTTTATTTAATTGTGGTTGTAATGCTGTATATGACAGTTGAACACCTCGTATTTCCGATTTGTACAATTCCAATTTGCTTTCAATCAACTCCTTGGAATGTTCATTGAAATGATCAATTATCCCATTCATATCCTTTAGTTTCTGTTTTCTGTTATAAATCTTGTTGGATAATTCCTCGTTACTAGCCTTCATGGAGGTAACATCGTCGGTTAACTTATCCACCTGGGAGCGGAGTCTATCAAGGACAATGCTGATATTGTTAATATTGTTGTAGTTTTGTAAATTCCCAATGTTGCACTTGATTTGCTGTATTAAATTATGCTTGGACATTGTCAATTCCTGTAAAGTGTTGGATAAGTAGTTTAGACGTCGTATAGAATCAAACGAGTATGACGGTATCGCCTGTGTCAGTTCTTTAACATCTGATCCATCAATATTTTGAGTTAGCATGTCTTTATAAATAAACCATTGGTCATTCAACTGCAATGAAAGCGAATTTCTTTTAAATAAATCAAGATCACCATGATGATTCCCAATGGCAATCGATTGAAATAGATCTAACTTGTATAGACATAGCATTCTCCAATTGCCTTCTTTCTTACACCAAAGTTTAACAATAAATTTATGAATATTAGGTGGCATTTGTGGTAAGTTAACTTCAAACTGGGGATTCATTTCATTGTCAATGACTTCACTGATGTATAGAAGTTTACCGTTTGATAAATGAATAGACATAAATGTTGTGACCAAATATGTGAGATTGAATCTTATTAATTCCTGTGGATTTATGCTATCGTCCACCTCTAGACTGGGAACTATACCATTTGCTACTGTGATTGTACTTCTACGGCGACCTAATCGTTTAGCTGTTTGTTGTATTTCTTCGGAGTGTTTATGAAGCAATCCCAGATCATCAATATCTAACGACAAATTATAAAACCTGATAGACTGTAGATTGGCCAATTTGTCTTTATAATGGGAAATTGGTATTTTTTTGAAACTCTTGCCGTTCATGTTTAACACATTGTGGTTTATGGTATTGACAATTTTGAAGTGGTAATGACAGTAGATTAGATTGACGAAATCTCTCTGACTACTTGTGTTTCGTTTCTTGGTTTTTGGGGTTTTTTTTTTTTTTTCTTTTTTTTTTTATTTTGTTGAATTAAGTATATTGTTATCATATCGAATTTTAATTTTAAATAAAAAAAAACCCATCTTATAGGATGAACTTATAATTGCTTTAATATATAGGAAAATGTATAAATTCATAGTTTATGCACAACATTACTTGTAAAGGATAGACATCTGATACCCACAAGACGAGTTTCTTTATAATGGGATTCAAATCACGTGCCATGACAGTCTCCCCATCTAATAACCAACAACAAAACAAACAGAAAAAAAAAATCAAATTCAAAATCCAAACAAATCAGTAATAACAAAAGATTTATTATCTGCACTACAATATACTGTTCATTCGAGGACTATGGTGGATCAAGAGAGTGTTCATAGACACTATAGAATACGAAATGAATTAAAACAAATTGAATATGAAGATAATGCCAGAAAGAATTTAATTAAACTGTCAATCCTTCAAGTCATTGCAAACAACCATTTCAAAAGCATCCAACCAGTGGGGAGAGGTCGACGAGCTAAGAAACAGCCCGCAAAACAACTGAAACCTTTGTCTGCCACTAATTTGACAGATGAGAAACTCAATGAGTATGAGGTCCATATTAATGAGCTCAAATTGGAGCATTCAACATCTTCTAAACTTCAGGAAGCAAAAATAAACGCATTGAAAGAAGAGAACTTGAAATTGAAATCCCAGGTTAAAGATTTACGGTTGTCTACTAAAAAACCATCGTTGTTGTCGTTTGGAAATGGCCCATTTGCTTCAAAATCGCATACATCATTATCGGTCTCACCAAGTCTCCAAGTCCCGTCCAATTATAATAAGCATAAAACCACTGCAGTTCCGTCATTCAATCCAATGTCTGTGTTTGATACGATCATGACTCCCGTTAGAAAATCAAAATTAACTTTAAATAGACCCACAAGATCGAAGACTGAGTTCACTCCGCCACATGTACAATCTGATACTACTGGTACATCGACAACTATAGGTATTCGAAGTAGCAGTGCAGTACCATCATCACCAACACGATCTAATATTACTACTAGTACACCAACAAAATACATGGCATCGTTTGACAAATCAGAAAATGAAGGATCCTCATCTCCCGACTTCACTCCCAAGCGAAAGACGGCCAAAGAAAATGTCCCAACAGATGATGAGACCCATAGTGCATCATCAAGTTTTGTCAGTGCCAATTCCACCATGCGTAGCCATGCCACGGACGTAGAAAACAATTCCGAGAATGAAAAACCAAGACGTTCAAAAAGGATAAGACGACCTACAAAGAAATTGCAATTGTCCAAATCGAGAAGAGCATTGGAAAATAAACTGAACAAGAACACTACAGAGAAGATTTCTCATGGTTTAGATGATGATGATCTTAATCATTTAAACTTTTATGCCGATGAGAATTTTAAAGACTTGGGATTGAGTCCTCCTAAGAAACGGTCAATAAGCGAATCTGGGGAAACAAAACAACCAAAACAAAAGAAACAAAAGAACGTATTTAGTATAGAGTAAATAGATAATGTAAACTGGACCATGTATTATTTTTTTTATGACTGCAAATTAAATCAGGGACCCAAATACAGTGTAACAGCCACAACGCGATTCTCGGTCTTTTAACACGGAAACTAAACGTTGATGGCGCTCGAAAAAAAAAAAAAAAAAAACCCAAAAAGAGAGAGAGAAAAGAAAAAAAAACAAAATGGAAGAAATTTCTGACAAATCTGGCGTCGGATTTTTTTTTTCTTCTTCTTCTTCTTTTATAGATTTTGCCACAGCTTAACATTTTATACAATTCTGTTACCACAATAGATGATTAGAGCTGCTAGGAATAATAAGTCCAGAGTGGCACCTTGTGTGCTATTGAGAATGTTGGCTAGAACATCCGTCAGAAATGCAACTTCGACGGCGAGACCAGTAGCCGTTACCCCAAATATTATTTTACCTCCGGTTAACAAGAACTTGACTAATACAAACCCGTTCTTGATTCCCGATTTACCAAATGGTTCCTTACATTTTAATTCGTCAAAGGAGGAAAAACCACCTGCAAAGGAGAAATCAAACAATAAGGAGAAATCAAAAAAGAAAGATAAGGACAAGGGAAAAGAGATTGAAAAGAAAGAAGACAAGGATATTGGAGAAACTATTAAGGATATCGATTCCAAGCCTACTGCAGATCCAAACAATCCAGTTTCTTCAAGTTCTAAAGTATTGTCAAGCGGTGGTGGTGGCAGTAACGGAAATAATGACAACAATGGGAATGATAGTTTTCATGATGACAACTCCAATGGGTTGTCGGGAGATAAAGTACCGCCAAGTACCCTGAAGACTGGTTTATATCCTCCATTCTTGGCTATTCCAATGAAAGACCGTCCACTTTTACCAGGAGCAACAAGTAGTATCAATGTTGCAGATCAAGAAGTCATGAGTTGTTTAAGACAAATGCTTTACAATAAAACACCATACTTTGTTTTATTCCATGTTAAGGACACAGAACACGAAGATGCTGCTGCTGACACAATCCCAAATAAAGAGTTTGTACATGATGTTGGTACTTTATGTCAAGTTGTCAAAGTCACATTTGGACCTAGTTCAGCAACAATCTTGGTTTATCCCCATCACAGAGTTGAATTGGTTGATTTGAGCACACCTCAGATAAAGAATGAAAAAATAGAGAAAGAACTGGGTCATTCACCAACTTCTTATTTGAAAAATTTCAAGGTTTCCTACGCTGTTACTAGACCATTGGAAGATGAGCCATATGACAAGAATAGCGTTGAAATTCGTGTGTTGACTGATAAGATCAAAGAGTTGTGTAGCAAGTTTCCAATTAATGTACCATTTGCTAATGAAGACGGGGAGAAAATATTCAATAATCCATCTATGCTTGCCGATTGTATTGGTAGCAGAGTTCATGGAGACCCTAAACAGATCCAAGAAATTGTTGGTACTTTGAATGTTAAATCAAAGTTGGAGCAAGCTTTACAATTGTTGCAAGTCGAAGCTGATGCAGATAGTATCAGACAAATTGCACTCAAAAACATGAGAGAAAGAACCGAAAAGGCTTATGCACAAAGCTTGATCAAAGAGTACACCAAAGAGTTGTTGAAGGTCGCTGGTGTTGGCGAAAACTCTAAAGCCAAGAAATTTGATGATAGAATCAAGAAGTTGAAAATGCCAGAAGAAGCGTTGGAAGCTTACAAGACTGAAAAAGCCAAGTTGGGAACTCAAGGTGATATGGAGCAAAATGTAGTTGAAAGATACTTGGATTGGTTGACATCTATTCCATTTGGTATTTATTCCAAGGATTCATTTAATGTGAAGCATGCCCGTGAAATTTTGGACAGAGATCATTATGGTTTGGAAGATGTCAAAGACCGTATTTTGGAGTTTATTGCAGTTGGTAAAATTTCAGGAAATGTCAATGGTAAGATTTTATGTTTGGCCGGACCTCCAGGTACCGGTAAAACTTCTATTGCCAGATCAATTGCTGAAACATTGAACCGTAAGTATACCAGAATTGCTGTTGGTGGTGTTCAAGATGTTCATGATGTCAAGGGTCACAGAAGAACCTATGTGGCCTCTTTACCAGGTAGAATCATTTCTGCTTTGACCCAAGCCAAGACCTCTAACCCGTTAATGTTGATTGATGAAATTGATAAATTGGATACTTCCGCTCATGGTGGTGCTGCTAGAGCATTTTTGGAAATTTTGGATCCAGAACAAAACAATGCATTTGTGGATAACTTTATCGAGGTTAGTGTGGATTTGTCAAAGGTTTTGTTTGTATGTACAGCCAATTACCTTGGCTCTATACCTGCTCCGTTAAGAGATCGTATGGAAATAATTGAGGTTAATGGTTATACCAAGCATGACAAGATTCAAATTACAAAGCAATATTTGATTCCTGCAGCAGCTAAGAAAGTCGGTTTAGAAGAAGGGCATGTCGTCATTCCAGATGAAACAATTTCAAGATTGATTGACAAATATTGCCGTGAGAGTGGGTTGAGAAACGTCAAGACCTTGGTCAATAGAATTTTCAGCAAAGCATCTAGGAAGATCGTTGAACAATTAGAAGAACCTGAACCTGAAGCTGAAGAAGAAGAAAAGCAAGTGGCACAAGCTGCTACCGAAGGAAAGACTGGTGATTTGGCTAATGAATCTGAAGAAGTAAAAGAATCTGTAAAACCCGAAGAAAGTACAAAAGAAGGTGAAGAAGTAGAGGAAGAAGAAGAAGTTAGGAAGATGGTTTTGCCTCCGGATTTGAAAATTGTGGTTACACCAGAGACTTTGAAAGACTATATTGGACCAGAAATTTATATCAAGGATAGACTTTATGAGACATTGAGTCCTGGTGTTGCCACTGGTTTAGCGTACAACACATCGGGAGATGGTGACGCATTATACATTGAATCTATATTGACTGATTCTATCAGTTCTGATATTGGAAATGCTGGTTTACATGTAACGGGTTCATTGAAGGATGTCATGAAAGAATCTGCTTCTCTTGCGTACTCGTTTGCTAAGCAATTTATGGTTAGACAATTTCCAGATAATAAGTTCTTTGAAGCTGCACACATTCATGTCCATTGTCCAGGTGGTGCTATTCCTAAGGATGGACCTTCTGCTGGTATTGCATTCACATCTTCTTTGCTTTCGTTGGCTTTAAACAAGGCATTACCAAACGATACTGCCATGACTGGGGAAATCACTTTAACTGGTAAGGTCTTGGCCATTGGTGGATTAAGAGAAAAATCCTTGGGTGCTAAAAGAGCAGGTTACACTAAGATCATTTTCCCTAAGGATTGTGAATACCAATTAGATGAAATTCCAGACGAAGTCAAAGAAGGACTCACCTATATTCCTGTTGAATGGTATAGTGAAGTATTCGAACATTTGTTCAAAGATTTGTCTAAAGAAGAAGGTAATAAAGTTTGGAAGGAAGAGTTTGACAAGTTAGAAGAAAAGAAAATGAACAAAAGAAAGCACTAGGATGATCTAGCGAGTCTTGTTATTTCAATGTCTCTTTTTCCCTTGATTACGTCGTGTATATAAAATTAATAGTAATAATAATACGAATAACGTTAATATTAAATATTCTAAACTGCATGCGACTGCAAATAATACATATATATAGTAATACCGTTATCCTTGTTTCAGATCTTGGGTTTTATCATCGATGTGTCCAAAGAAATTTCTGACTTCATCTTCTGTAACTATCTTGCCTTGCTCAGCAAATGGCTTGAAAAACTCTCGTAATTTTGAACGTATTTTATCATATGCTTGTATACTCTCAATTGCTCTGTCTCGTGGTAAAGAATCTAATGCTTCAGCGGCACCCATATCTGAAGTAGACCAGTCATCTTCAGATTCATCTTCAGGGGGTTTAAATATAGGATCATCTTTAAAAAGATACGAATTGTTGGTTAAAAATTTGTACAATTTAGAATCTTTATCAAGACTTGGGTATTCATCGAGTAACTTGTAACGGAAATCATTTCCTAGGAATATAGAATATGTCTGCTCCGCTGCTAATGATGAACTTGAACCTTCTGTTTTTATTTTCTTTGCCTTTGGCTGTAACGACTCTTCTCTTTTGTTATACCAATCATCAACCGTCACTATATCATCATAACGTGGCAATTTAGTCATAATAACACCAGGAAACTTTTTATCTAGTTCTTCAAATATCTCCTTGAATTGGTCAACACATTTCCAACAGATAAACTCATCGAATTTTTCTAATTTGGGGAAGTATCGCAATTGTTCAAGCAGATCCTCTTCTTTTTCTTCCTTCGGTTGGATCTTTGCATCCACACCAGGAGAGATCCCCTTATCTAGCATGTTTTCACCTTCAATCTTCATTTTATCCTTACTTGCAACCAGTCCAAGTGATTTGACTCCCATGACACACCTATCATGGTACCAATCTTCACCACATGTAAATCCAAAATAACATTGGATCATATGCCCTGTTTCTTCCAATGGATTATACAATTGTTTGCAGCCACAAAATTTACCATGATAATTCTGATTATATCTATTCGACTCACTAGGAACATCTTCTGCAGGTAATTCCAAATAAGTACCACTACCAGATGAAGTTGAAACATTAGATAATTTTCTTTCTTTTTGTCCTGGTTTTCCCTTTCTTCTTAACTTACAAGCACCATCGGGTGTATTTTTCATTCTTGTTGTTCCACAATCACACACAAAAGAACGTTTCGTAAAAAGCTCCACAAGTTCATGTTGCAGATGACATTGAATAGAACATGAATAACAAACACCTATAGGTTGGTTATCATTCTGTGAGGAGCATGTGAGACATGCAAATAATGGTTGTCGTAATTCTCCTTGCTCATAAGTACATTCATTAGGATCGTAAGGCATTAGTTCTCGTGCTTCTTTTTCCAATTCTTTTTGGGATTCAATATAATCTACCGCTGTCAAAACACCCTCATCCTTCTCATTGGTAGAAATTGTTTCTGATTCATTCATGATTTTCGTTTCGATAAAGTTGTGTTTGATTGTTAGTTGTAACTCGTATTTTTCCCCCCTGGCTTCAAGTTTGTTTTGGTTTATAAATGTTGAATTTCCTCATGATTTCTTTTTTTTTTCTTTTGTTTACATTTTGTCGCAAATGTCGTGTCCAAGTATCTCAACATAAAAGTAGCACCCCGAGTGGATATAATGTTCGTTATTTAAAAAGAGATCATTCTTTTACGTGGATATCTTTTACTACTTGTTGTTAAGCGGTATTAAATCCTTGCGTTTCTGGTTTGTTTGGGGGGAGAGGTGTTTTGCCATGCTAGAGAACAATGGTCGCTAATACTCTATTCTACACTATTTCGGAAAAAGCTAATGAATAGCATTTTATATATTTACTTCATGAATTAAAACAACCACACTCTTGTCTGACACCTTAACCTATCTATTCAGATGCTTTAATTTCCTTGACAATTTCGTCGTATCCTTCTCTGTATTCCTCTGTCTTGTCAGCATTCTTCTTTGATTTACCACCACCTGGAACAATCATTACACAGGAAGTTGGTCTTTTAGTAGCACCAGCTGAACCCAAATCTTCTTTTGAAGGAATGAAAATGTATGAAACTGCATTATCTTCACATAAAACTGGAATGTGTGAGATAACATCTGGTGGAGAGATATCACCAGCAATTATAACTAAACCTTTTTCACCTTTTCTTAAAGATTTAACAACTTCTTTAACCCCACGTTTAACATGTTTGGCTTTAGATGCTTTTTTAACGGTTTTCAAAATTTTCTTATTGACTTTCTTAGATGCTAATGGTTTGGCAAATGGTAAGACAGCAGACATTCTTTTTTCATAGTTGTCTTCAGTAGAAACTTCTTCTGTACTGGATTTGCTCTTGCTTTCTTTTTTACTACCCATTGTTATTATATTTGTATGATCGGAGTGGTTACTGATTAGTTGGACTTTTATTCAAAGGAAAATTATGGAAAAGAAAAAAATTGCAAAAGCGATGGGCAATGACATTAGATTGAAAAAAAAAAATGGAAGAAAAAAAAAAGTAGTTTTGGTCCAGAATACACGCACTGGCTCGGTTCACACTATGATTGAAATAAAAAAAATAGTTTCCCATCAATTGCAATACAACAATCTCAAGTATAAAGGTCAATTTCTACAATCACTAATGGTTCCACCTCCACATATATCACATTCTAGTAGAACAAACATTAGAAAAAGAAAAAAGCCTTATAACAATGATCTGAGCTTTAAATCTCATTCTCCTCAACCAGTTTTGCAGCTTCAATTGACAAATGAAGAACTTAAACAACCATCACAACAACCACAACTGATTGAAGATGACAAATTGATAAACTATCTCAACAAACTAACTCCAAGAATTAACCTATCACAGTCGGGAAATACTTCAACATATATAACCATACTATTAACACTATCGGAACCAGAACATATTCTACAACAAAAGCAGAAATTAATAGACAACTTTGGTATTAAAGACATATCAGTAAGTGCTCCAACATCAGGTTCAATAGATCAGTATCTAACGATATATGGAGATTCACTGGTGAAAGTTGCAAGATGTCTTCTTTATATTGTTTATTTTTTGAATGTCAAATTATATATCAACTATGATTTATTCACATTCAAAACAGCGAACTACAAATCCACTATACTATTGAATAATGGTGGACCAATTCTACCAAACACATTGAAATACATGGATATTGCTTATTATAATAACAACATATTTACATGTTTCATTCAAGGAGATTTGGCATCTATATTTAATTTCACTTTGCAGATTATTGAAGAAGGAAGAAATGTGGAAAATAGCAAGATTCAAAATAATCCTGTATTTGGTTTGCACATCGATCCTGTGTTACGTTCTTCGGAACATCCACAACCTAGTAGTCAATCCAGAAAGAAATTGATTGACTATTTGTATTCATCTACAGGTAAATTAACAGATAAGTAGGTGTTTAAAGTTGGTCTCTTTTAATTCCAAAAAATATATTAAACTTTTTCCTTTAATTTTATATATATAACATACATTTAATCGAAATACCAAATCTACACACGAGTGATGGCAGCCTTCTTACCCTTTCTAGAAATAGAAGCAACTCTGTCACCCAAGGATAATGCCAACCCTTGACCCTTTGATCTTATTCTAACATGACCAATAATAGGTCCATCGGATTGTTTTTCTATACATAAGTTAGCCAAAGCATCTTCACCGAAACTGGATCTTGAATACAAATTGGCTGACAAAAATTGACATTCTTCACCAATGACGGCACCAGGAGTCAAACATTGCATATTTGTACCTTTCATCAATTCATCCAAATATTCCTTCAAACTTTCAATTGGAGACTTGATAGTAATCTTGTTTTCCCATTCAAATTCGTTCCACATCTTACGGAATTGACTTTCGGAACAAGTGGCAGGCTTGATGTAATCCATAATGTCCACATGAACATCGTTCAAAATAACTATACGTGATTCATCTGAGTGTTGACCATCATAAACAATGTTACCAAAAATAACCCCTGTATCAGCGGAAGTCACCTTGATGGTGGTTTGGACCTTGTAGAATCCGTGTGGTCCAATATTAGCAGTAGTTGGCTTATCGACAACCTTCAAGTCACCTAATGTGGCAAACTCAACAGACAAGTTTCTTAAAGTGGTTGTAGTTTGGTTGACTAATAAAACATCTAAAACAACATCGTATTGATGTACCTTGACGAAAGCTTCGGCGTAAATAGGATCTGAAAAACCAGTCAATTGCAATATCTTGTTTAATCTTGATGACAAATCTTCTTTCTTTAATTCGTTACTTCCAGAAGCAACAGCCACGTCATCAACAGTTGCTTTACTTGCCTTGTTATCCTTGTCCAATTGTCTAAAAACGATAGCATCATCGATTTGTTCAGCATTTTCATGCAAGTCTTTAGCCAATGCATCAGCTTTCTTCAATTCAGCATTAGCAATTTGCGCTTTGAATGCATCCTTGGTATCTTCAAGGAAACTGGATTTGATTTCTTTGATATCTTCTTCGTCATTCAAAATTTTGACATAAGATAATATTCTGTCAGCAGAATCTTCATCAATCTTCTTGGCAACCAAACTCGATTCACCAACTCTCAAAATAGAAACCATAATTAACAAAGCCTCTGCTTTCAACCCATTCAAGATCTTTTCTGGAGTCAGTTGCAAACTTTGTAAACGAAGAATCAATTTAACTAACGTAGAAGATAAAACAGCACCCAAATAAAAATCACCACCAAGAATTTGCTTTCTAATAGGAGTCTTGCTTTCACTTTCAGAACCATCTGTGGTCTCACTGGTCAAAGCTGTTTCTGTAGCATAAGTACCATCAGGTAAAACTACTGGACCCTTTCTACGTGGTTTACCGTCTTCTTCCTCTTGATCACCCTCAATTTGTTGACCATCTTCTGTAGTGCGTTTCTTTTGCTTTAATTCACTGGTAAGGATTGGGACTTCCCCAATACTGCCTCTGATATATTTCCATGAATCTTGTATTAAGGATTCTTCTAATGCATATTCACCAATGACCCACAATGCACCACGGAAAACTTTCCCACTTTTAACATGAGGCAAAGCCAAAATCAATCTCTTCAAAATGGTTTCACGCAAGTCTGGGAATTTTTCAACAACTTCTTTAACAAAAGTAATCACTTCGTAAGCAGCAGTGCTGTTTAAGTCGGCAATTGAGTCCAACAACAAGTCAATAACATTTGCAGCAACTTCAACAAATTTAATAGCTAATTGATGGATAGCATTTATCAATAATTGTCTGTAGTCCGAATTCTTCTCGTCGTTAGACATAGCAGTAGTTTGCAATTCCTTCTTCAATAATTTGACAACATCTTCAACATTTCTAGTGGAGATAAATTGTAAAGTGACATCAAGAGCCTTCTTTTTGACGTCCAAATCTTGGGAAGACAATACTCTCAAGATCTCCAATGACAAGTCTTGTAAAACACCAGGATGTTGTTTGTGTAATTGGTTAATTCTTTCCAAGGTGATGATTTTGACGTTATTATCAGCTTCTCTAGTGGCCAATTCAACAAACTTATTACCAGCCAATAAAATAGATTGAGGGTTGGATGTCAAAACAGTTAAAGTATTGGCAGCCTCGTACATGACAACATTGGAAGAACTTTCAAGAATTTCAGTCATCAATTGGGCATATTGTTGTTTCAAGGCTGGATTTTGAATGGAATCCTTCTTGATAAATTCAATAAAAGCCAATTGTAATAATGGGTCTAAAGTTTCAATGACGGAAATATTATCTTGAATATATTGTAAAGCAGCTTGTCTGTTCAAGTCACCAAGACAGACAAAAGCGTTTCTTTTACAAACGGAGTCATTTTCATCGTACAAGAAACGGTAGATCAATTCATCTGCATCAGGGGCCAAATGATCACTGACTTTATGAATGGACCACAAGGCAAAGACAGCATTTTTTCTAACATATGCATGACGGTGTTCCAAACATTGACGGACATTTGGAACTAAAGTTTCCAATAATTCAGGTTCCTTCAATTTATTCAAGTATCTTAAAGTGTTACCTCTGATGTATTCATTTGGATGTTGTAAATCACGTTGGATGGCATTACAGACAAGAATCATTTCATGTCTCATTTTTCCAGATTCATCCAATTTTGGACAAACTTCCCAGTAATGGTATAACAACTTTTTTAATTCTTTATTCTTAGAAGGCATGACAAATCTAATAATGTGCATCAACAAATCTGGTAATGGATCTCCATTCAAAATAGTGATTAAGATTTTCTTCATAGTATCTACTTTGACTTCATCTTTACCCTTTTCTAATAAATTCTTGAATTCGTTGACTGAAATCTTACTTGCCGTATTAGGCTCGTAAATTAATGTATATCCACTATCACTCATGATGAACAATTCTAATTCAATTGACAAAGAGAGTGCTGTAAATAAGTACTAAACTGATTCTGAAAAATTCGAACTTAGTGGTCTGGTTCAACAAGGAAAAAAAAATTTTGATTTGTTGTTAAGTTTCTCATTCTTTGAGATACACACACTTACTACAGTGGACAATTTTTTTTTTCGCCAAAGTTTCAGGTCGTGCAGAGTGGTCATATATTGGTACACGTTATTTTTAGACGTATACAAGAAAAATTCCCTTTGATTTCAACTTATGTAATCAGGTGTATCATGAAAAGAAAAATTGGTAAATAAACAAAATAGATATTCAATTATATATTATTAATCACTGTCATCAGTGTCTGGATTAGCTAATACTAATCTAGGTCTTTCTTCCTCTTGTCCTATACTGTTTATATCCAGGAACACGCTACCGTTAACGTGTCCATTTTCGTCCTCTGTTTCATCATCACCATCGTCTCCAATGTTATCATCAACATCCCCATCATCTTCATCGTCATCACCTCTGTATCCTCTATGTTGGTAATAACCCAAGTTAGTGAAGTTTTTATCAGATAAACTGCCAGAAGAGCTGCTTGACGTAATTGATACATTTCTTTTAATACTACCACTGCCACTTCCACTACCACTTCCATACTTGGTGCTTGTTGTAACAATACTTTGTACCTCTGTCGATGTAGCTGCTGTCACCGTTGTGTTTGATGTGGCTGTTTTGGTTAACCCAATAGATGTAGATTCATCCCCTTCGTCAATTTCTGCAGCTAATAAACGAGGTTTCAAATGTCCATGTTTCAACTCGACACCACTTGTCTTCTTTCTGGAAGTATTTAGCAATCCTGCTCTCATATTTCTCGTCTTATCTTCTGGCTGAATACCAACAGGAAGTTTCCATTTGGTTGGTTTCAGTTCATTGTAAGCTGTACCTGCAGATCTTCGAATGGTATGAACATAAGTATTGGCGAGATTTATTGATCCCACAGAACTGGAAATACGTCGAATGCTGCTTCCTTGTGTTCTCTGAGTTACTGTACGTCCTAAAAAGCTTTGCAGACGTTGGGTGGAGGCCAGTCGTACCGACTGCAATCGCGACGGTGTTTGTGTTGTTGTGGTCCTTCGAGAAACATTAACAGAATTGGGAGCTATCGGAGAATAATTATCCCTGGTGGAAATTGTTGATGACGAAGATATGACATTTCTCGGACTCGTTTCATTGTTTAGTGGTTTTAAATCATCACTATCATTACTGGTGATTGGCATGAATTCATTCTGGATTATTTGTGGTGAATCCACTGGTGAATCGAATGGTGTTGAAAGCGGGAAATCCAACGGATAAGGCACGGTATGGTTTACAACTTTGCCCTCCTGTTGGTTTAAAATATCAGACAACCCAACTATTGGTGTCGACCTGTTTATTTCATGATTGCTACTCCTTTCACTATCAGCGTTACTTGAGCTGCTAGGAAACTGGAATGAATGATTGCTTGATCTTGGTTCGGTTGACAAGGCATTTTCAGACTCGGTCCCATCTCTTAAAAAGTTATCAATTTCATTTTCCAAATCAGCTAGAATATCATTAGTTATCCCAGTTCCGGATTTAGGGGAATTTGAGGTACCAAAATCAAAAGAATCTAAATCAGATGTACTGGGTGGTTTACGTCTTAAATTACTAACTGATGGATTTGGACTCTTTTGTATTTGGCTGGTTTCAGAAGTATCAGGTGAACCACCAATTCGGCTTAAATATTGAGGAGATTGTTGATTAAATGACTCTGATGTGACAATTGTTCTTGAAGGAGACTTCAATGTATCATTAGTTTGAGCTGATACATTTGAGTATGGTCTACTCAATGGAACGACTTTGCTTGGAGACGGTTGTGTTGTTGAATTTGAACCATTTGTTTGGGGATATCCTGATGAAGGTGGTCCTTGTGCTTTTGTTGTTCTTCCTGTTGATATTGATGCTGATGTTGATGTTGATGTTGACGCTGGTGCAGCAGCAGGCTTTTGTGGACCTTGTTTTGGTGGATTCTGTTTTGGAGCTTGTGGTTGAGACGAGTGATTGAATATAGATGAAATTCTTGAGCCAAACCTTTTCTTCTCAGACATCATTATTGTTATTCTGTATTCTTGCTGACCCGTGGTAATAACAACAATTCGTAAGTTTGATTTTGTTCTTTTTTTCTTATTTTTTTTTCCACTGTTCTTCTGTTTTGTTATTTAGTCCCTCTCAGAAAGAAAAAAAACTTCCACCCATTTCGTCTAATTTCTCGTGGGAGAATTGTAACCATGGTCGCAGACATAAAGGTGACAATTCTCATTCTCGCTGTCCTCCTCCCCCCCCCCAAAGAAACTGTCCATGTTTAGTACTCTGTCCTTTTAAGTTTTGAAAACCCTGCATATCTAGAACTTAATGCATTTTCAAGCATCGGATACTCCCTCAAAACCTAATTGAGTAGTAGGTGACAACTACAAGGGTTGATTATATGTGACTGTCGGTTTGTTAGGTGTTTGATGTCTCAATGATAAAAAAAATGTCTGTTCACGTGATACATTTTGAAACTCGCCTCATCTATCTTTGTTCTGACAAAACATGGAAAAAAACAAAAAGAATCTATTAGAGGAAGAACAATCAGGCATTATTGCAGAAACACTGATGAATATTTCTGAAAAGGGAGAGAAACTAATCCACAGTACAAATGTGTATAATTCATGCAATGGAGATTATCGTCGAGGTCAAAGAATAAATCGAGAGTATATCGCAGCGTCCAAAGATCATGAGCTAATAAAAACAAAAAGAGGTGTGAAAGTTGTAATTGATAAAAATGCTAATGATTTGGACCAAGTATTTATAAGTGAAGGTAGAGTAATACCACCTGATGAGATATTGGATTCAATGAAACCTGATAGTTTGAAAATTCCCATGAAATTAAGAGGAGATTTTAAAGGAGATTCTTCAATGTTGCCAGATTCTGATTTGCTTAAAGCCATCCATTACTTTGTAAGTAAGAAATATGATAAAGTTTTAGACAGGAAAGGACAAAGACGAATGATCCAGTCTTTGGATGAAACGGCATTGATGGCAATGGGATTACTACTTGAATCATGGTGTGATGAGATGATCACTGATGAAGTAGCGAAAATGTTCACCAAAAAGTACCCAAAAGAGGATCCACCATTAATTCAATTCGATGATGATCTAGTTGAAGAGGAGATAGTAGGCGAGGAAGAGATAGTGGTTTCTAACGGTGATGACAGCGAAAATAATGATGACAACGACGAGTAATTTATGTATTATTATTATTATTATTATTATTAATGACACGACATAATTCTACAAAACAGGTTTAACTTATTCTTGTTTCTCTTCATTTTCTGGTTTTGGGGTTTCTTGCTCTGGTGTAACTTGTTCTGGTGTTTCAGAAACTGAAGGAGCATCGGAAGGGGCTTCTGAGGCTTCTCTTTGTGCTTTCTTTTGAGCTTCAACCTTCTTTTGGTGGATCAGTTCTTTACCAGCATCTGTAGCTTTTGTTTGGATATCAAAAACACGGTACAACAATTCATGGTTGTCCTTTTTATTCACCATCAAGTTAACATTGGTTTTACCTCTCCATAATGGTAACGACAAGTTTTCCAATCCATCACCTCTTTCAACAGTCAAAAACAAACACCCTTCATCGACATTGTCAATTTTTTCAGAGAATTGAGGGTCAATACCAGAATTCTTGATGTCCTCGATCTTTGGGTATCCTTCCTTCATCAAATGTTCTAACAATTGCAAGTTACATTTGACATGTCTTTTGTCGCTAACAAAGTGTTCTATGGTATGCAATGATTCGGTTTGAATTCTCCATCCACATGTTCCGATATCATTTCTTTGAGCAACAAACAATTTAATACCACCATGGACCAATTTCAACTTTTGTTTTTCGATGGTCAATATTTCTTTGATGATAGGAGCTGTGTAATATATTGTTCTCAATGGTTCACCAGTGGCATTTCTAACCAAAGCACAATCTTTTGGAAATTTATCGTTGAATCCATAGAATGGGTAACATTTTTGTAATTCTGAGTTTTGTGGGTCCAAAAAGATAAATGGTTCTTCATTGGCATCTCTTGGTAATCTTCCCTTTTTAGCAGCACTAGAATCTTCAGCTTGCCCTTCATTCTTTGGTTTCTTGATTTCGGCATCTTCGCTATCGCTTTCTTCTGCTTTTCTCTTTGATTCAGTACCAGCTTGTGGATCAATCTTTTCAAAAACAGTAATAAAGAAACCACCAGTGTTTTGTAAATGTGGGTATACTCTAACACAATTTTCCAAATGGAATTTTTCAACTTCTTCTTTAGTAGGTGGGAATGCAGTAGCAGGAACATCTTCAGCACCTGGTTCTCTTAATTCCATATCTTTACCATAAACTTTCCAGTCAGTAACACCTTGACGTCTTTTCAATCCTGGTAATTCATTGTCAACATTAACTAATCTGATTTGGTCTCCCCATTTTCTCAAGGCAGATGCAACAATGGCTTCATTTTCAATTGGAGATAAGGAACAAGTTGAGTAAACTAATCTACCACCTTTCTTCAACAATTGCAACCCACGGTTTAAAATCAATTCTTGGACAGAATGTAAACCTAGAGCATTGCCAACTCTGAAATCTTTCCACACATTCAAGTTCTTTCTCATGGTACCATCACCGGAACATGGAACATCACATAAAATACGGTCAAACTTCAAGTCTTGTTGTGTATTATTTAATCTGATTCTAGGGAACAAAGTTGCATCGTGATTAACAACCAAGAAATTTGGAGAGTTCAATCTCTTAACTTGATGTACCAACATATGGGAACGTTTATAATCAGAATCATTAGCCAAAACAAAACCAGTAGGTAATTTTTTTTCATCATCAGCATGTAAGGCTTCGATTAATTGTGCAGTCTTTGAACCTGGGGCGGCACACATATCCAAAACGTAATGGTGTGGTTTAACATCCAATAACAAAGGTGGAATCATACTCACGGCTTCTTGACGGGAAATATTACCTACTTCTGTTTCAACAACTAAAAATCTTTGAGTTTTAGCATATTCTTTTTCCTTCTTAATGACATTCTTGGAAACATCTATTTGCCAACCTAATTGATCTGGATAGAATTCGATATTCTTTGGAGTAATATCAACACCTTCAAATGTCTTACCCTTTAAATGGCTCACATGACGATCAAGGAAAATGTTTCTGATTTCTTCGGCATGTTTTCTAGAACCAGTAATTCTAAAAGTCATTGGCAAATTGGTTTGACATGCAGTTTTAAAAGCATCCCATTCTGATTCTGGAATTAAGTTTAATGACTTGTAGTAATTTTCCCAAGTGGAGTTTTCTCTAACAACTTCACTCCATCTTTCGTCTCTTTCTGGTCTTTTACCAAAACCTTTGGAATTACCTTTATTGTTTCTCTTCTTGAAGTTTTTCTTAGCCATTATGGAAATATTCCTTGTTATCATACACTAAGAGTAGAGTGATAAAGTGAAAAAAAAAAAATAAAGAGAAGAAAATTTTTCTTTTGCTTCTCATTCTCTCTCTCTCTCTCTCGCTCTTCTCCATCTCAATTTTCTGTTCTGTGTTTTTTCTGCGACATCAGCCGCCATGCGTATGGGTTAGTGACAGACACGAACAGTAAGTAGCGCGTTAGACGTTATTATTAGGTTGATTTTTATACTAAGTTCTAGCTATACTAATCTAGTACCAAAATATTTACCAGCAATATCACGGATGAAGTCTTCATCAATTTGCATGTGTTCAGCTTCGATGTTTAAGAAATCTATAGCTCCTTTTTCATGAAGTGTTTTCAAGCCAATGTAATCATTTTTATAAAGATCAGTTTGATCAAAAGGAATGCTGATTTTTGCAATAGGATCAAAATCAAAAAACTTGGAACTTTCTTTAGGTACAACTGTGGTATCCTCTGTGAAACTCACTAAGACCAAATTATTGAGACTTGCAAAATTTTCCTTATAAGTGCTATTCTTCTCGTCTCTTTCATTATTGATGTCTGCAAGGTAATTTGAATACTTCAAGTAGTTATCTAGAGCCAGTGGATCCCTAAAATATTGTGCTGGAATAACCCGTCTTTGAACTACATCATACCATACTTGCTTCTTTAGAAGAGCGTTTCGTCGCTTACAGAGCCAGTCTTTTGGATCCTTGCATAGTGGTAATTCCAGAACTCCGAAATGAGGAGAACCAAATGTAATGAGATTATCAACTTTGACAGAACATCTTTCAATCAAACCTCTAAAAAACACTCCACCTTGTGAAAAACCAATTGCATCAAACCCGTGTTGTAATTCTGTGATATTATGCAACGCTTCGCAAACTTGATCAACCTGATCATTGGCATCACCAAAAAACGATTTTTGTTGATCAGATGACGGATCATCAGCCAAACGTATTGAGTATAAATATATCCCTGGGTATAGACTATCCAAAATGCTGTGCAAATTATGTATTCCTGATGAATTGTAATCGTCTCCTAAACCATGCCAAACAACCACAGGTCTGAAAGGGTTTGGAATTGGTGGCGAATCTGGTTGATCATAAGAATAGATAGAATCAGATTGTAAATCCAATCGATTATGGGAAATCAAATTAATTACAACTTGTTGTAGACCTGCTATTGATGATAAAAGCATAACTGCTGGCTGTTTGTTAATGGCTAAACCAAACGCTGGTTATGATTAAGTTTTCTTATTGTTGGTACAATTTTTCTTTTTTTTTTTTTTTAAGAAACATTTTTTTGGTGCTTATTTGATATGTTCTTACTGTGGAGCTGCGAAAAAGCGGAGAATTCAGGTTGTAGCACATGAGTATCTATTAAGACAGTTAAAACTTCGTCATGAAGGGGTTGAACATCTTCGATAATTCTAATGGTAAGTTGATTTATCAAAGAGGGCTGTTTTTTGATCATGATATTTCATGCAGGTGAGTTAACAGCAAGATCAAAGTTTAAAATTAGATGTAACGTAAACTAATACAGTTGAAGCTGTAGTCAAAGTATGTAAACATCCGTGTTGTAAACTCGGCCACACATATTGTAGAATACGCTGAATTGTGGTTCTTATCTTATCATACCATACATCTCTACCAAAAGAATAGGTCCAACACCTTGGTGGTTGCAAACTCTCATGAGTGAGAACCATATCAATGACAACTTATGATGAAATAACCATTGTCAATGAACGATTTACCAAAAGCAAAAAATGGTTCCTCTAAGCACATGGCAACGAAGATGAACATCCGTCCATACGGCACCAATGCGGTGATAATTGAAATTCCGCAATTGTGGATTACATAAAATTCATTCCCGTTATCGCTCACTGCCCGCAGTACTTATTTTTTATTTTTTCTCCCCCCTAAAAATCCATCCTTATCAAGATATGTATATAAGTTCCAACTCTGGTGCCACTTTATTCTCTTCCAACCAATTATTTTATTATCACCCTTTTGTTGGTTAATTTTAATTATAAAAATAAAATAAAATAAAAAAGAAACACACCGCAAAAGAATTGACTGCCTCCTATTTAAATTGTTATTATTATTATTATTACTATTATTATTAGATAGAAAGCAATGGGTTCATCTACCTCTAAATCAACAGTTGGTCCAAACAAAGATACCATGATTGAAGACGATCCAGAAATCATCCACGAAAAGACTCCTTATTCTGCTACTCCCAACGATTTTCAAGAACATTTTAAAGACCTTGATATCTCTGATAATAACAGAACTCAGCTGGATATTAACCCTCTTTCAGAATCAACATTGGCCAAATGGGAAGATGATTTCAAAGCACAAACCAAGAATATATTGACTCAGAATGCATTTGCAAAGAATGCTATTACCAATATTATTGCCAAGAGCAATGTCAATGAACAATCTTTGAAGGATAGATACTTGTTCAATATCACAGTTGATACTATTGGTTCTCCTTCTCACCTCAATAACCAAATGCTGTCGGGCAGATGCTGGATTTTTGCTTCTTCAAACGTTTTTAGAACCCATGTGATTAAGAATTACAACTTAAGAGATGATGAGTTTCAAGTTTCTCAAACTTACTTGTATTTTTATGATAAATTGGAAAAGGCTAATTTCTTTTTGGACAATATTGAAGACACCGTTGACGAAGATTTGGATTCAAGATTGATTAATTACTTGTTTAGTGCTCCTGTCAATGATGGTGGTCAATGGGATATGATTGTCAACTTAGTCACCAAGTATGGTTTGGTTCCAAATGAAGTTTTCCCAGATAATGCTCAGTCTACGAGTTCTTCTAAATTAAACTACATTGTTACTGAGAAATTGAGAGAATATGGTCTTAAGCTCAGAGACTTGATCAAGAAAGACGCACCAAAGGATGTTGTTTCGTCATTCAAGGCGAGTGCCTTGAAGTCCATTTACAAGACCATTGCATTGGCATTAGGTACTCCACCAAAACCAACCGATGAATTTGTATGGGAATTCATTGACAAGGATGGAAAGTATAAACATTTTAAGACCACTCCATTAGATTTCTACAAAACTCATGTTAAATATGATGCTGCTGCACACTTTTCGTTAATCCATGATCCAAGAAATGCCTATGATAAGTTGTACACTGTTGATAGATTAAACAACATTTCAGGCGGTAAGCCAATTGAATATGTGAACCTTGAAATCGACCAAATCAAAGATGTTGCAATTAAGATGTTGAAGGACAATGAACCTATTTTCTTTGGTTCTGATGTTGGTAAATTTTCTGATTCAACAACAGGTATTTTAGACACCACCGCTTATGACTATTCTACGGCATTCGACTTTGATTTGAACATCAATAAGCTGGATAGATTGAAAGTGGGATCTTCAATGATGACTCATGCTATGGTCATCACTGGTGTGCATGTTGACCCTGAAACTAATAAACCTGTAAGATGGAAGATTGAAAACTCTTGGGGTGAAAAGCTGGGTGAAAAGGGTTGGTTTTTGATGACAGATGAATGGTTCAATGAATACGTTTTCCAAATTGTTACAAACAAAAAGTATGTATCAAAGAAGGCTTATGATATTTGGAAGGGCAAGGAATTCAACGTCTTGCCTTATTACGATCCAATGGGTGCATTAGCTTAAATTATGTCCGCGTTCTAGTTTGTTTTTTATGAGTTAGATAAGTTACAGTCATGAGTCTGTGCTTTAGAATATAAATCGTTTCAAATTGAAACTATATATCTATGTACTCGTTGTTTTCAATTTGTGTTGCTACGTCAACAAGGTTTGTCTCATCATTTTCTACTGTTGGGGTAGCAGAAACAGATTCCGATACCTGTATTACTGCTTCCTCGTTTAGTTCAACGTCACCTACTTCTTGTACATCCTCTTGGCCTTGTCCTTGACCTTCTTCACTCACTAGTTCATCTGATTGTTGTTGTTGTTGTTCTTGAACTTGTTCATTCGGTCCTCCTTGTAGTTGTTGGCCATCTTGTTGTGGTCCTTCTTCTTCTTCTTCTACTACTACTCCTTCTTCATTTGTTTTGGCGGCGGCAGCTGCTGCAGCTGCGGCTGCCATTAGTTTGGCTTGTTTCTTGGAAATTCTAGTTTCACCACGTTCTTGTCTTAAAGCCTGTTGTTCACGATATTTAGCAAGATAAATCTTTAATACTTCTGCATAGTTTTCAAATCCCAAGTCATACATTGAATATAATATATCTTCTCCATTGATAGTTTTTCTTTTCTCTTTAAGACACTTGTCGCTGGCTTCACTTGTGATGAATGATATGAATTCAGATACACATTCTTGCATACATTCTTTAGCATCTTTAGAAACCTTTGCTGTTGGTGGTAATGTTGTTTTCATTATACGGGACACATTTGCTATTGGTAGCCAACGATCTTGTTCTCTTAACTCTATATCTCTAACATTTTGTTGATTCATTGTAAACTCAAAATTAATACACAGTATGGAATAGTTTGTGTTGATGCCTGATAAATATTACAGGAAGACTTGATAACGTGTAGGGTATGAAAATAAAGGGGGGAAAAAAAGTTAATTAAATAGCTGCAATTCTATAATTCTCGAAAACGAACGAAAGAAAGAAATTGTAGGTAAAAAAAATAGAATACAATATAAAAAGTAGGGCAATCTAGGACAGTCTGATAATGTAGCCAATCGGGAGTTGGTGGAATATAAGAAAAACTTTGTTCGCTACTTGATGGTTAAGATTTTTTTTTTTTTTTTTTCGTTTTTTTTTTTTACTTGCCTGTTTAGTGTTCCTATTTTTTTGTTCGTTAAAATCCGGAGTCAAAAATAATCACAAGACACGACCTGGAAAATTTCTTCAATAATGACAACAATTCAATATCCAATATGACAGAAAAGGTCAACCAGAATAACAATGATGGCAATAAATCTGTTAGAGGAATAACAAATTTAATTATTGTTCAGGTCATTACTAAGTTATTTACATTTGTATTGAATCAATTGATCATAAGGTATTTGACTCCAACGATTATTGGTATCACTTCGTATTTGGATTTCATTTATTCAACTGTTTTATTCTTTTCTAGAGAATCACTTAGGTTATCAATTCAGCGAATTAAAGATGATAAAGGAGGTAATGCAAATCAAAAAGTGGTTAATTTTGGACGTTTGGGTTTAATTATTTCTATTCCCATTTTATTAATCACCGGGTATTGGCAAATGAATTATTCCATGATATCAACGACATTGTTTCAACTTCCGCTTCATAAACTGGTTGTTCTATTGGTTCTTCTGCTGATTGTATTGGAATTGTTTACCGAACCTGTCTATTGCTTGTATCAGTTTCAATTGGATTTTAGCAAAAGGTCTAAATTTGAAGGATTGGCTATACTAATCAAATGCGTGGTTACATTTGCATCTGTCATGATAGTTAAAAAATACTCTACAAATGAAAAGTATTTTACCGGATCTGCTATTTGTGGGTTTGCGTTGGGTCAGTTTAGTTATTCGCTCACGTTGTTTGTTTGTTATTTATCAGCATTCAAGAGGGAATATTTCAACAAAGGTGTCACCTACCAATTGGTGAAAGTGAAAGATAGCAACAAATCTGTTGGTTACTATTTCCAGCCGGAAATTTTGGTACTCGTTAAAGGGTTTTTCGTGCAAATGATTTTCAAACAATTTTTAACAGAAGGAGATAAGCTACTTATCAGCTATTTGTGCACAATTGAAGAGCAGGGTGTTTATGCTGTGGTTTCAAATTACGGTTCTATGGTAGCTAGGTTATTATTTCAGCCGCTAGAAGAATCAACACGTTTGATGTTTACCAAGATATTAAACGGGGATGACACTACGAAAAATAATCGCTCATTTACATATTTAAAATTAATCTCCATTTTTTATTTCAATTTGAGTTTGTTGATATTATTTGCCGGTGTTACCAATGGATCATTTTTGCTTAGAATACTCATGGGAGGAAAGGCATCTAACTGGGTGAATACAGATATCTTTGATGTCTTCCCTCAGTATATTGCATATATTCCCCTTTTGGCATTCAATGGGATATTAGAAGCATTATTTTCATGTATTGCTAGTACTTCTGATTTGCAGAAATTTTCCAAGTACATGACTTTTGTTACATTTGCAATATTGGTTCTTCTGTATTTATTTGTTGATAGATTGGGTTTGAGAACATCGGGTTTAATATTAGCTAATATGATTAACATGAGCTTAAGGATAATTTATTGTTATCGTCAAATTCAGAGGTACTACATTCAATATGGTATTTCTATAAAAATGAGAAATATCCTCGGATACGTTGCACCTTCAGTTGCGGTCGCTTTATCGGCATGGATAGCACAATATGTTGCTATTGGAGGGCGTACTGGATCGTTCATCCAATTGATTTTCAGTGCAGGTATGTCAACTTTAGTGTTGATGATTTTAATATTCTTGGAAAGAGATAATGTGAAACAACCATTGAGTTCAGTGACACGTAGATTTATCAAGAACAAATCTGATTAAATAGGAAATAATAATAATAGACAATGAATATAAAAAAAAACTAAAATATCAAGACTGTAGTACGAAACTTAAAAACAAAAAAAAAAACTAAGAGTCGTAGCACCACATACCAGTAAGTTTATTAACAAACAAAGTGCCATCCGGATTCGCCTCCACCACGATTAACATTACTGTGCTGAATTGCTTCCCTCCAGTGGTTATGCTAAATATTACCAGAACTTGGCAGACACTGATTACTCAAGTGGCCAAAATTCCATTCGCAGGGATCGAGCCGGACACTTCGCTCTTAAATTTTAACAAACATAAAGTACAAAAGAGTGTGCACTTCCGCTAAGAGCCATCACAGCCAAAATTTTCATAATTTCAATGCGTAGTCTCTATGATGGGAATCACGTGGACTTATTTTTGTTTAAAAATGCAGTAACAGGATGATTAGCATACTTTTGTTACTACTATAGTCAATAATACAAATGTATTAATGAGTTGGAATAATTTTCAATACATTATAATGGTTCTAGTGATGAAAAGAAGAGATATTCTTTTGGATTTGATATTTATGCAATATTTTGTAGTCTGTTAGTTTTTAATGCAGAATTTTGACAAAAACTACTTTTAAAAAAAAATGCTATGCAAAAAATCTCTTATGTTTTGGAATTGTAAAGTACTAGCTGTTAGATTGATCAAATAGTGGTACTTTTCTATGTTTTGAAGAGATTTACATATTGAATTACATCTTCATCTAAAGAATTATCATTTATAGTGAGAGAAGATTAAGAGGAAAAAAAAAAAAAAATAAATTCAAAATCAATACTTGCGTACTTACAACGCCCAAAGAAATGTCAATAATTGAACTACTGAATGAAATAGGAAAACTAGCCGAAATTATAAATGAGAAAAACCGTGAACTAGAGAATTTACGCAAGAACTATGATTCTAAGTTACAGGTGATTAATAAATACATCGAAGATTTATCTTTGTCCTCATCACCACTCCCATCACTAGATACAATTACCGATGAAAATCTAATCACAAGATTATCTACACCAATTGAATGTCCTAATTGTCATAATAGAGTATGGGAAAATTCAAAGAATTCAGATTTTTTATTAATACCTAAACACAAAATCACTACCGGGTCCGAGTTGCAGCAGGAAGATACTAGTTTAACAACACTGACACAGTCTCTACCACCTTTGTCTAACAAACCAAGCAAAAACAAATCAAAAATAGAATGTTCATATTGCAAAAAGAAAGGTCATACTAGAGCTAAATGTCGAATAAGGTTAAATACTCCAATTTCTACAAATAATCACAACACCTAATCGTTGCATGTATCGATACAAAGTGTTCCAAAAATTATAATAATAATAATAGTAAAAAAAAAAAAATACTTAATATACATTTTTTTAAAGTGTAATAATACATCTATGTTGACAATCATTTGCTTGCTTGAACCATAGCCTCTAAATATCAAATTTCTGTTAGTATTAACTGTTCGAATGATTTCAACAATATTGTATAGTAAAAACAAAACAAAAACATACCTCTTCTTGATGCATCCTGTAATAAGGTGCAATCCACACTATTTGGATTCATATGAACATAACGCACAGTGGAACCTCTTATGAATAAATTTTTCACGGCATCTAAATAAGGATATTGTTCACTATTCGTACATGTTATATTATCTAATTTCAAGTTTAAAAATTGATCCACCGATTTTAAAGTTCCTTTTATTTCCATATCATTCTTTAACTCCACTGTAACTTCTTGATCTACCAATGTTTTGAAGAAACTGAAAAACAACATGACTAAACGACTGAATTTATAATATGTGTGTTAATTAAAAACTAATTGTAGCAATAGATTTTCGGTGATGAAATTTTTGGTTTTCATTTTTTTTTTTTTCCAGTTTTCTTACTCAAGCAGTTGTTATTTTTTTTTGGTCAAATCGCACACATTTCTGATAGAGTAAACCAAACCTACATTGAGTTATAATAGTTTTAAATATTTGTTAATAAATAGGGTGCTATACAATTAGTATTATTAGTGGTAGTAGTATTGTCATGATTATTATCAACATTCTGTTTTTTATTATCATCAAAAATCTGAATTCCCCCTCTTGCAGTAGGTCTCAAGAATGAACTGGAGAAAGTTTCATTGAGATACGAAGATGTAAGTTTATGGATTTTGGATACTTTGGATTTTTCTAAGAAATATCTAGGATTTAACAGCTCTGGATCATCGTTGTAATCATCAATATTAAGATCAAATAACGGCTCTAGAACATTTTCCTTAGTCATTTCACTGCCATTGAATGGATTAAAAATACAACAACCAGGGACAGCCAAGGGACTTTTATCTATCATAAGATCAGGTGGGTATTCATTCTTTGGAATATTACTTGATATTATAGGTTTCTTCATTTTTAAGTCAAAGACTTCAGTATTGGAAATGTCGTCAAGTGGTAAATTGCTATTAGGCATTGGGGAACTTGATTCATACCTTGAAGCACCATTTGCTCTAATGAAAACAGGTGGAGTATTAGAAATTGCTATTATTGCATAGGTTCCAATATCATCCAATTCTGCCAACAATTGAATTTGCAAAATAAATCTCTTATTCTTATAAATGGATTTCTTATTCCGAACAACTGATGTAAACTGAATCCTTTCAAATTTAGCAACTTTAGTATAATTCTCGTTGACTGGATAATTTTTCAATACTGAATTTGGTTGTAAAATTCGCAACGATTTCCAATCTTGACTAAACAACTGTTCAAACTCTTTAATCCTTGATTGGTTTCTAATATTTGATCCTTCTCTAATTACAATATGTTCTGGTATAGCGCCTGGAATAACTGGAATTACTGGTGGTTCAACTACTGGCCCTTTATCTCTCTTAGCTGTATTCTGAATTAGACTAACATCGTCTCCATCCTCAACTGATTTTCCAACTAACCTAATTGCAAAACGTTTTACATCAAACATCTCATTTTTAGTAATAATATAGAATCCATGTTGTTGAAGAAGTTTTGCACTATTGCCAAGTTTTTCAAATGTAAATGAGGCAACAACCGAGATGTAATTTCGTTTATATCCAATCCAATTCCCATCAATCAATTCAAACCCACGATCAATTCGAGATTCTAATCTAGGAACAACTTGATCATTATCTTCTTTAATGTATAATGGGGAAACTTGGACTGTTGGTTGAAATAAAGGTCCAACTTTAAACTGTAATCCTGATCTTGGTGCAATTCTTGATTTTCTTTCTGAAAAGAGCGTCACTGGATCTGACTTGACTTCAGAAAAAGATGGTTTTCTGCGTTTGAACCTTTTATTGGACTTGGTTCTATTGGCCATGATTTAGCCGCTGATGTAATTGAACTTTCAAAATAATGTTCATTATATAGTTTTTTTCTTTTTACTTTTTCTTTCTCCACTTTAATTGTTTATACGTTCCAATTTTGCAGCTAGAACAATCGAAGTTGTAAGTGTGCACCAAAAAGGTACAACAAACCAAAAGAATACTCGCTAAACTGTTGATATACTATTCTATATAGCAGACCTTAAACATCTTATTCTGTATATACATTTCTAATACATTTTATTGTAATACAATTGGTAGCACTTAAATATTTGTGTTTTGCACGAAAAACTACTCATCGCTTGTACCACGAAGATAAACCCACAAGAAAGAAAAAAAAAAAAAAAAATTTAGGAATGAAAAATCCATTTTTAAATAGTTCATCAATCAACGAATAATACTATTAACAAATCATGGGTAAAAAGGCTATTGATGCACGTATCCCAGCGTTGATACGTAATGGGGTTCAAGAAAAACAACGTTCCTTTTTTATCATTGTTGGTGATAAAGCTCGTAATCAATTACCAAATTTACATTATTTGATGATGAGTGCTGATTTGAAAATGAATAAATCAGTTTTATGGGCCTATAAGAAGAAATTATTAGGATTTACATCTCATAGACAAAAGCGTGAAGCTAAAATCAAGAAAGATATAAAACGTGGTATTAGAGAAGTTAATGAACAAGATCCCTTTGAAGCTTTTATTTCTAATCAACACATTAGATATGTCTATTATAAAGAAACAGAAAAGATCTTGGGTAATACTTATGGGATGTGTATTTTACAAGATTTTGAAGCCATTACTCCTAATTTGTTAGCTCGTACTATTGAAACCGTTGAAGGTGGTGGTTTAGTAGTTATTTTGTTAAAGAACATGACATCATTGAAACAATTGTATACCATGTCTATGGATATTCATTCAAGATATAGAACTGAAGCTCATGATGATGTTGTTGCTAGATTTAATGAAAGATTCTTGCTTTCTTTGGGTTCTTGTGAAAACTGTTTAGTCGTTGATGACGAATTAAATGTTTTACCAATATCTGGAGGTAAACATGTGAAACAATTACCACCAAAGGATGATGATGAATTGACTCCTAATGCTAAGGAATTAAAAGAGTTGAAAGAAAGTCTTGCTGATGTCCAACCTGCTGGTTCATTAGTGTCTTTGTCAAAAACAATTAATCAAGCACAAGCTATCTTGACATTTATTGATGTCATTTCAGAAAAAACCTTGAGAAGTACTGTCACTTTAACTGCCGGTAGAGGTCGTGGTAAATCTGCTGCCTTGGGTATTGCTATTGCTGCTGCTATTTCTCACGGATACTCAAACATTTTTGTCACATCTCCATCCCCAGAGAACTTGAAGACCCTTTTTGAATTTATCTTTAAAGGATTTGATGCTTTGGGATACACTGAACATATGGATTATGACATTATTCAATCAACCAACCCATCATTCAATAAAGCTATTGTCAGAGTTGATGTCAAAAGAGAACATCGTCAAACTATCCAATATATTGCTCCTAACGATAGTCATGTTTTAGGTCAAGCTGAATTGTTGATTATTGATGAAGCAGCTGCAATCCCACTTCCAGTTGTCAAGAAATTAATGGGTCCTTACTTGATCTTTATGGCATCTACTATTAACGGGTATGAAGGTACTGGTAGATCATTGTCCTTGAAATTGATTCAACAATTGAGACAACAATCCAATAATACTACTCCATCCGATACCACTATTGTTTCACGTGACAAGAAATCAAGTGAAGTTTCTGGATCATTGACTAGAAATTTGAAAGAAGTTGTCTTGGATGAACCAATTAGATATGCTCCAGGAGATCCAGTTGAAAAATGGTTGAACAAATTGCTTTGTCTTGATGTTACTTTGGCCAAAAATGCCAAATTTGCTACTAAAGGTACCCCACACCCATCTCAATGTCAATTGTTTTATGTCAATAGAGATACATTATTCTCCTACCACCCAGTTTCTGAAGCATTTTTACAAAAAATGATGGCATTGTATGTTGCCTCACATTATAAAAACTCTCCAAATGATTTACAATTGATGAGTGATGCTCCAGCACATCAATTATTTGTATTGTTGCCACCAATTGAAGCTGGTGACAACAGAATTCCTGATCCATTATGTGTTATTCAATTGGCATTGGAGGGGGAAATTTCTAAAGAAAGTGTTAGAAAATCATTATCTCGTGGTCAAAGAGCTGGTGGTGATTTGATTCCATGGTTAATTTCCCAACAATTCCAAGATGAAGAATTTGCCTCGTTATCAGGTGCAAGAGTTGTTAGAATTGCTACCAACCCAGAATACTCTGGTATGGGATATGGTTCCAGAGCAATGGAATTATTACAAGATTATTACCTGGGTAAATTTACCGACATAAGTGAATCCAATGAATTGAATGATCATACAATTACCAGGGTCACTGACAAGGAATTGGCCAAAGCTTCATTGAAAGACGAAATTAAATTAAGAGATGTCAAAACCTTGCCACCATTGTTATTGAAATTGTCAGAAAAGGCTCCATATTATTTAGATTATTTGGGTGTTTCTTATGGTTTCACTTCACAATTACATAAATTTTGGAAGAAAGCTGGTTTCACTCCTGTTTACTTGAGACAAACTGCCAATGATTTAACTGGTGAACATACTTCAGTTGTTATCAACGTCTTACCTGGTAGAGAAGATAAATGGTTACACGAATTTTCAAAAGATTTCCACAAGAGATTCTTGAGTTTATTGTCGTATGAATTTAAGAAATTCCAAGCCTCTCAAGCATTGAGTATAATAGAAGCCACTGAACAAGGTGAGGGAAACAATGGATCTCAATCCAAATTGACTAAAGACCAATTAGACGCCTTGTTGTCACCATTTGATTTGAAGAGATTGGATTCATATGCCAATAATTTGTTAGATTATCATGTTATTGTTGATATGTTGCCATTAATTTCCCAATTATATTTCTCCAAGAAGACCGGTGAAGATGTTAGTTTGTCATCTGTCCAATCAGCTATTTTACTTGCTATTGGTTTACAACACAAGGATATGGATCAAATTTCCAAGGAGTTGAACTTGCCAACTAACCAAGCCATGGCTATGTTTGCTAAAATTATCCGTAAATTCTCCACTTATTTCAGAAAAGTTTTAAGTAAAGCCATTGAAGAAAGTATGCCAGAATTAGAAGATGAACGTGTTGATGAAATGGATGGTAAGAGTACTGAACAAATTGATGTTGAAGCTGTTGAACAAAGATTACAAGATGATTTGGAAGAAGCTGGTGATGAAGCCATCAAAGAAATGAGAGAAAAACAACGTGAATTAATCAATGCTCTTAATTTGGACAAATATGCCATTGCTGATGATGGTGAATGGGATGAAAAATCCATGGATAAAGTAGTCAAGGGAAAGGGAAGTGTTGTTAGTATAAAAAGTGGTAAGAGAAAATCAGGAGAAAGTGCCACTGAAATCTATGAAAAGGAAATGAAATCTATTAAAAAATCCAAAAAATCAAAGAAGTAAAGGTTATAGGTAGATAATTTACAAAAAAAAATAATAGAAAATATAGCAATGTAAAATAGCAATTAATAATAACGGACAAATGTCTATAAACGTTCTATGATAGAGGTTAGGGCTTTCTCCACCAATTCACGGAGAGGGATTGTATCATCATTATTCATATCCACAAGATTATACTTTTTAATCAAGGATTGATCAACCTTATTGTTCACAACGTCTCTATTCGTAAATAAATATTCATGACTAGAGACATAAGCAGGTAAGACAATTTTGGAAAAATAGTCAGGAGGATCTACCCAAAATCCTTCTGTTGTAGTGTAACCACTTCTTGATTCCCTTCTTTGCTTCAAAGTTTCGAATGGGGCATGGAAAAATAACTTTACATCAAATAGGTTAATTATCTCCGGATCGTGAAACAACATAAACCCATCAACTAAAACGATTTTTTTATTTTTAAACTTATATCCCATTTCAGTAATTTTGTTGAGAAGTTCTGACTCGTCAGATTCCAGCAATTTTAAATCTGCCTCAGTTGGTTCTATAGACTTTATATCTGAAACAATGCCATTCTTGAAATTAATAATACATTTGATAAATTTGTTAAAGTTGATCGCTTCAGGACAATCCCAATTTTGATACCCTGTTTCTTTGTCTATTGGGATTTCTGAATCTGTCAAGTAAAAATCATCCAAATGTATTAGCATAGTATTCTTTGGCAAGAGGAGCTTTAGCGATTTAGCAACTGTTGTCTTTCCAGATGACGATGGGCCTCCAAGAGCAACCAAAACAACCTCTTCTGGTATGATATCAACACTTTCAATAGTCATGTATCGTACGTTTCTTATGGGTTTTGTTTGGAAATGTAATATCCACTTGTCTATGTGGTTTTTGCTTAAATTACCAAGTTTGAGTAATAGATAATGATTATCGATTTTCTCTTTTTCCATTTTTTTTCTTCTTCTTTTTAATTTTTTTTTTCTCAGTTTCTGTTGCGGCGCGAGTTTTTTCTTTTGCCTTTAAGATTTGCGGCGGTTCTTCACTTTTAGTTGTACGCTGCGCTCATTCGAATTTTTACTACAACTGGAACTGGACAGGGCGAAGGACAGGGACCGGGATCGGGATCGGGACCCGGCCTACATGGGATCAAAAAATAATAATTAAAAAAGTAGGCGTTACTGCACACAACGAATCACAATCTTTTATTATATCTCTTAATTTATGAATCCGACTTATCAACTATAGATCAGTAACTTAATGCAACGACACACCTTTATCTGGTTGTGCTAATTTGATGGAGGGATGTTCTTGAATTTAATATCAAAAGTTGCTTATCTAAAAAATACAACAACTAGAATATTATATATAAAAAAAAGAAGATTAAACTTTCTCCTAACTGAACAATAGACTGGCGCATAACCCCACGATATAATTGGTGATACTATTAATTAAGCGCCTCTAAATATCAAATAATTATGTTGTGCAACTTTTTTGTTGGGAATGTTACTTTATGAACTCCCCTTGAAACGGAATTATTATCACCACCTTTTTCCCCATGGATACATATGCAGCAGACGTAGCAATAGAAAATGTAGGTACAAAAGTCATTGACTTTTTGGTCAGACTCTAATTTCATTCTCCTTATTTACTATGTATTTGCCATGTTCTATTATTAAAAATTATTATTATTGTTTCGTTGTGCATTTTTATCTTTGTCCTGGAGCTCATGTGCAACAGTTCAATGCATATTTATTTATGTATCGTGAACAAAATAAACAAAGAAAGTAAGTTATATATCCACATTGAGTAATTTCTGCTATATCTGGATCGGAGTTAGATTTTGTAACCCAATGGATAGCGGATGGTATAATATCTGAGTGAAGTTTCAAACGGATATTCATAATTCAAAGATTTTAGAATTATCCTTAGAAAAATGAACAAGAGATGAAGATATAAACGCTTCTATAGATTCAACTAGAGATTGCTTTTGGTAATAATAATAATAATAATAAAAAAAGAAACATGATTTTAGTATAGATATTAACAAGCTTTCCGCAGACCGTTAAATCCCAAATAAAGATGAAAGAACATTGCAGAACAAAGAAAGACAGTGTCAAGCATATACATGAAATACTAAAATATAATATCACATTTGCTGATTCATTTGTGACAATATTGATATTTCCTATCTCAAAAGTTGAATTCTACAAATACTTATTACGTTCTTGTTCTGATACACTTTCCTTGCAATTAACAACAATCCCATTATAGACGAACTAGTGCTAAATTACCACAGGATGTACCTGAAATGGTTTGTAACTAAAAAACATAAAGTAGGACTGATAATAATAATAATAGTAATAATAAAAATAAATTAAAATTCCCCTTTGACATTTCTATTTATACTGTTGTGTAATCTACCTCTAAAGGGTAATAATTTTGTATTTCGCAACTTCTTTTTTGATGAACGTGAAAATTCGCATTCCCCAATTAGGAAATGTTCATAAATGAACTTTTAATTTTTCTTGTACATTGGTTTTTTTACTTTTTACGAATATGAATTCAATGGACTTATCCTTACTCTACAAGTGTATAAAAATTACATGAAATCCCCCCTTTTTGCTTACCAACATATTCTTAGATGCAGTTTTTCTTGTTGTTTGGAAAGAATCAATCAGTTGGTTGTTATATTGAACAATTTTTTATTTTTTTGCCTGGCGCATTCCATTTTATAAGAGATTCCCAATATTTCCTTTTTTTGCACCTTCTTTTATTTTTTTTTTTTTTGCAATTCATACTTATACCAATCATTTAGTATCGGTATGAGTCAAACTCCACCCGATGAATCACACTATCATCAATATACTATACCGAAAGATATAGAAATGCAGATCAACGAAATTACAAACTTGCAAGCTTTGCTAAATCAAAAGATACTGAATCTCCAGGAACAATTACAAAATTTCAATCAATTACAAAACCAACCTCAGGTACTGCCTAGTTATATTCAGCATGCTCAACAATCAGTACCTTCCAATCCACTGCAGCAACAACTTCAGCAACTTCCTCAACCACAACAATTGCCATCACCTCCCCATCATCAATACCAAGAAAAGATAAAGCTACCTCCAATAACAGAGTTGCCGCTTTATAAAGAACACCCAATTACTCCTCCTCAATTATATAAACAACCACAACTGCTACCACTCCTTCAGCAACCACCAAAGAAAAAGAGAAAACAAACAACTATAAATTTCATGATATCCACGCCTTCAAATCCACCCGTGAAGAAATATAACAAGTAGATAGATTATTTCATAATGTATATCAAATTTTGCCAAAAAAAAAAAGTAAAAAGAATACATGTAGAATAGTGAACTTTAGTACATGCATTTATCCAACTCTTATTCTTCTTTTCCCCAGATTATCAAACTAAATCGTAGATCTAGTTATATAGTCCACGACAACAAAAATATTCACAAGAAATGAATATTCGCAATCAGATAACTTTGCACCAATAAAAGCTAAAAATGTTAAACGAGCAAAGGGCCGATAAACTCGCCGACATCGCACACCACTGGTTAATTTTCTCTCCTTAATTATTTTTCAAACATTCAATGTATACGGTAGCCGCTAGTGATAAGTATACAAAAAATAAATTTGGGTAAAAGCCCAGCTCTTTTTATTTTTTTTTTTTTTTAAAAAAAGGTTGCGCCACTTCTGGAACGATCTGGGACTTGATGTTGCAATTATTACCTATAGATAAAGGTCATTCTTATGCACAAATAGTTTCCCACTTTATCTACCCCTCCTTTCCGATATCTTTTATCAGTAGACTTAACTAAGGGGGTTCTACCAAGACACCCAACACAGTCTACTAATAAGAATGTCAAATGTCACCAAATTGGCTGTTCACTACCAGTTGTAAAATATGTACACGTAACATATTGTAGCTTGAATTTGTCTTTGTGGTGTACTTTTTTAGTTCTTTTGTTCAGAAACTCTGTGAATACCAAAGAGATAAGGCTATACCAGCTTGTGATAAGACTATTCGTCATCCCCATGGGAAACACACAAGTGGAAGAATTCAATACAGATTATTAGTCATGATCTCTCCTATTTTTTGCTTATGATTCATGTAAGAACAGTATTTGAAAGCAATAAATAATTGCGTGAGTTGTTTGAGTAACGCAACGCTATACGATATGACTAAAAAAAAAAATAATTAACAAATTCAAGAAAAAGAAAGTTGTTGCACTTCGCGGTGTAAGATCTCGTGATAGTGAACCAAACTCCCTTGACACCACGTCAAGATTTGCCACTCGGAGAAGTTGAAATTACATACAACAAAAAAACACATACCTATCAACTCCAACCCTATTTGACCTCTTTGAAGTCCAGGCAACTCTTCCGTATTAAATACTTGCTTGTCTTGTTGAAACTGTTCATCTCTCGCGTTGTATCACCAGACACAGTTCGGAAAAACTTTTCGGAAAAAATCGCGACAAGGCTGCATATTTTATTTCTTTTTTTTTATTTTTTATTCATTTTTGCATAGCGCATCCCTTTTAACAGCCATCAACTTGAGGATCTAGATTTCAGTACTAAAAGCTACAGCAATAATGGTTCCATTTGCCCATTTGGTGCAATAATATATATACCTGTTTAATTTCCCTACTTGTAGTTATTATTTTTTTTTGCAGTATTTCATTATTTTTATTTATTTATTTCTATATTTATTCAATCACTTGTATATACATAAACCTTGAAACATACTAAGATGCCTAATAAAGAAGAATTTGATATAGACAAAGTTATAAACTCCAAAAAATTAAAGACCATTGAATCACATACAGAAAGGGAACCTCCTTATACTATTTTTTATTCACATGATAAACTACTATTGATTATTGTTTTATCTTTGGTTGGGTTTTGGAGTGCTATTTCAAGTCCCATTTATTTCCCAGCTTTACCTACAGTTACAAATTATTTCCATATAACTCCTTCAGTGCTGAATATTTCAGTTGTTTGCTATTTAATATTTCAAGGTATTGCTCCTACAATATCATCAAATTTAGCTGATACTTTTGGTCGTCGTCCGGTAATATTGGCAAGTATCATCATCTTTTGTGCTGCTTGTATTGCTATTTCTCAAACAAATGTCTACTGGTTATTGGCTTTGTTACGTTGTGTACAAGCAGCTGGTATTGCTCCTGTATTTTCCATTAGTTCTGGTGTTGCTGGTGATATCTGTACTCCAGCTAACCGTGGTGGTATGGTTGGTGCCGTCTCCGGTTTACAATTAGTTGGTAATGGTATCGGTGGTTTAGTTGGTGCAGCTTTAATTGCTGGATTCGACTCTTGGAGAGCCATTTTTATCTTTTTATGCATTGGTGGTGCTGTTACTTTTGTATTTGCATTCTTTGTTTTAGCCGAAACCTCAAGAAGAATTGTTGGTAACGGTTCTATCGTACCAAAAAACATCATCAACAGAGCTCCATTGATTTACCTTCCTCATTTCAAGAAAAGAATGAACAATGCTGTGTCAACTTTACAACCAAAAGGTCCATTTGATATCTTGGGTCCATTCAAAATTTTCTTTGAAAAAGATGTCTTTTGTGTCAACTTACCCCTGGGTATGCATTTTGCAGCTTGGACAATGGTTTTAACTTCGCTTTCAACTGAATTAGAATCAGAGAAATATAATTACTCAGTCATGCATGTTGGTTTAATTTACTTACCTCAAGGTCTTGCTTGTTTCGTTGGTTCAATCTTAATCGGCCGTGCTTTGAATTGGTACTATAAATACAGAAAAAATCAATATGATAGACAAATGGATGATGTTCCATTAGATGAAAGACCTCCATTTAACTTAGCTGCTACCAGATTAACTTTAACCATTATTCCATTGATCTTTATGATTATTGGGTTAATTGTTTTTGGATGGTGTATCCAATATAAACAACATATCATTTCCATTATTATTTCAACAATTTTGATTTCATTCTCCGCTTCTGTGATGATGGCTATTTGTACAACTATGTTGGTTGATTTCCATCCAACACAAGGTGGGGCATCTGCAAGTTGTGTTAATTTAATGAGATGTTGGTTATCTGCTTTAGGTGCCGGTGTTTTAGATAAAATGATTGCCAAAATGAATTTAGGTGGTACTTATACTTTAATTGCTGGTATTTGTATCCTTACCGATTTCTGTTTACTTTATGTCTTATACAATGCTCATCAACAATTTGTCAACTATGTCCTGCCTAACCAAACTGCAGTTAATTCAGATGCTGAAGATGATGAAACTCCAGCTAAAATTTAATAGCATTTATTTATAGAACAACAACAACAACAACAACAAAAAAACAACATTAATATATTATTATAGACAATTTATAGATATGACTTAATACACTTTACTATTTAATAGAATTCACGAGGATAATATTCACGCGTTTAACTATATTAAACCAAAGTCAAATAGAAATCGCAAAACTATTTCTCTCTCTTTCTCTCTATATAGCAGCTTATTATTATAATTTAGTTAAATTTTTTTTTATTTATTTTTTTTTATTATTGCATTGTAAGCTTTATCTAAAACCTAAAGAAAACCCATAAATACACTGACAGAAGAAAATGAAATTATTGAGAGGCACATTGAACACCTGGACCACCACCTTGACCTTCATCATCTGAGTCATAAGCATCTCCTCTTCTTCTACTTTGTTCGTGTTGAGCAGGATTGTAGTCAACCATTTCACATTCGTCAATTTCAGCATCTTTTGGAATTTCAGTTTCTTTTCTTGGAGGCAAGATGTTGGCTAATTCCTTCAATTTTTCTTCACTTGCGAAATTGTTTTCTGGGAATTTGACAGTGAATTTCAACAACAAGTTACCTCTTCCACTTTGTCTATAAATTGGCATACCTTGACCTTCAACAACTTTAACTTCACCAGGAGAAATAATTTCACCAGGTTTGACAGTGATCTTGACATAATCACCAGAGATATCCTTGAGTGAGATAGTACCACCACACAATGCAGTAGCTAAATCAACTTCGTATTCCATAAACAAATCATTACCCTTTCTTTGGAATTGAGGATCACGTTTTTCATCAACAATGAAAATCACATCACCTGGAGTAACACCTGGGGATTGATCACCTTCACCGGAAAAGACAATTCTTTGGCCATCACGCATACCTGGTTCAATATGGACTTGCAAGATCTTTCTTTCAGATTGAGTTTTGGCACCTTTACAGGTCTTACAACGATCCTTTGGATCACACAAGTCACCAGTACCTTGACATTTGTCACAAACAGTTTGGAATCTTTGAATCATAGGACCCATTTGTTTAGTTACAAATTTCATACCAGTACCATGACAATCTGGACATTCTTGAACTTTGCCAGCAGCACCACCACGACCATCACAGTCTTTACAAAGAACGGTTTTATTCAAAGCAAGTTTAACAGATTTACCTTTGTAAAGATCAGCAAGAGAACATGAGATGGAGTGTTTGATATCTTTGCCTCTAGCTGGACGTTGAGGACCACCATGGAAACCGCCACCGAAAAATTGACTGAAAATATCATCGGCGTTCATTCCTGGACCACCTTGACCTTGTAAACCTTCTTCACCATATTGATCATAAATACTTCTCTTTTCAGGATCACTTAAAACTTCATATGCATGAGAGATTTTCTTGAATTTTTCGTGAGCTTCAGCCAGAGGATTCTTATCTGGATGGTATTTAAGTGCAGCCTTTCTGTAAGCCTTCTTTAAGTCCGATTCAGAACATGAAGGATCAACATTCAACAATGTATAGTACTCGTTCTTGGTAGACATGATTTAGTAGTTGTTTGGTTGGGCAACGAGGATTATGAAGAGAAAATTTTTCTAGTTCCTTTTGAATTTTATATATTTTTTTTTTGCTTTCTTTTTTTTTTTATTTTTTCTGTCCAGTCTTCTCGCGATTTTACTAATACTGGTAATCATACCGATACTATGCAGTACCTAATTTTTTTTTTTGCTGGTATAAAGATTGCTTGATATCTCCACTGGAATGTTTTACTAGTTTTTAAAAAGTAGTGCTAATACTACTACATAGGCTGATAAGTTTTCCTAGAGGCATTACTCACTGTAAATGAATAAAAATGTGTATATTGAATCGTTCTGTTATTGGTGCACGTTCTTAAAAATCAGTAATAATGGAAGGTTCTAGAAAAAAAAAATATTTTTTGTATGCTTTTCTTAATTTTTGCAACTACTAGAAAGTTCCAAATCCTTGAGAGATAATGTGGATCTATCGAGAGTGCGCATTGTCATAGTTCCCATTAACCAGCATGTTCAACAATTTCACTGACCAATTTGCCATCAACGATTCTGTTTAAGATTTGTTCTGGGATAGCTAATTCATTGTAATCGTTGTCACCCGTTGGAACGTTAATATTCAAAGCAGTGGTACTACTTGTAACAATTTGACAGTCATGATCAACACTCTCTTTAGATAAGTAAATGGTACCTTCATCGGATTTGTCAATGTTGATGGTTGGAACCAATCCAAGAACTTGAATACCAAATTTAACTGCTTTCACAACATCAACACCAGAAATTAATGAATCAATAACAAGACTGACATTCTTATTGTTTGAAAGAAAGACGTTATTAGCCTTGCCTTTCAATTGAATAGTGACAGTATCACAGTTGGAGATGAAAACTGATTGTTGAGGTTCAACATCAATAGTGATAATTGAGTCTGCATGACTATAGTTCAAGATTTGCCACTTGTTGTCAACCAATTCCTTCTTAGGTGTTTTTGGTGGTTGTGCAGTAGTAGTTCCAGAAGCAGTAGAAGAAGCACCACTATTGGAACCTGATAAACTGCTTGGTTTCTTTGGTGGACGAGGAACTTGTTTTCTCAATTCAGGATTCTTGTGTGTCATTTCCGAAGGTGAGACTTTCTTCAAACCACTAGTGATAGCACTACCTTGGTTAATTTCTTGAAACAAGGCAGCTGGAGATGGAGCAGCTGGGGAAGGAGTAGCTGGAGTAGCTTCAAAGACTGAGGCTGGTGGAGGAGGAGGTGGTGGAGGTGGGGCAGAACCACCAGTAGGAGCAGATTTTGCTGGAGCTGGAGTAGGATTGGCAGCGGCATAAGCTTCAGAAAATGGACCACCTTTAGCATAAGAGTCTTTCACATAAGTTTTCAAACTTTCAAAGATAGATAAAAGTTGTTGGACCCATGGTTTGTTTTCTTTGATAACCTTATTGGTCCAATAGACGGCAGTGTCTTTAATGTCGACAACATATTGAATTGGTTCGTCGGTAAACACCCAAATAATAACATTTGAAGCTTCTCCAAGAGCGTTTAAATAGTTAGATCTAGTAGCTTCTTTCAATTCAAAAATCTTCAGAATCTTTTCCTTCAAAATGTTAGTCAACGCCTCTTTGGTACTGGCATCAGCCTTTGCAATTGCATTGCTGACTTCATCAAAAGTATCTTTAAACAATTGAGCAGCTTTTCCAGTAGAATCATCCACTTTCTTGGAGGTCTCAACAAATTCAGCAAGTGTTTTCAAGATAGTTTCGTCTGATGGAGTTGAAACTGGAGCAGGAACTGCGGCACCACCACCACCAGCAGCAACTGATTTAGAATCAGAATCTGTAGGAACACTCTTTGCAGTTGAATCGGTACCTTCAGGTGGAATAATAGCCTGTTCAGCGGCCTTAGCTCCAATACGTTCAACACCGAATTTCTTCTTGTTGACTTCTTCTTGGAAAATAGTAATATCTTCAAGACGTGAAGTTGCTGCTTCTAATCTCTTCAAGATAGTAACAATATTATATCCCTGAACATTGAATTGATTTTCTTCAGTTGACATTTTGGTTTGTAATGTTTGTTGTTGCCAGATCAATTTAGAACGGTAGAACAACAGATTCCAAACAAAAAAAAAAATAGAATCGCTCTGGTGAGTTTGAAACACGGACAACCGAAATTAACAACCATGAACACTTTGTTCACCATTAGTACACGACCTCGTAGTTTCAACCTTTCAATTTCTCTCTCTCTTTTTTTTTTCAACCGTCTTTCAGTTTTGGGAAACAAATCAGTAGCTCTTGTTTTCATTGTATCTTCATTAATCATCATTTGCAAACCTGAATGTCTCCAATTAAGGTTAAACCAGAAGAAGAGGTCTTCCCACCTCAAGAGATACACTTACTCAAAGATGCAAATTTTGGAGACACATCCTACCAAGAACCATTCTACAACAACTATCAGCCACACGTACCTATTGCAATAGATCTTGGAACTTCAACATGGAGAGTAGGGTTGACCAATTCATCAGAACCAAATAATATTTTTCCTGGATTGATATCCCGTTATAGAGATAGAAAGGCTTTGAAAACATTGACAATCGTGGGGAATGATGTATATTCCGATTCTGTTTTGCGTTCAACTATAAAGACTCCGTTTGATGGTCCATTGATAACAAACTGGGACTATATAGAATTCATGTTGGACTATTCCTTCGAACATCTTGGTGTAACAAGCGATAATGGGAAGTTGAACAATCCAATTATTATGACAGAACCAATAACTTGTACCCACAATCAACGTAAATCAATGTATGAACTTTTGTTTGAAGCATACCAGGTACCAAAAGTGAGTTTTGGTATCGATTCATTATTTTCATATTATGCCAACTCATCAGGAAAATCTAGTGGATTGGTTATTGGTGCTGGTAATCAAGCCACTAGCATTATTCCAGTTTTAAATGGCAAGGGAATCATGTCACAAGCAAAGAGAATTGACTGGGGTGGAGATCAACTGCAACAATATTTGTCTAAATTGTTGACATTGAAATATCCATATTTTCCTAGTAAATTGAATAGCAACCATACAACAAATTTATTCAAGGATTATTGCTATGTGCTGAAAGATTACCAACAAGAAGTTAGTCACATATTAGACATGGATATCTTGGAATCAAAAGATGTGGTTGTACAGGCACCTGTGGAGATTGCCGTCACAAATGAGAAAAAGAAAACTGACGAAGAATTGGCTGAACAGGCTGCCAAAAGAAAGGAACAAGGTAAGAGATTACAGAAACAGGCACAAGAGAAGAGATTAGAAAAACTAGCACAGAAACAAGAGGAATGGGATTATTTCTCCAAATTCAAGGAAGATAATTCAGAATTATCATCCGAAGAATTCGAATCCAAAGTAATTGCTAATGGGTTTGACGATTTAGATGATTTCAAAAAATACATGACATCGTTAGAAAGAACATTAAAGAGGGCCAACCAAGGTGAAGACGATCCCGAAGAAGAAGAAATAGATCCTGCAAAGGCATGGCCATTAGTTGATATTCCTGATGATCAATTGACTGAAGATCAAGTCAAGGAGAAAAGAAAGCAGAAACTTCTCAAGGCTAATTTTGAAGCTCGTGAACGTAACAAAGAGATCAAAAGACAAGAAGAGGAGGCTAAGTTGAAGGCAGAACGAGAGCAACAAGAATGGCGTGATCGTGACTTGGATGATTGGTGTACTACCAAGCGTTTACAATTGGCTGAAGCTATAAGCAAATACAAGGAAAAACAAAAATTGCTAGAATCATTTAAAGATAGAAAATCTGCTGCTGCTCAACAACGTATGAAGTATATTGCTGACTTGGCCAATGATGAAAATGGGTCCACTTCGAGTCAATCAAGAAAGAGAAGACGTAATGCCAATGCTACTATAGATAATGATCCAAATGATACATTTGGTGCAAATGACGATGATTGGAACATGTACAGAGAAATCACAAATGCATCTGTTGAAGAAGATATGGAAAAAATAAACAACGAAATCTTATCTTTGGAAGACGAGTTGTTGCAATATGACCCTAATTTTCACCATGAGGATACTTTTGCAGCTGCTTCTACTTTTGATTGGAAAAATCTGGTGCTTCATAAGTTTATTCATGGTCCTCGTCCAAATATCACTATAGCCATGCAAGCTGAAGGATTACTGCCCGATGAAATAGCGTCACATCCAGAAATGATTCGTAAAAACCATCAAATTCATTTGAATGTCGAAAGAATTAGAGTTCCGGAAATACTATTCCAACCAAGCATTGGTGGATTGGATCAAGCCGGAATTAGTGAAATTGCCAAAGATTTGTTAACAAGAAGATTAGACGGAAATTTTACTATTGGAGGCCAATCTTATGATGTTGCGAAAGACATTTTCTTGACTGGTGGGTTGGCATCATTACCTGGTTTCCAACAAAGAATAGAGACAGATTTCAGAAGTTTCCTTCCCATTGGTGCACCAATAAATGTCCGTACTGCAAAAGACCCATTATTAGACTCATGGCATGGTATGTACAAGTGGGCCAATAACGAACAAGATTCCAAAAATGGATACGTTACAAAGGAAGATTACGAAGAGTATGGTGCTGAATATATTAAAGAGCATGGATTAGGTAATGTTTCTTTAAAATAGGTCATTGTTGACCATTGCAATAAGCAAATCTCTTTTTATAATGTTATGTATTAATGAAAATAATCAGATACACAAGTTTATACGTTTTCAACCTAGCTTACTTCTTTCCAGCATTAGGATTAATACCTTTCTTTTTCAAGTTGTCCTTTTTGGATTTTTCAATGAACTTTTCATCTTCTTCATTATTGAACTCAGCGAAATCATCATGAATAATACCTTCTTCTTCTGCTTCAGCTCTAGCAGCATTTTCCTTTTCTTTAGCACCGGCTTTGGAAACATCATGTGGAGATGGAGCAATTTTCTTAAACTTGGCTACGTAGAAACCATCGACATTGTAAGTGTGAGGATAATAACGTCTAGTTAAAGCAATCTTTGGGTTGAAATGTTTACCACGATAAGAGGTAAAACCTTCTTTACCTATTGTCAAACCAGTGTCTACCAATTTAACATTTGGTCTCTTTCTCAAAGCGTAATCAACAACAGCTTCGTTTTCATCGACAGCAATTGAACAAGTAGAATACACTATAACACCACCAGTAGGTGAGTTTGCATCTACAGAATCAATGGCTGATAATAACAATTGCTTTTGTAAATGAGGAATTTGCATGAAATCCTTTTCAGTACGACTGACCTTAACAGAAGCATCTTTAGCAATAACACCAGTACCAGAACATGGAGCATCCAACAAAACTCTATCAAAACCACCAATAACTTTAGGGAATTCTCTAGCATCGTAATTACACACAATTGTGTTTTTACATCCTAATCTATGAATATTTGCAATCAAGGACTTGGTACGTGCTTTATTGGCATCATTAGCGAAAACACACCCTGTATTCTTCATCAAAGCAGAAATATATGTAGTTTTACCACCTGGAGCAGCAGCCATATCCAATATACGTTCATTTTCTTGAGGTTCCAAAGCCATGACTGGCAAGAAAGATGAAGCAGCTTGTAAGATATAATGACCAGCCAAATATTCTGGTGTAGCACCAATAGGAACTTGTGAATCAAAGATTTGCAAACCAACTTTAGTCCATGACCCGATTGGTTGTAAATTGACACCCTTATTGACTAAAGCTTGAGCCAAATCTCTTCTTCTTGTCTTTAAAGTATTTGTTCTTATTGTGACTGGTCTGGCAATTTCATTGGCTTCAAAGAATTCCATGGCTTCAGCTGGGGAGAATAAGTTGAACAACTTTTCAGCCAAGAATTCAGAATATCCAAAATATTCACAGATATCTTTTAATAATCTATTAGTGTAGTCTGTTCTGGATTTACCTTCTTCGGCCAATTCTTTGAAATTTTCCAATACTTTAACAATTTCAAGCATTCTAGTTCTAACCATGGTAACATCTTGAGGACCTTGTTCCATCAATTCTTCTTCTTCTGCAGTTGGTAAAACTTTAGCTCTTGGTTGTTTGGTTTCACCTTCAAGTAATTCCTTTTCAGCTTCTTCGGCTTCTAATTGTTCTTCTTCATCAAGTCTCTTAGAATAAAGTTCCATGTTTTGGGCATTCAAGTTTTCTAAATCTTCATCTTCATCATCAGAGAACATTGGTCTTGCTCTATCTTCTTCATCAGAGTCAAGATCTTCACCATCAATATCAAATTCATCATTTTCAACATCAAACTCATCGTTTAATTCTTCTTCATCATCATCGTCGGAATCATCAAAAAGGGATTTCTTAGCTGATGCTAATTCTTCCAAATCTACTTCAGGTAAATCTGCATCTTCTTCTTCTTCGTCGTCACTTTCTTGTTTTTTGGATTTGGATTTAGATTTCTTAGACTTTGATGCTTGTTCCGGTTTAGAATTAGTAGTTTGTTTCACTTTTTTAGTAGTAGGTAATTCATTTTTTGTTTCAGTAGATCTCTTTCTTTTTGAATCCTTTTTAGGACCCATAGTAGCTTGAAATTCATCAAGACTTGGTGGTGCTGCTTGCTTATTCTTGGCTCTTCTACCCATGTTGATCGATAATGTATTATTAAGTTAATCCTTTATGATAATACAAAATTTTCCAATAATTAGATGAAAGAAAAAAAAAAAATCCAAGCGATGAGATTACGATGCGTACTTTGGTGAAAAAAAAAAAAAAAAATCAAAAAAAATTGCACACTATCGATCCGCTCATTGGTCTTCACCATACATTAAGAATTTTGCTAGATAATGTCAAGCACTGAATTCAAGAAAAGTAAATCAATCATTCAGTCAGGTCAACATGTGTTGATTCGTCTACCATCAGAAGGTTTAAGAATAGTACATTTACAAGATACAGGGGTCATAGGTTTAGGAAAATTTGGACAATTCGAGGTGTCAAATATCTTGGGATACCCATTAGGTACTTCTTTTGAAATATTGGAAGATCAAAAAGTGAAACCAATTAAAAGTATTTCAACTTTGGATTTGCAAGATTCAGATGAAAGTACTCAGCGTCAAGAATTAACAAAGATTTTTAGTAATAGTGCGGAGAATAATCAAAACATTATTGACATTGGTGGGAAGATTCAAAAGTTATCAAAATCTGATATTGATGAGTTAAAGAAACTGGGAGCAGGATCCAGTATTGGTCAACTAATTATTGAGAAAATTATTGCTGGTCATGAAGGATTTGATAAAAAAACCATATTCTCCCAACAAAAATATTTGAAAAGAAAACAACAGAAATTTTTGAGACGTTTTACAGTTGATTACCTCGGTGGAAGTGAGTTGTTAGAATACTACATTGAAAAAGATTTATCTAAAGTATTGGATCTTAGCATTGAAAGTTTAGGCTTAATTTTGACATATGCTAATGTGAGACCAGGTGGTAAATATCTTGTTATCGATGAAACTGGTGGGATTTTGACTTATGCCATGATGGAAAGAATGAATTGTGAGGGTACTATTGTTTCTATCCATGAAAATGAACATCCAAACTTGATCTCCTTGAAATATGCTGATTACAGTGATGAAACCGAATCTAAAGTCATCAAGAATATCAACTGGTTGCAATTCCTTGAGCCGGAAAATGAAAGAATTCAATGGACAGATATGACTGAAGAAGAACTTAAAGCTGTTAAAAATAAACCTCAGTATTTTAAACGTCGTGAGCGTGCATTGCAAATCAACGGAGTTATTGATATGGTTGTAAACGGTAATTTTGATGCTTTAATAACAGTTTCCACTTTACATATTCCAGGAATTTTGGACCATGTTCTTCCAAAGATTGGTGGTTCCAGACCTGTTGTTATTTATAACCAATACAAAGAAACCTTATTGGAAATCCAACAACATCTTGGGCCAGATAAGAGAGTATTAGCACCAGCTATCTATGAAACCAGGGTAAGACCATATCAAACCATTCCAGGAAGAATGCATCCAGTTATGTCAAATAGAGGTGGCGGTGGTTACATCTTGTGGGGTACTAGAGTTATACCTCATCATGAAATTACTGCTGTTGGTAAAGGGTTTGCCAAAAGAAGAAAGACTGAAACTTCTACTGTTGAGGGTGACGAAACTCCAGAAGTCGAATCTGAAAGTATTCAAGATACTCCAGCTGAAACCACGCCAGAAATTGTAAGTACTTAGAAAGTTTCCATGTATATTTCGTCGTCATTACATATAAATAAATACATTACTTGTCATAGATATAATCGCATAGCTTGTTGAAAATATCAAACTTACCGTCTTCCTTCCAGCCAAGAACACACCTTACTTTCAGAGCACCATCTTTCATGATTCCGACTTTCCATGAGTTGAGGTTCTTTTGGACTTCGGTGTTTACAAAATCAGCTTGATCTTTATATCCAACTTCAAATATAAAACCTTCTGCGGCGGATTGTATGACGATGTTTTGTAGTAACGCATAATAAAATTCACCATCCCCAACTAATGCTAGTTTGGGTTCATACAATCTAACGGACTTTTCAACTCCATCCTGTCTTGCTGATCGGACATAGTCTTCCATTGGAATGTATGGAGGGTTTGAAGTGATCAAATCTATTCTTGGAATACTTAACTTGCTGATGATTTCTGCATCAAAGACATCGCCCAAGTGATAGTTGAGAGTAACCTTATTGTGAGGATACTTTTTCTTATACGCTTCCAAGTTTTCAATCGCTAGCTCATACGCTTTTCCAGATACATCAAATCCATGAATTTGTGGTGCATATTCCCGTAACTCGTGTGCCATTAACAAAGGAATGCACCCAGTTCCAGTACATACATCCAATATCAGAAGTTCATCTTGTTTTGGGATTTGCTTCAATGCGTGTATCAACTTTATACACCATTCCTCAGTTTCCCACCGTGGAATTAATACCCCTTCTCTACATATGATACTCAATTCTCCAAAAGGCTGGGATTTAAGAATATATTGTAATGGCACAAGCTTTTGACGTTGAAGAACAGCATTGGCCCATTCGTAGGGAGGTAATTCATTCTTAATCCATTTCAATTCCATTACAGCTCGCTCAATGGTTCTGTTTGCTGGTAGTAATGGGGGTAACAATGGTGATATCTTCCTTGCTTGCCGTATAAGCTTTGATGTAATCCTTGTCATTGGTTATTCCGAGGTAAGTAGACGATAATGTGATCCACCCTGAAATGAATTTTTCACTTTTTCTTTAGGATATTTATTTTTTTTCTTTTTCCTCGTAGGGTTTCCTTCTACTTTTACGAATGACTATCTATCCCCCCTCCCCCACATAAATATAGATTAAACCGTTTAATGTTGTGTATTTACAAATGTTTATATATATATATATATGAATAGATCTCTTAATAACTATGTACAAAAATGACAAAAATATAAAGCACGAGAGCGTCTAAGCCTTACCTTTTCTGACATAGTACATGTAAGCTCTTTCATGAACATGGTCTGGGAATGGAGAGATTACTTCAGAATGGCCAGGTCTAGCAATTGGGTCTCTTAAGTAAATAGCGTGACATGTATCAAATGAGATTTCTATGTGAGAAGGCAAAATAGCAAATGCACCCAAGAAAGCTCTTGGTTTCCATGGAGTGAAGTATGATCTTGAAGGGTCTTTTCTTCCGAAAAGATGGTTTTGCCATGGCAAAGTAACCTTGGCCTTGGATTCGTCTTCCAAAATAGCTTCTTTGTTTAATTTTGTGGCTGGCTTTAATTTTTCAGCAAATGATGATTCAAAGAACTTGTTTCCAACACCATCTTCAAGGCTTTCAAATTCAACACGAATTCTTTCCCATTCACTTTTTTGTAATTCACGTAAGGTAGCAATAATTAATCTACCAGCAGCTTTTTCTTCTGGGGATCTTTCATTGTCTTTAGCAAACAATTTGCTAATGTTTTCTTCTGAAGGTTCACTGATCAATGGGTGTTTCTTTTCAACCAAACCTTGGTAAATTTGTAAACATTTGGCACTTGGAATTTTACCGTACTTGTTGAAAGTCTCTTCAGAAACAGCAGCTCCTGCAGCATTACCCAATTTCAAAATATCAGACAAAATAGATTCTCTGGTGACTTGATCTTGTTGTATCTTCATCAACTTCTTAGCACTATTAACGGAGCTTTTATGTTGTTCAGAAGCTTCGGCTTGTCTCAAAGTATCCAATGATTCTGGCTGCTTTTGTTTCAAATTCCAAATTTTTTCTGGGTTCTTCTTAGCTTCATAGACATAATGGTTCCAGGACTTGATTTGTTTTCTGTCGACACTCAATGCTTTTTCTAGACTTGGCTTGTCTTTACCCAAGGCATATAAAACTTTTTCTGGATCAACGCTGAACACATCCCCACTTTGTAATGGGAAAGAAGGATATTTCATGACGACTCCATTAACTTTGACAAATCCACCAAGAATAAATTGCCTTGCTTGTCTAAGGGAACTGGCAAACATACTTCTAAACAAAGCAACTTCTAATCTCTTTTCCAAGGTACCGAATGTTTGCAAAGTGATTGGAGTAGGAGCAACATCACGACCTTTTAAGGATGCATCTAATTGGGAGTATGTTTTCAAATCCTTGTCGAATAATACATTCTTGAAGTGTTTTTCTCTAAGATGTTCCCCATGGTACTTTCTTGTTTCACTTTTGGCGGCCCATTTTTGTTGGTATAATGTTTTACCAAAATACAGTAAAGGATCCTTTCTGTAAACATTAAACAAGTTCAACTTGTTCATGGACATGGTAATATTCCCTCTCGTCATATGACGGAGCTTGTCTACTTTTCTAGGCATGGTCGAGTATTATAACAGTAGAGGTTTTCCTGTTGTATCAATATGAACGATTTCACTAGGACGATTTGAAAATTTTTCTTCTCTCTTTTCATTCCCTCTCAGCGGTTTGGATTTTTTTCTTCCTCTCTCTGTCTCTCTTTTGTTCTGCGTATTTGGTTTCGCACATTTTCTTCTTCGTCAATGTTTTTTTTTCCCTTTGTTGTTTTTGCTATTGGATTGATGGAGAGAACTCGTAACTATAGGATATTAAGTGTCCAGATATTTATCATAGGTTGAATTGTATTATAATCATTTAGACTTTAGGTACATTTGATAAAGATGTCAGATTCATCGTCAGAAAAAAATCCACTGTCATCACCTTTAGACCGTAAATGGTCAATTGAAAATGAAATCCAGCTTTTTAGTCTAGTTTGTGATTATAAACCTGCGGGTCATAAGAAACAGGAAAACATTAAAATGATAATAAATAAGGTAAACGAATCATTAACGCCTGAAGAAAAACCATTTACTGAAAAGGATATATGGCAGAAATTGGGATCACTATACAATTTGTCAAGAATTGATCAAATTGAAGAATTACTGAGTGGTAGTACTAGCAGTGGTGAAGAAAGTAGCACAACCACTAAGAAACAAGAAGAGGTGAAAATAAAAGAGGACAAGGAAGAGGAAGAGGAGGAAGAGGAAGAGGAGGAAGAGGAAGAGGAAGAGGAAGAAGAAGAAGAAGAAGAAGACTCAAATGACTCAGAAGTTTCCGAGAAAACTAAAGAAGTTTCAGCATCATCAGCAACACCTTCATCGAGGAAATCAACTACTCCTGAACCAAGTCAACGAAAAACAAGAAGTGTAAGAGACACTACTAAGACACCTCGTGGATCACGAAAGGGAGCAAAAGATAATGTCAAATCTGACAATACAGATGACAGTGATAAAGTAGAGGAAATAGAGAAGGATGGGGAAAGTTTAGCAGAAGAAGTAAAAGCAAGTCTGAATCAAGATAATTCTGATGATTTAAAAACAGAAACTCCGGGAGAAAAGGATGAGATGGAGGATGAAGAAAAAGAAGAATCGCCAAAGGATGATCTGACTGAGAAGACCAATGCTCTGTCAGAGAATGTTGAACTGGTAACTGATGAAACAAAAGAAGCAAACGAGAAGGAAGACGATAAAGAGAATGGAAATGAAGATAAGGAAGTACTGTCAGATGAAGCAGAAGAGCTGGAGGTTGTGAAAGAAAATGAGAGAGAAGGTGATAACGAGAAAGAAGAAGAAAAGGAAAAGAAAAATAACGATGAAAAGGAGAAAGAGGAAGTCGATGGAGAAGAAGATGAGGAAGAGGGTGATGGAGAGAATGATGGAGAGAATGAGGAAGAGGAAGAGGAAGAAGACGAAGAAGAAGATGGCGAGGAAGATGATGATGATGATGATGAAGACAATGACGATGGAGAGGAAGAAGAGGAGGAAGAAGAGACGCCAGAACCTGTTCCAGTGCCTAAACGTACAAGAGGTAGAAAATCAAAAGCAGCAGAGGAGAAACTTCGAACACCACCCCCTGCTACCAAGAAAAGAACAAGGCTGACTGTGAAATTTGAAGAAAAACCAACCCCAGCATCAACAAGAAAGAGACGTGCACCAGCTGGATCCGTATCACCACAACCACCTCCAAAGACACGTAGAAGAACAAGATCCGAAACCCATAGTCACGATAATGAACGATCTGATGATCACCCTGATACTGTTGAACAAGAAGAACTGAAGCCAGTTACAAGGAGATCTAGCAGAATTTCGAATGAATCTAAAGTAAGACGTAGTACTAGAAAAAAGTAATATAGGACACTGCTATATAGATAATATAAACCATTACAGAAATTGCAATTGGTAGTAATGATAGACCAATCGCGTGCTACTAGGGCGCGTCCCTGTCGTATATTCTATATTTCTCACTATTTTTTTATTTTTTTTTTTTCACTTCTTCACTATATGATCCGATATTTCGCTGCGATCTCTGTCATAAAAATAGACGAATAGATCAAGATCATCTTTTTGAAGAAGGTTCCAAATTTTTTTTTCCAGAGATATATTTAAATGTTTAAGTTGGTACTACGAAGAAGTGAATACTGCTTACTTCGTGTTTTTAGTTTTGGGGGAGCTCGATATCATGCAACAGCAGCTTCAACTACAACTACTACCACAACAAAAAGTACAAATCCACAGTTGGAAAATTGGGATAGAGGAGCTAGAACGCAAAAGACATCCCTTACACCGTTATTCAATACAGTTAAAAAGTTGATTGATTCAAATCCAGGATGTGTTAGCTTGATACAAGTTGGAAGTTTTTATGAATTGTATTTTGAACAAGCAGAAGAATATGCTCCAAAATTAGGAATAAAACTTGCAAGTAAAAAAACTTCAAACCATATAATCCCATTTGCAGGCTTTCCCGTAACTCAACTAAAGAGATTTGCAGAAATGTTAATTCATGATCATAAAGTGAATGTAGCAATTGTGGACCAATGTTCTCTTGGTAGCAAAACAGACCTGCAATTAGTCCACCGAAAAATATCACGAATCATAACACCAGGAACTTTAATTGATGAATCCTTTTTAAATTTCAATGAGAATAACTATTTACTTTCCATTTATTTACCACCTAATGCAGTTAAGCTACCAGCTGATCCTGATTTGCAAATTGGATTATCTTGGATTGATATCTCTGTAGGAGAATCATTTGTTCAACTGACTACCTTGGGCCAATTGAGTTCGGATTTGTCAAGAATTAATCCAAGTGAGATTTTGATGCAAAAGGAATTACAGAACAAGGAACTACATTTAGGAAAATGGTATGGTCCTTTGCAGGAGTTGAAACGATATCTGTTACGGTATCATTCGGTTACTATGTATTCTGATTTGAAACAAAGATTTGATTCCCATGTCCAGAAGGTGCGTAAGCATTTTGAAGATCTTACAGTGAGAGAGCATGCAGCATTAAATATGATATTATCATATATCAGCATCAACTTACCAGACTCCAACATTGTATTAGATTTACCTACACGTTATGTTAATGAAAATTGTTTGCAGATGGATTCCAGAACCAGAGAGGCGTTAGAGTTGACGGAACGAACCATTGTTGGCAGGACGTCAGCTGTAGGATCATTACTTTCTACAATTAAACGAACTTGTACACTGTCAGGAACAAGAATGTTGACAGACTGGGTGAAGTCACCGTTATTGGAAATTGATGAGATTAAATATAGACAAAAGTATGTGGAACTTTTCTTGAAAAATGATTATTTAAAGATTGTTACGCGACAACAACTACTGCAAATTGGTGATTTTATAAGAAATTTACAAAGATTAGTAATAGGAAGGGGTGATTTGGCAACTCATTTACTTCATACGGCAGCATCCATTCAGAAATTACAAAAATTAAGAGATTTTTTATCAGAAGAGTATAACAAGAAACCTAAAAATGCCCCAGTTTTAAAAAGCTTTTTGGAAAAATTCAAAGTTCCTCAAGAAATTGCAGAGGAGATTTTGAGCGTGATTGAAACAGAAGAAGTGACTTCTGGTGATCAGACTGAAGGTTCAGACTATGTTCAAGAAGAAGACACTGTTCCCGCATATGGCAATTTAAGTTCTTATGGAAACAACTATAGCGAGAAGTATCGGGTTAAGAAAACTGAAGAGAATGACCATGATACATTTTATTCGGTTCGTAAGGACTACAATGAGGCATTGCGTGCTTTACATGATGATTTGGAAGTGTTGGAAAACAAGGAAACACAATTCGTGAATGATTTGCGTGCAACATTACACGATATTGATCAAAAGCTTACCTTGTCAAAGAAAGATTCTGTTGGGAAATATGTCAACTCGATTCTCATTAGTGGGAAAACATCATCAATCGAAAAGGCTTCTCAAAAATTGAGTAAAGATATTCTTTACACAAAGAAAATGTCACTTTTATACAGACCAAAAAAATGGAATGATCTTCAACATGCCATTAATGAGAAGCAAGCGTCGATTTTGTTAATAGAAGATGAAATCATGAATGAACTTAAGCAGAAGGTAATCCAAAGGTTCTCGGAATTTCGAGAGTTGGCTAGATTGGTTGATTTCTTGGATGTAACAGCATCGTTTGCCATAATAGCAGAAGAAAATAATTGGGTTTGTCCAAATTTGATTAAAACCCCTAAACTTTCCATCCAAGGAGGGCGTCATGTTGTCGTTGAATTTAGTTTGAAGCAGTCAGGAAACATGTTCATCCCTAATGATTCTGCAATGGGTGCAGAAGGCAACTTGTGGGTGATTTCAGGACCAAATATGGGTGGTAAAAGTACATTCTTGAGACAGAATGCATTGATTGTAATTTTAGCACAAACGGGATCTTATGTTCCAGCAGATAAAGCAACAATTGGTGTAGTTGATCGAATATTTACCAGAATTGGTGCATCAGATGATTTGTATAATGATATGAGTACATTTATGGTAGAGATGGTGGAAACAAGTAATATATTAAAGAATGCAACTCCTAGATCACTTGCAATAGTGGATGAAATTGGAAGAGGAACAAGTGGTAAAGAAGGATTGGCTATAGCATATGCTACATTACTTGGTTTGTTAAATGACAACAAGTGCCGAACTTTATTCGCCACACATTTTGGTAAAGAGTTACAAGAGTTATTAGTTGAAAATAGCATTGATCAGAGCAATATCAGATATTTTAGAACCAGAGTTATAACGAGAGGTACAGTAGAAGGTGATTTCATTATTGATCATTCTTTGGAACCTGGAATAAGTGAACGGTCTCATGCTTTGCAAGTTGCCAAAATGGCAGGTTTCCCTGAAAATTCATTAGAAATTGCCGAAAAAGTTTTAGATAGATTATAGATTACTTCTCTATATAAGTGTATTTTAATTTAATGAGGTGGTTGAGGAGGATAATTTAGGTTTTGACTATTCTGTAAATGTTGTAAGAGCATATTTTGAAGTTGTGCCAATTGAGCAGGATCGACTTGTGTATTCTGCATATTGTATGGTTGTTGTTGTGGGGGTTGGAAGTATTGATTTTGTTGTGTGTAATTTTGCTGTGGGTAGCTTTGCTGTGGGTAACTTTGTTGTGGGTAGCTTTGCTGATATGGATTGTTGTATCCTTGGTTTCCCTGGTTTTGATAATATGGTTGTTGTTGAGGTGGGAAATTTTGATACTGATTAGGTGTGTTACCGTACTGATCACTCTGTGGGTAGTATGGCTGACCATATTGAGATTGTGTCTGTTGATGTTGTTGGAAAGATGATTGTGGTGGTGCTGGTGGTAGAGCTGCTGCTGCTGATTGTTGCTGTTGTTGTTGTTGTTGTTGTTGTTGGTAAGTATTGTATACGTTCGTATTCTGTGGATTAATCAGTCTGCCTCTATTTTGCAACCCAGTTCTGTTAGAAGTAGAAGACAATGGGGTATATGGAGCTACGTTTTGTCTCTTTGTTTGGGGTACCGGATTCAGTTCTATTGCTCTCTTGTTCTTGTTGCTATTTTTCTTCTTTTTCTTTGCTTGTTTTGCAGCCAGTTCTTTTTCATCATCAGAATATTCTTGTTCTTCTTCAGGTAATTCCTCATCATGACAATTACTTGCATCAGTTCCTTTGATATGTTTGATTGAATCGGTATATAAAAACTGTGAGTCTGGAACAACATAGTAAACACTCTTGCCCTTGCAACCTTTGAATTTATTAAACTCGTCTTCAGAGTTAAATTTAACACTGTAAACTGGCTGTTGAACTCTTCCAAAAATTTCAAACAATGGCCCAATTACTGTTCTATCTTCAAAACAAAAAATTGATTTCTCTTGTAGAACTCTAAATTCTCCTGATGTTTTTGCCTTGATAATTAAGGTATTTTCGACCATACCTGTAATTTCCCCAATTTCTTCAATAGGAGCATTCTCTGGTATTTTATAATCTTCTGGTAATGTTGGTGCCTTTTCATTCAAGATTTCATGTGTTGATTTAACTGGGCCATCATTAGATTCTTCTTCTTCGTCATCAAGATCCCCAAGTTCCTTCATATCGTCGTCGTCATCATCATCAGATGAACTGTCATCATCATCATCACTGCTACTACTTTCATCTGAACTTGACTCATCATCCGAGGAAACATCATCCACATTGATCTCATCATCAGACAATTTTTGAACTTCTTCAACATTGCTTTCAGTGCTAAGGAAATTTTGTACTGTTGCTTCACCTACAGTATTTTCTTCTTGATCAGTATTGTTGATTATCACAATATTCTCGCCATGGAGTGGAGGTTTTAAATCTTCATGGATCTCACTGGATGTGGTGTTTGAAGTTGTTTCATTTGTATTGATATTATGTTCCTCTTGTTGATTATCCGATGTAGTTATGTCATTTTGTGTCGTTTCTGCGAGAACAGTTGAATCTGTCACTTCGGTATTATCAATAACGGGTTCCTTGGTAACAATAGGTTCTGTGGTAGTAGCAGAGACTTCTGTTATTTCGGCAGTTGCATCGGGCACTGCAATTTCAGTTGTGGCATTTAATGTTTCTGAATGATCTTGCTCTTGTACATTGACTGTATCGGTGGTTTGATTCACACCTTCTTGACTCTCAGAATTCAGACTAGAGACTTCCAGTATTTCAACCTTAGAGATTGTTTCTAAAGGTTCATTTGATGCATCCATTGTTTGTGCTTGTTAGATGATGAATAATTAAGTATGGTGTTACTATTTTAGTTCCGATGATCATCTCAGATAAATTTACTAATTTTTTTATTTTTTTCTGGAGATTTCTACGCGTATTAGCACGTGCATATAGTACACGTGATTAATACAATTGTAACATCAGCCTTAATACCTTCATTGAACTGTGGTATATCATAGCAGCTATCATAGATTTCTGGCATAATTTGGTACCATCAGCATTAAATCTATTTTGTTATTTATGATTCTGTATTAGATTTGTATAATTTTGATATAAATTTCCAACAAATTCTAGTAAATATTAGAACATTTCTTCATATCGTATACAATATATCCATACCGTTTTGTCTTGTTAACTATATGATCTTAGCACTTGTTTTGTTTGTATATCTGGTTATTATATTTACAATATCATCATAATTGATCATCCAAATCACGTGCATTTAAACTTATTTAGGGTTACAGACCTAGTCTGAGTTTTTTTCTTAGTGCGCATCGGATTATTTCTCACTCAAAAAAATATTAGTGTCAATCACTGTAGGGGAGAAAATTTTTCAGTATAGCGAAACAGATTTTTCAATGCACTTTTTATTTTAGTTTTTTTTTTATTTTTTTTTTTTCCTGTTTATTTCATTAACTACCACCGAAACTAAGTAACAACAATGGGTGCCTACAAATATTTGGAAGAATTGCAAAGAAAGAAGCAATCCGATGTCATGAGATTCTTGTACAGAGTCAGATGTTGGGAATACAGACAAAAGAATGTCATTCACAGAGCTTCTAGACCATCTAGACCAGACAAGGCTAGAAGATTAGGTTACAAGGCCAAACAAGGTTTCGTTATCTACAGAGTTAGAGTTAGAAGAGGTGGTAGAAAGAGACCAGTTCCAAAGGGTGCCACTTACGGTAAACCAACCAACCAAGGGGTTAACCAATTGAAATACCAAAGATCTTTGAGATCCACTGCTGAAGAAAGAGTTGGTCGTCGTGCTTCTAACTTGAGAGTTTTGAACTCCTACTGGGTTAACCAAGATTCTACCTACAAATACTTTGAAGTTATCTTAGTCGACCCATCTCACAAAGCTATCAGAAGAGATGCTAGATACAACTGGATCGCTAACCCAGTTCACAAACACAGAGAATCTAGAGGTTTGACTTCCGCTGGTAAGAAATCCAGAGGTATCAACAAAGGTCACTTGTTCAACAAGACCAAGGCCGGTAGAAGACACACCTGGAAGAAGCACAACACTTTGTCCTTGTGGAGATACAGATCTTAGATTTAATTCTAAGATTATGTTGTCCATCTTGGCTAAAGCTAAATTGGTATTGTTTTCGCTGTGTTTCATTTTCTAATTGTGTATATTAATTGTATATTAATAGAAGAACAAGACTACGTGCCAGTTTTATTCAAAATTAAATTATGTGTTGTAGAGTCATATATCCGAGTCTCAAGTTTGAGTAGAAGAATTTCAGTTTAATGGTTTCGAACCAATTTTTCGTCTCTAAACGTATAAAATTTTAACAACACAATACAAAAAGCTCATCGACTTATCAACGCAAAAAAACAACAATTAAACAGAACAATCCACACAACTGTGAGTCGACAGATCCCGAGTCAAATTATATGAAATGTAAAGTAATTTAATGTGGAGCACAAATGAGAAGGCAATAAATTATTATTCATTTACTCTTTTGTTTTTTTCTGGTGTATTGTGTTCCAACATCGCGACATCAAAATGTCGTCCTGGTAATAATCCAATAAATTACTCACACAAAAGTTTGATCCCGTCCACCATCTTACACGCATCCGCCGATAATCTCTCTTTTGCTCACTCGTTCACACACACACACACACACACACACACACAACTCAGTGCCAGTATATAATTTTGCCCATAAAAAAAAAAAAAAAAAAAAAAGAAAGAAAAGAAAATCTTTACATCTTAGAAAACTTTTCTTATTGTTATAAGCTCATCACTAATTCCTCCTCAAGTCTAGTCTAGCCTATTTCAAATTCATCAATTATGTCTCAACAAACAGCAATTGTCAGTGTTTATGACAAAACCGGGTTATTAGATCTTGCCAAAGGTCTTATTGCCTCTAATGTCAGAATCTTGGCCTCTGGTGGTACTGCTAAGTTAATGCGTGAAGCCGGTTTCCCAGTTGAAGATGTCTCTTCCATCACCAAAGCTCCAGAAATGTTAGGTGGTAGAGTTAAAACCTTGCACCCAGCTGTTCATGGTGGTATTCTTGCCAGAAACTTGGAAAGTGATGAAAAAGATCTTTTGGCCCAAGGTATCGACAAGATTGATTTCGTCGTCTGTAACTTGTACCCATTCAAAGAAACCGTTGCCAAGGTTGCCGTTACTATTCCAGAAGCTGTTGAAGAAATTGACATTGGTGGTGTCACTCTTCTTAGAGCTGCTGCTAAGAACCACAATAGAGTTACTATCCTTTCTGATCCAAAGGATTACGCCGTTTTCTTACAAGAATTGAAAGGTGGTAAGATCACTGATGATTTCAAGAAACAAATGGCTCTTAAAGCTTTTGAACACACTGCTGAATACGATTCTGCTATTTCTGACTTCTTCAGAAAACAATACTCCGAAAACGTTTCTCAATTGCCATTGAGATACGGTGCTAACCCACATCAAAAGCCAGCTCAAGCTTTTGTTGCTGAAGGTGAATTGCCATTCAAAGTTTTGAACGGTTCTCCAGGTTACATCAACTTGTTGGATGCTTTGAACTCATGGCCATTGGTTAAAGAATTATCTGCTTCTTTGAACTTGCCAGCTGCTGCTTCTTTCAAACACGTTTCCCCAGCCGGTGTTGCTGTTGGTTTGCCATTATCTGACATTGAAAAGAAGATCTACTTTGTTGAAGATATTGAAGACTTGTCTCCATTGGCCAATGCTTACGCTAGAGCCAGAGGTGCTGACAGAATGTCCTCTTTCGGTGATTTCATTGCTCTCTCAAACATTGTTGACAAGCCAACTGCTCAAATCATTTCCAAGGAAGTTTCCGATGGTGTTATTGCCCCAGGTTTCTCTGATGAAGCTTTGGCTCTTTTGAAAAAGAAGAAGAATGGTAAATACTGTATTTTGCAAATTGATCCAAACTTCACCCCAGATGCTTTAGAAAGCAGACAAGTCTACGGTGTCACTTTACAACAAAAGAGAAACGATGCCATTTTCAAAGGCTCTTCATTCAAAGAAATTGTTTCTAAGAATAAGGGTTTAACCGACCAAGGTGCTATTGATTTGACCATTGCTACCATTGCATTGAAATACACTCAATCCAACTCTGTTTGTTACGCCAAGAACGGTATGGTTATTGGTTTAGGTGCTGGTCAACAATCTCGTATCCACTGTACCAGATTAGCTGGTGATAAAGCCGACAACTGGTGGTTGAGACAACATCCAAAGGTTTTGGGTTTCAAATGGGCTAAAGGTACCAAGAGACCAGAAAAATCCAATGCTATTGACTTGTATGTCACCAACCAAATTCCAACTGAAGAACCAGAAAAATCTGAATACGAATCCAAATTTGCTGAAATTCCAGAACCATTGACTGCTGAAGAAAGAAAAGAATGGTTAGGTAAATTATCCAACGTTGCTTTGTCTTCTGATGCTTTCTTCCCATTCCCAGATAACGTTTACAGAGCTGCTAGATCAGGTGTTAAATTCATTGCTGCTCCATCTGGATCTGTTATGGATAAAGCTGTTTTCGCTGCTGCTGATGCCAACGATATTGTTTATGTCGAAAACCCAATCCGTTTATTCCACCACTAGGGAATATCAATTACATAGTATGTTTATATGATTTTCATTTATTATTATTATTATTATTAGTATTATTTTTTTTTTTTCATCTATTATCGTGTGTTTAACTTTTATTTTTAATTTTGAATATTTCTATAGTAAAGGATTAATATTAAAACTATGATTCATGTTATTACCGTAATAGGCAGTCTAAGAACAAAGAACAAACTCTCACTATGAAAATTTTTAGAGTGCGAGTGAGTGAGAGAGAGAGGACAACACACGTCAACATGAATCTTTGAAAAAAATAAAAAAAAAAAATTGTAAAAAGGAAGAAGTACAGCTTAAGTACAAAAAAAAAAAACCCACCACTACCACCACCACCACACGTTCTTATAACCAACACTAATCACAACCGTACAATGGCTTCATCTGAATATAACTATGATGAGCTGGGTGAAACTTGGCCATTTTTCATATTAGCATTATTATCATTTATATTATTACCATTAACATTTAAATATATTGCTAGAGTTTTATCAAATACTAATCCAAGTAAAGAAAATGAATCAATTTCAGGGTCAATTAAAGAAAATAGTGAAACATTAAATGTTGATAATATTTCAGAAATTAAATCTTTCCAAGCAAGACAAAAATCACTGAAAATTTTCAATAAGACTTTGATAGTATTAATTTTAGGATGGGCTAGTGTTTATTATTTAGCTAAATATGTTACTAAAGAAGCTGATATGACTGGATTATTTGATCCTTATACAATTTTAGATGTTTCATTTACTGCTAGTGAAAGGGAAATTAAAAGTCATTACAGAAAATTATCTTTAAAATATCATCCTGATAAATTACCAAAAGACTTAACTGAAGATGAAAGAAATGCAGCTGAACAAGCTTATATTAGATTAACTTCTGCTTATAAAGCATTAACTGATGAAGTTACTAGAGAAAATTTCTTACGTTATGGTCATCCAGACGGTGAACAACCAACTACTCATGGTATTGCTTTGCCACAATTTTTGGTTGAAGGTAAATATAGTTCATTGGTTGTCGTTATGTACTTTATGCTTATTGGTGTTTTATTACCTTTAATTGTTGGTAAATGGTGGAGTAATGTTAAATCACACACCAGAAAGGGATTACATGTTGATACTGCTGCTAATTTTGTTCGTAAATTTACTGATAGAAACCCAGCAAAGATTATTACTCCAGATGTTATTTTGAGTTATGTTTTGGAAAGTCAAGAAATCAAACAAGAATTTCCAAATTTGAGTCAAGAAGAATTGAAGAATTTAGTATATGATTATTTCAACCGTAAGAAAGTTAGCAATGAAAGTGATAAACTTAAACTTATTTCCAAATTGCCATTCTTGATTAATGGTTTGATTGATATTGCTGTGGTTTTCAAACTTCAAGATACTATTATTGCTGCTGAAGATTTAAAGAAATCTATTGCTCAAGCTGTTTTACCAGATGGAAAACATCAAGACTTGTTGCAATTACCATTTGTTGATCCTGAAGTTGTCGTCAAGCAGCCAATCAAGAAATTGGGTAAACTTTTTGCAGTTTCCAAAGAAGAAGCTAAAAAGGCTTTGGGTATCACTGACGATGTTAAATTTGAACGTGCCATGAAAGTTGCTCAACATATTCCAAGTCTCCGTATTCTTGAAGCTGAAATTAAAGTTCCAGGAGAAGAAGATGGTACTGTTCCACCACATTCCCATGCTCATATTTCTGTTAAATTCTTGGTCAAATCTCCAAAGTTGAAATCATGTCCTGAAATTGAGGATGAACGTTTGAAAGATGAAGAGACTTTAGAATATATGAAGAATCCAATGATTGTTAATGAACAACAACCTCAGTTGCCATATTCCTATGCTCCATACTATCCACAACCATTCCGTAATGCATGGAGTTGTTATGTTATTAGTCAAAAGGAAAATAGATTGCTTGAAGATACTACTGCTTATACTTTGGAAAATGCAGATTTGAGTAATTTGGAATTACTGCAAGAAGCCTGGAAAACAGGAACTGATGCTATAATTGGTACATTTAAAATCCAATTACCAAGTCCAACAGGAAATGTTGGTAAATATTATTACAGATTAGTGATGAAGAACAATGCTTATTTTGGTGTTGATGTAGATATTCCAATTGACTTAGAGGTTACTCCACTTTCTGTTGGTAAAAGTCTTGCGGGTATTAAGAAAAAGATAGAGGAAAGAAAAGCGCAAGATGAAGACAGCGACTATGAAAGTGATTCAGATAGTGATATATCTGATCCAGAAGAAGATAGTTTAGCTGGTGCAATTGCCGCTTTAAGAGGTTCCAGCACAAAGAAAAAGAAGACTTCTGAAGATGACAATGATGAAGAAGAAGAGGAAGAAGAAGAAGTTTTCACAGATATCAATACTGATACTGAAGACGAAGCTGAAGATGAAAAATAAAGTAGCTTTATAAGATAATTATCCATGTATATCTTCTATTCTACTAGTGTATATTATAGTCTTTACAGAAAAGAAAAAGAAAGCAAAGCGAAAATAAAAAATATTAAAAATGCAAAAATATCAAATATAGATTTCAACTAATATATCAATTCTATTTTTATACGGATAATGTGAATATAAAGGCATCTGGAGTATCCAAGTTTTGATCTTTATAATAATCTTTAACTATTTCGCCTTGTTTGAACCCTTGTTTCTTATACCAATTGATAGATTCTTCATTTTGAACATGAACATGAATTATAATTTCATGAATAAACTTCTTTTTAGTTTCATCAATTAAATATTGTAATAATTTTTTACCAATACCTAAATTACGGTACGCTACTAATACGGCAAAACTTTCAATATATACAGAATTTGGAGTTTTAGATAATATAACCAGTTGATTATTTATAAAATCATTGAATTTTAAACTATGATTATTATGAAAAGTTCTTGCTTTAATTGCACCAACTGGTAATTCTGAATAATAAGCTAATTGCACAATTGAGTTTGATGATTCTAATGATTGTTTATACCATGATTCAGGATATTTTATAGGTAATGTTACTTCATTGATTTTTTTAAATGTACCAAGGTTATTAACCGTAAGATCGTCTAAAGCAATTATATCTCTAGCCATTGTGTAAAAGGTATTAGTAGGTGGTGTGATATCAATCTTCAGAATAATGGTGAAAAAAAAAAACACCAAAAAAAGTCAAGAGAAAGATTTTTTTTTTTCACAATAGAGTTGTCACCAAAAGGGAAAACTAAGAGAGGCAAAAAATTAGGAAGAGATTTGGTTTGATAAATTTACTTGAGGTTGAATATGATGGAGGGTTGCTGATTGGATCGACGAGGAGTAATTGATTGTATTCTGTCTGACACATGATTATCTCTTTGGTGAGCTAGAATGGTGGTAGGAAAAACTCCATGATGGTTGGCAAATTAGTAATGGCATATATTTTACTTGTTGGTTTGCCGTGATTTCTCTTCTCTGCCTCGTATAGCACACCCACACCCAGTGCCCGTTATTATTTTTTTTTTACTTACTTACTTACTTACTTACTTACTCAACAAAAAAAAACTCATGTGCTTTACATTTATTTACAACAACTCCGCAACACTCACACTCTCCGTTTATAGTGTTGCCAATATAAATAACCTCATACTTTTCCTGTCTCAGTTTTTCTGATTTTTCTGTTCTTTTTTTTTTTATTTTTTACAACCATCACATTTTTCATACAGCCAACTGTTTTAAGTTATGCTTACGACCATCATTATCATACTAGTTATAGTATTGCTTGCAAAGAATATCTTTTCAGAATTCATAAGTAATGACAATAATCCATTGGACTCATCCACAGATCAAGTTTCTACCGTAGTCGAAGGAAAATTCACTCCTAAATCATTGGCCAAATACAATGGTAGAGATTCACCAAAGATTTTCATTGCTGTCAAGAATAGAGTATTTGACGTCACCCAAGGTGGTGCATTCTATGGTCCAGGTGGCCCTTATGAAAACTTTGCTGGTAGAGATGCTAGTAGAGGATTGGCCAAGAACTCATTTGATCCAGAAGTCTTGACTGATATTGATAAACCAATTGATGATTTGAAAGATTTGTCTAAATTAGAAATTGAATCCTTGGACGGTTGGGAAGAACATTTTGAGAATAGATACAAAATCGTTGGTACTTTACATGAAAATGGTTCCATCAAAGAAGATGATGAATCAACATCGCAAGATTAGATTAAACAACAAGTAGGAATAATCGTATAGGACAGATCAGGTTAAAAAAACAGAACAAAAAACACCCTTACTAAAATAAGTTTTTCAACTTTGTAGCCGAGTCGTGTACATGTGAACTCTTTTTCTCACTTCTCTTCCAAAAAAAAAAAAAAAAAAAACCCACTAACAATGTCAAGGAAGAAGAAAAAAAAATCTGAAAAAAAAATATAAAATCATCTTCAATTGACATTGTTTTAGATATTTCCTCTTCTCCAGGATTTAGTTTGTTTGTTGTTTTGTCGAGACTAAAAAAACATTTATTACAATTATTTAGAAAATGAGTTATAGAGGAAGAGGAAGAGGTGGAGGTTATAATAACAACTACAACAATTATAACCACGGAAACAGAAATCAATACTCATCTGGATCGCATCAACAAAATGTCGATGCCTTTGTCACTGCAAATCAATATCCCATTGAAATCATGGGTTGGAATGGAGCTAGTCTGACTGAATGTATTAATTTTATTTCCCGTAAATGTAAAGTGATAGTTTCAAATTATAGTGTGGATTCAAACAGTGGTATTTTGAAAGGTTATGTTAAAAATGAATCCCAAGCAAATACATTAATGGATTGGTCGGGTGTAAAATTTGCTGGACAATCTTTACGTTTTTCCAAAGGTGTTTCCAACTTATCTAGTCAAATGGGTACTTCGGGAGGTTCAGGTTCAGGTACTGGGTCTACAATTGAAACAATTACCCAGTTTTTGAAATCAAGATACCAACCAGAACTTAGAATGTTGAATCTTAGTAATGTCAAGCAAGACCCTAGTTTGAATGCTCAAGGATTCTTTGGATCAATTTCAGTCAGTTCAAAATTTTTCCCTGCTTTAATGAAAGTAGCAGATGATTTAAAATTAGATGTTATTACTGTTGACTTATCCAACAATGAATTGCAAGATTTACAGACATTAACTTCTATGGCTCAAACTTTCCCTAGACTACAAAATCTTTCTTTACAAAACAACAATTTTTCAAGAATCAAGGTTTTTGAAACATGGAGACATAAATTAAACTTTTTAAGAGAATTGATTTTGTTTAATAATCCAATTGTACAAACAAACAATCCAACTGAGATTCAAAATATCAAATTGGAATTAATGAAATCATTCCCTAGGTTGGTTGTCTTGAATGGGGAAGTGTTAAGAAATGAACAAGCATTAAATTCATACTTGTCATTCCCCTTCCCAGCTCAACAATCCATGTTTTTCCAAGACGATGATTCCAGAAACCTTGCAACTAATTTTATTGCTAACTATATTAAATTATGGGATTCCAATCGTGCTGAATTAATGATTTTATACCAAAACGAATCACAATTTTCCATGCAAGTAGACTCATCACATCCTTATCTCATTGATAGTAACAGCAATAATTCAACTGATTTTGGTTACTATTTAACCAATTCAAGAAACTTGACAAGAATTTCTTCCATCAAGGCAAGAATGGACAAATTGGCCACTGGACAAGAACAAATTTATAAAGCATTCCAAAAATTACCAAAAACTCGTCATGAATTGTTTGAAAAACCTGATCTATTTAGCATGGAGGTTTACAAATTTCCGTCACTTAATGGTATCACAATTACCATTCATGGAAGTTTTGAAGAAACCGCCCAACCTGAAGTAGATGGAAGTATGTCATCTACACCAAGTGGACCAAGAGGTGGTTCAAGATATCATTCTGCACCAAAGCACAAGAGAATACCTTTAAGTAAAAAATCATTTGATAGAACATTTGTTGTTATTCCTGGTCCAAATGGTAGTATGATTGTTGCAAGTGATTCCTTGTTGATTAGACCATATACTACCAAATTTCCTTGGGACGCTGAATCCACTGCCAATGCACAAAATCCAGCTGTTGCTGGAGCTGCCCCTGCTGGAGCAGCAACCAATCCAGCTACTGCTACTGCTACTCCAACACCCCCACCACAATCACAAGGTGGAGTTACTCCATCTATACAAGTTGTTTCTCCCACCCCAACAGCGGCCGATTTGCCAGCAGAAATTAAAGCTAGACTCAATCAAGTACAACAAGAAATTTTGGTTAAAGTTTTATTGGAAACAAAATTGAATATTAATTATGGTCTAATGTTATTGGAACAAAGTAATTGGGATTATCAACAAGCATCAGTGAATTTTAAAAACTCAGCTGCTTCTTTACCAAGAGATGCATTTGTATAGAATATATTAAAGATTAAAATAGGCGATATGTATATTAGTAATGATCTCAAAATGAAAATTGTTTTTTTGAAAGAAGAATAATATACATAAACAATAAATCAATTTTCCAACCGTTTATTTATGTTAGAATCTTTTGTTTTGTTATCTCTAGAAGTATGTGAGACATAGACAAGTAATAAATAGGATAAGAAACATAATCCAGCCATAAATGTAAAACATCCACCAATAGTCATTGCTTCTTGCATTGGATCTAATGTGCCAACAAATAATGCCGATAACAAACATCGAACTAAATTGAGACAACTTGATGCTGAAGATCCTTTAGATGGGAACATATCAACCAATAAAGTATTCATACAAGACAAGAAAGAAACAACAGCAAATGAAACAAAGAAACATGAAATTAATATTGGAGCAACATGAACTTTTTTATCCAAACACCACGCAAAAACAATACAAAATATAATAGTCATTAATGTTGTATATATGGTAGTTTCAAATCTAGCTGAAAATAAATCAAACTCAGGTTTTTCTTCTTCTAATAAATTTGCAGTTTTTTTATTATATGAAGCGATTTTTCTTGAATAGATAAAATCAATAAATCTACCGGTGACAATTGACCCAACTAATGTTCCAATACCAGGTGCTAAGTAACACAATCCCACTTGAATAATCAGATATCCATAATATTTCTCTAATGATGTGGATAATGTAGTTAAACACATTGTCCAAGTAGCAAATTGAAATCCTCCCGCGAGTAATGTAAAGAATATCACTGGTTGAATTAGAATCCTGAAAGGATCTAATAAATTAATCAGTTGTGGTGGAGATATTGTATCCAAATCATTAGTTAATCTTTTCTTATAACATGGCAAATAGATAACTGGTGCTTTATTCCATATATGTTTTGGAATCACTGATAAATTACCCACGATTTTTCTATTAGTTTCCGGGAAAATCAAAGTAATACAAATCATCACACTTCCACTTCCAATAGCCAAAAATATAAATACACCTCTCCAGCCAAACCTACTAATAACCCCCGAACCAACCAATGCACCAAATCCTTGACCTATTAATTGTATTCCTTGAATAATGCCTATAAACCTTCCACGATTAGATTTAGTAGTAAAATCAGAAACTATCCCTGCAGAAACAGCAATAATCGGTGATATTGTAGCTGCTTGAATACATCGAAGTACAATTAATAGCCAAAATACATTAACTCTACTAATTGCAATATTAACAGCACAATATCCAACTAAGCAATAAATCAAACATGGCCTACGTCCATAAGAATCAGCAAATGTTGCAATTATTGTAGGACTCAACCCTTGAAAAATTAAATAGGTAACTACGGAAATATTAGTCATTCCTGGTGATATTTTAAAATCATGGGATAATTCAGGTAATGCAGGGAAATAGATTGATGTTGATAATGTAGACCATATTCCACTACAACTTATAAGAATCACCAACCATATTTTCTCTGTTGGAGTTAGTATCGTGAATGGTGAATCTGTTGGTGTGTCCGTTTCTACCATTGTTGTTTTAAGCTTGCACTATATCATTTCCAAAATCATGAAGTTAATATGGATAGAAAAGTGGATTCTTAGTCAATATATAACACGGATTTGATATCGGATTTTTTTTATGGATCAAAAATTTCGGTGTTAATTGAAAACTTCAATTTGCCCTTTAATCTCGTTTAATATTAATATTAATTTTAATATTCATCTTACTGTTTTTCGGTTTTTATTAATTTAACTTTTGTGACTTCCTGCATTATCATTATTGTTCACTGAGGGAGGCTCATTTTATTTATATTGTTATTATCTAACGACTTGCTTTGCTTATACTCATTTAGGCATTTTTGGAAACGGAGATATTTCATGTCCGCTCCGAATACATTGATACACAGTTTACTAGTCAATCTTACTTGCTTTATGGCAGGTACTAGTGAATTTACATGTAGTAGCGATGACGGGGTGTATATCAAATGCTCGGAACCGCTTTTATCAGAATGTTCTACTCAACTATCCCGTTATAGGAAGAAACTGGCTGTGATGCAGTTCACGAGTCTGAGGAAGTCAAAAATGACTTTTAAAACCCATCAGCACTGTACCGTCAAGTTGTCTGGAAATCATGTGATTACCAGAAACTAAATAGCAATAAATTACAATTGAAACAGGAAGCATAACTCAGCATTCTGTTACCCTGTTGCTACGCATTATTTAATGAAAGTGAAAGAAGCACATGTATTAAACTATTTACAAGCGACTGTATATGAACTGTTGCACGTTGGTAACAATCATATTCAGCTGCATGACAAAGCTAAATCTAGATTATTGGCCTCATAACTTTTTTGCATACACAAGTACAAGTCCACTCATAAATTGTTTGATTTTCCCTACATTTGGTAGCACTAAACATATAATGTACAACAAAAAATACCTACACAAATATCCCAAAAAAACTCAACTATAAAAGGACAACAAATAAACTTTCAAAAAAAATCTTTTTACACCCACTTTCTTTTCCTTTTTGTTTTTGTTTTTCTTTTATCAACAATTAATATCATTGACTATATATGATTTCAGTTTTAACAAGTGAGTATCAATTGATGTGTTTTATTCATGGCTGCAAATACTAACTTCAATATAAGGAACCACAACCCATTACCCATAACAAGTTTACAAAGAATCAAAGGTTATGTGTTCCCCATCAGTTGTTGTTTGTGTCACTTGGTTAACACAATTTAAAGAAAGTCACCAACTGATAGCTCCTTTAGTATGACTCACAAACATAAGAAGAACCTTCCAAATAAGATAGCAAATTGGGAACACATGTTATCTTGAACCTTACAAGAGGGATCAACATATACAAAAAAGGAGCGATGTTGATTAGTGAAGGTTCTTCAAAAGATTGTGACTGGTCATCACTATCTTTAAAAGCTACTCATCGGGATAGGTTAGTTGAATATCCCGATTAGTAGTAGTGGTGGTTTAGTGCAAACCACTACTTGTAGAGGGCCAGGTAGAGGACAGTCGACCAGTCCCCTTCCCTCCTGGTTCATCCTCTATCTATTCCCCCTTGGGCCAGTAGGGGGACGCGATATGGCAACTCAAGAAGAGGGCCATGGTCGGGCTGGGTCGGCCCCCCACACACAAGTGGGCCCAGTTCGTCCCTCTCCTTTTAATTAGGAGAGGTGGTAAGTGAAGGGGAAGAGCTAACCCTTCATCATTTGGTTCTTCCCACCACTTCCACATTTGTCATAACGGAAGGGCTCACTACTGATACACATTGTTTAAGGTAATTCGATGATAAATTACATACTCTTGTATTTATTTCTATAGACTTAAACAAGAGAATATAAAAGGTGAACAAAACTCATAATTTACTGCAAAAAAAACCAGTGTAGTGAAAGACAGAAAAAAGAGGATTCTATACATATATCACATATCATCAATTGAGCTATTACATAACTAGTGAAGGAATCACAAGTATTACATTATTTGCAACTGCAATCTGTGTGAATTGCTTCTTGTTGATAACAATTGCAGCCAGCTGTGTGGCATATGAGTGTACATTACAAACGGCTTTGTCATTTTTTGTCTATATTCATGTCGCGTGCGACATTTAAGCTAAGACATCAGCACGACATAGAATTAATGAAAAAAAATACAGCAAATCATTTATCTTTACCCTAAAAGTATTCAATATATTATCTACTATTCATATCCATTGACATAAACGATTCATGAATCATGGGGTATAATATTGCAATGGTTACTGATTTTTTCTATCCTCAACCAGGAGGTGTGGAATTTCATGTATATCATTTATCTCAAAAATTAATTGAATTAGGACATTCAGTTATCATCATTACTCATAATTATAATTCACGTAATGGGATACGGACATTAACTAATGGATTAAAAGTATATTATGTACCATTTTGGGTAATTTATCGAAGTTCTGCATTTCCTACAGTATTCCTGTGTTTCCCAATATTAAGAAATATATTTATTAGAGAAAATATAGATATTATTCATGGACATGGATCATATAGTACATTTGGATTAGAAGCTATATTTCATGGTAGAACAATGGGAATGAAAACTGTTTTTACTGATCATTCATTATCTGGATTTGCTGATATTGGATCAATCTTAGGTAGTAAAGTTTTAAAATTTAGTTTAACTGATGTTGGTCATGTTATTTGCGTAAGTCATACATGTAAAGAAAATACAGTATTAAGAGGTAATTTAGATCCCATGAGAGTAAGTGTCATTCCAAATGCTGTTGTACTGAAAGATTTTAGACCTGATAATTCTATAAGAAGAAAAAAATCAACTGATGATATTACTATTGTTGTCATTACAAGATTATTCCCTAATAAAGGTGCTAATTTATTAACAGCAATTATTCCTAAAATATGTCAACAAAAATCTAATGTGAGGTTTCTTATAGGTGGAGATGGACCTAAATTTCTTGATTTAGAACAAATGAGAGAGAAATATTTCTTACAAGAACGAGTCAAACTAATTGGTGCAGTTAAACATGAAGAAGTACGAAATGTAATGATTCAAGGTGATATTTATTTACATCCTTCATTAACTGAAGCATTTGGAACTGTTTTAGTAGAAGCAGCTTCATGTGGATTATATGTGGTTACTACAAGAGTTGGAGGTATTCCTGAAGTTTTACCAAGCCATATGACTAGTTTTGCTGAACCTGAAGCAAATTCATTAGTTGATGCTGCTATTGATGCAATTAATAAAATTGAACATAATGAAATAGATACTTCAAAATTCCATGATGCAGTTGGTGAAATGTATAGTTGGGGTGATATTGCTGAAAGAACTGAAAATGTTTATGATTCATTAGATTTAAGTAAATTAAATCAACCATTGATTAAAAAATTACCCAAATACTATAATGGAGGAATAATTGCTGGGAAATTATTCGTCCTTTGTGTTATTGTTGATATTTTCTTGTATACTCTATTAGAGTGGCTATATCCTGAAGAAAATATCGATAAAGCAAGCAAATGGCCCAAAATGAACAAAAAAGACAGAAAACAGAACTATCATCAGCAAGAAGACACTACTTCAATTGATCTTCAAATAAATTAGACTTTATAGAATTATATTTTGCATACCTTTCTTCAATGATAAGATTAATAAACGTTGGCTGTTGCGTCAGTTTTTTCCACACAAATTTGTTGGTTGGGTTAACAAGTACCGGTTTAATATCCATAGCCAAATCACGCAAGTCCCTTGACAACTGTTGCAATGGTGTTGAATCATTCCAAATTTTCTTGGTGTTGTAATTATCCTCTAACCAGCTATAATCCTCTGAACTATCATTTCTTTTAGCTATATTCTTTAAATGAGTAATCTTTTCAATAATTGAAACCTTTTCATTGTACTCTTTCTGAGATTGCAAGTTTTCAAACTCAATAGTTTTAGATGAATTTTTTTCCACGATATCAAGCTCTTTTAATAGATCTTTCTTCTCTTGCTGTAATTTACCAATGAGATCAAGATGGGTTTCTTCTTGAGCCTTTAAGCTCTTCAACATTTGATTCAATTCGGTTACTTTTGAAGAACTCTGGGAAGCCAAAGACAGCATGTTTTGCTCCAATAGATTGATATTTAGCCTTAAGTCGTTGATTTCACGTTCTCTCTGTGCGATAACATCCTGAAGTTCATTGAGAGCTTCCGAGTTGTTATGTCCATTTGACGATTCAACAACAGGTCTATATTCATAAACTGTGGATACACTTACAGCTGGTTTCTCAACTTGAAAATCGTAATCAATATTCATCAAAGCTGATAGATTTTCCAACTCCTCTATTAGGTTACTGGTGACTTCAAAGTTATCATCACTTACTAACTGGTAAACGCTCAATATTGAGCTAATTTGTATTTGCTGTGCAAAATTAATGCTTTGAGACGTAAACTCGATATTTTCTGATAAATCATACTTTTGACACAATTGATGCGATTTGGTTTTGAATTCTTCATTCATCATCACTATAGCATCGATGGTATCCATAAAATTCATTTGGGTATCATCTAAGCGTGATTTCACGTAGACACAGACATTTTCCAAAAATGCATTCTTCAACTTGTTGCTTGACATCATAAATCTGAAACACTCACGTGTTTCAAAGACAAAATCTGAAGAATGGAAACCAATATCTAAAACAGCAACACATTTTTCAATGAACAGATAGATATTTCCTAGATTTTGTTGCAATTCTGGAGAAACTCCTTGTGATAAATCATCACTCAGTAATATTGTGTTAACCTTTTCAAAAACTAAAGTCAATTTATCTAACTCGGTTGTTATTTCAGAAATTATGCTATCAATATTATTAGTGCTATAATTGCATTCTAGTATTGTAACCAACAGTTGAAAAAATTCACTGGAATATATTAGAAAAATACTGACAACTTTCAGATGCAAGTTGTTTCCCAGGAGAGTTTGATTTAATGTTACCAAATCCAGATTGTATATCTTTAAACTTACAATCAACCCCATCAATTTGCCAAACGACACATCAGCATTAGTTATTCTTCTTCTGAGAAGAACCTCGTATCTATTTTTGATCAATTTCAATTGCACGGAATCGGATCGAGATTTTATCTTGAGATCAGTAATTGTTTGTTTTAACGCATTCAATTCTGCTTCATCGGTTCTCAGAGAAGAGTTTCCGGAACTTTGCAGTTCTACTTCTTGTTTCTGTTTGGTTGCAGCCTTCTCTAACTGATTAATTTTCAATTCGTATTCATGGATCAAACTTTTGTAGCTCTCAATCTCTTCTCTCAATCCAGATTCTATCTGTCTCATATCCTCTTCCAAATTTCTATCCAATTCCTGAATTTCATGAAATTCATTGATCGTGGTGGACAAATTCTTGATTTTGCTATTCAATTCATCATTCTCTACAGTCAACCTCTCGACCATTTTCTCCATATCAGCAAATGTATCAATCATTTCTTGCAAAATAAGAATAGTCGACTCTGCCTTTGTCAATTTTTTCTCAACTTCTTCATTATTGGTGATTCGTTTCTGTAAATCATTCAATTCTTCTCGTAACTTCTTTTCGGTAGTTTCAGATCTTTCAGTCAACAATGCTACTGTGCCTTCCATTTGTCGATTACGTTCAACTATTATTTGAATATCTCTTGAAGTAAACTCATCCACATTAGCAAGTTCAATTTCTTTCTCAATCTCTCGAGTAACCTCTAATTCTTCTTTTACAAGTTCAAACTCTTTACTCAACTCATTGTACTTGGTAGACCATTCCTGTATTTTATCCTCTAATTCTTGTTTTACCACCTGTAAGAAATCATTATTCACATTCTGCATTTCCAACTTTGCTTGTAAATCTGATATAATCTCTAGTTTCTTTTCAAAGTTTGATTGCAAAGCCATGAAATTATTTCGATATTCTGCTGATTCATTACTTGCAGCTTTGAGTTTAGCTTGTAATTTTAGTATGATTTGATTCAATTGAGAAGCATCTTTGTCACTTGTTACATCTCCATGATTCAACATACTCTCTCTTACAAATACACCATAAAATCCACCATCACTATCTTGCTTGCAATCAAAATATTTCACACCTTGTACTGAACCGTTGTTTTTACCTCGTGGATGTTGTAATTCTATACCGAACCATGTTCCCGGAGCAAAACTAGTGGTACCAATAAATTTTATTACACCAGAATCATCTTTCACCTTAACCAGTTGACCGATTTTGAAAGACATATTATTTGGTAGACAACAACACAACTCGTTTAACTTTTTTAATGTGTTTATTTGGTTGTATCACTTCGAACCTGACGCGAAAAATATCAAACAAAACACAACCAACCAAACTCTGATGCCAGAATCGAGATGAAAAACAAAAAAAAAAAACCCAAACAAGCGGTAAAGGAAGACGAGTAGTATTTTTGTCAGTCATCATCAATCATCCAAGATGTCAGGTTTTAAGAGAGGTGACAGAATATCATCTTTAGGAAATACAAATACTCCCAGCGGAATGATGTCTAATAAAAGAGGATTGTATGGAAATACTGGAAATATCCTACCAAACAATAACAATAATATTAACAACAACGGCAATAATAATAGTAATAATATCAACAATACAAGCATAAATACTTCAGCGATAAAACAAGAATTATTAGATGAACAAAAGGCAGAGATAAAAGAAGCATTTGAATTATTTGATATGAATGCAGATGGATGTTTAGATTATCATGAATTGAAAGTAGCTTTTAGAGCTTTAGGATTTGATTTAACTAAACGTCAAGTATTGGATATTATTCATGAATATGATACTGAAGATACTAATTTAATAACGTATGATAATTTTTTTAAAACAGTTGGAGAAATGATTATAAAAAGAGATCCATTAGAAGAAATCCGCCGTGCGTTTAGATTATTTGATATTGATGGAACTGGTAAAATCAGTGTAAGAAATCTCAGAAAGATTTCAAGAGATCTCGGAGAAAATCTAAGTGAAGAGGAATTACAAGCAATGATTGATGAATTTGATTTAGATGAAGATGGAGAAAGTATGTATTGTTTTAGTCAATTCGATCCTGTCAAACAAAGTTACTAACTATTTTTGATTTTTAGTTAATGAGGAAGAGTTCATTAGAATTTGTACCGAGTAAGACACTCGCTGGATATTCCTATATGGAATAATATAAGTTTAGTATTTAATGTGTATTAGGTGTTTTTATTAGTTTAATCGTAATACCAGTTTAGTCCTTCTTTAACTACCTATGAAAACAGTGTCGTGTATAAGAGGACAAAAACTTGTAGGAAAAAAAAAACCTTTGAAATCTGTGAGAGCGAATTATTATGGAGCTGAAAATTTTTCTTTTTCTCTCTCTCTCTACAAGCCAATCATCAACCACTAGCTTAAGCTCAATACTATCAACAACGATTGAACTATGTCTTGGGTAATCAAGAGATCAAGATTCCAAAAGGATCTTAATAAACTTCCAGAAAACTTGAGAAAAAGCATGCGTAAGAAGCAAGATGTTTCTCAAATGCCAACATTCAAGGATTTCTTCCCAGACCCAATTCCTAAATCAAAGCAAAAAACTGCCATAGAAGCAGGTATCATGGAAGGAGATATGGCTTATGTTACCACTGGTCCATACAAAGGTAAAATTGCCGAAGTCTTATCTTATAATCCAGAATATGACAGTGTTTCTTTAAGTAATATCACATCTAAGAAATTAATTCCAAAGATTTTCTGGCCTGAAGGTCACGAGTCCCATGTTTTTGATTTCCCAGATTTCATCCCAGTCAAAGATGTTAAATTAGTTGGGAAAGATAGAGATGAACAAGGTAATATTTCATATGTTGTTGCCGAAGATATTGTTTTGAAAGAGAAATATTATGATGATAGATTTAAAAAATTCATTCCAAGAAGATATGTAAAACATCATGATAAAATTGAATTCCCATGGCCAGAACCACAATCATTAGAAGATGGTGAATTATCTACACCAGAACATGTTGTAATGGAAAGAACTTTTGAATTTCTGTCTATTGCCAAAACAGGTATTCCTAAGGCAGCTTTAGCACAATTACGTAATCCATATTCTAAACACAAGAAGAGAACTTTAAGTGAATACCAAGTTGCTAAATTGAAAGGTCCTGAAATGCCATTAACTGTTGAACAAAAAATCTGGCTTGCTAAGAATCAACAAAAAGCACAAACTCAAAAACCAAAGTATTATCCATTATCAGAAGAAGTACAAGAATTTATTGGTGCTAAGATGGCTGAACACATGAACAAGATTGAAAGTCCTGAATTGCGTCTCCACTTGGAAACTTTGTCTCAAAGAAGAAACCCTGATTTTGAAAAGACTTTGAAAATTATTGAAGAGACTAAACTTGCTGAAAGTCAACAACAAAATCAAACCCATAACTCCGATAGTGCTGCTACCAGTAGTTGTGCATGAGGAATCTTGTAAATAAACTTAATAGAAGAAATTCTTTTTCTTTTTCTTATGTAAAAGCACGAAGTATACACATGCTTATATATATTTATATATATATTCCGGACTATAATTTTTCGTAATCCAATTTTCCTTCTAATTTCTTAACATCGGCAACTTTCCTTACCGCTTTCATCAAATCATTCTGCAATATATAATCTCTATCATCTCTAATGGCAAAGAAACCAGCTTCAGTAACAACATTTCTGATATCTGCCCCGTTAAACCCATCACTCATTTTAACAGCAGCTTCGAAATCAAATTCACCTTGTTTAGCAACTTTAGAAGTATGGATTTTGAAGATTTCCAATCTACCAGCTTCATTTGGTAATCCAATTTCGATCTTTCTGTCCAATCTACCAGCTCTTAATAAAGCAGGGTCCAATGTATCTGGCCTGTTAGTTGCCATGATGATTTTAGTTTGTCCCAAAGTATCAAAACCATCCATTTGATTCAACAATTCCATTAATGTTCTTTGAATTTCACGATCCGCTGATGTACCTTCACTAAATCTTCTACCACCAATGGCATCAACTTCATCCATGAATATAATACAAGGTTCGTGCTCTTTAGCATATGCAAACATTTCTCTGATTAATCTTGCAGATTCACCAATATATTTATCAACGATTGCAGATGCTGGAGAAAATATAAAATTGGCACCAATTGTAGCAGCAACTGCTTTGGCCAATAATGTTTTACCAGTACCCGGTGGACCATATAACAACACACCCTTTGGTGGTTTTATACCAACTCTTGTAAACAATTCTGGATTCTTCAATGGTAATTCAATAACTTCACGCAATTCTCTGATTTGTTCAGTCAAACCACCAATACCATTGAAGGAAATTTCACCTGGTTCAAAAGTAGTCATATTATACACCAATGGATCGACTTCTCTTGGTAAAATTCTCATTATAGTCAATGTTGTCATGTCCAAGGAAACACGGACACCATTTTTTAAGTTTTCTTTTTTAATAGTGTTTCTACATCCAACAATATATCTTGGTCCTGACGAAGCCTTGACAATAAATCTTTCATCGTCCAATTGTTTTAAAACTTCACCAATAATTTGGCCCACAGATTGTAATGCTTTGATATCATTTTCTGTTTTCTCATAATCCTTGTCTAGATCTCGTATGCTCAATCTTAATTCTTTCAATCTAGCATCCCACTTTCTATGTTCCAATAACTTATCTTTAAACTTTGACAATGCTCTTTCTCTTTCTGGATCAACTGGTTCAGATGGCTGACTTGGAGCTGAAGTTGTTGTATCATTATTATTATCATTTGTTGTGGTAGCATCATTGGTGTTACTTTGATCAGCATTCAATGCTTGCAACAATGGGTCATTTTCATCGGCACTCATTATCAATTGTGTTATTAATCAAATGGATTTAATTGTGAATTATTACAATTCTGTTGTATTTGCAGTGGCGAACAAAAATGATTGAAAAAAAAAATTGAGTGAGTGAGTGAGTGAGTGAGCGCCAGTGTATTAAACAACAAACTAATGTGAGGGTTGAATTTTGTTTGGCATTTTTTTTTCTTGTACATGTTCACACGACCACCATATAATGACATCCATAATGTACCAGTAGAAAATTTTTCTTTTCAGCCTAATATTTGAATTTTCTTTCTTTTATTTTTGGATACTTGATTCTACCCATTAGAAGAAATCACCGACTTCAATTATGGAATTCACTGCTATCGTTGTGTGTGGGAAGGGTAAAGCCTTGTCACCTTTTTCTCAAATTCGTTCCACAGGGATCCCAAAAGCATTGTTACCAATTGCAAACAAACCAATGGTACACTATGTCTTGGATTGGTGTTTGAAAGCTAATTTTGCCAAAGTAATTGTCCTTGCGGATGAAGATGAAAATGATAACAAATTAATACAAGCTTCAGTTACTAAATTTCAAGAAGAATACGAAAAGAAAGAAAACAGACCAGCCCAAGTGAACGTCATTGGATATAACTGTGATAACAATGGATCTATCTTACACTACTTGTACAAAATATACAACGATGAAGAACAATCAAATGCATTGAACAAGAACTTTATTATTTTACCATGTGATATGATCACCAACTTACCACCACAAGTCATTATTGAAGCTTATAGAAACAAACAAGAGACAGATTTGGGGTTGTTGATTGCTTATAAGAATCAATTGGATATTGAAGATAAAAAGGGTAAGATTTTCCCACGTAATTATACTATTTACAGTGACAATGATGCATCTGGAAATAACGGCCCAGTTCTTTTGGATATGTATAACACACAAGATATTGAGTTTCATCAAGCTTTGACAATCAGAACCCAAATGTGTTGGAGATATCCTGCAGCTACCATCAGTAATACATTATTAAATAGTGGAATATTTATTGGATCATGTAAAGAAATTTTTGATATATTCCAGGCACAAAAGGAAAGGTTCACTGAATCATATTTTGCCAAAAGATCGTTACTCAAGATAGTTCGTGATTTATCAAGAAGATCATGGAGACATGCAACTGCTCAAGAAAATATCGGCTTATTCATAGTACCTCAACAAGCCACTTTCTTCAGATGTAATAACTTACCAGTGTTGATGGAAGCCAATAGATATTTCATGAAATTACAGGCCATGAACAAATCTGCATCCCTGCTGGTTAAACAAGATAAACAATCCGGTGCACATGTGGGTAATGATTCATTAGTTGGAGAAAGCACTGAATTAGGAGAAAAGACCAACGTCAAAAAGAGTGTCATTGGTTCAAATTGTAAGATTGGTAGAAAGAATAAGATTACTGGTTGTTTGATTTTAGATAATGTTGTAATTGGTGACGATGTAACATTGGAGAACTGTATCATTGGCCATGATGTTATAATACAAGCCAAATCTAAATTGACAAACTGTAATGTTGAAAGTACTAATGAAGTGGTTAGTGGTACTCAAACAAAGAACACCAACTTGTTGTGCTTGACCTTGGAAGGTTTAGTTGAAGGTGAAGAAGTAATTGACAGCAGTGAAGAAATTGATGACGACGACAGTGATGAGGATGAAAGCTACGATGATGAGGATGAAAGTGAATTTGAAGACGAATATACTGGTAATGAAGACGGTCTATTTGCTTATTAGTTAACCCTTCTCTAGCGTCACTCATTTATAGAACTACATTTAATAAACGGTAAATAATAATAATAATAATAATAATAAGAAATAATAATCATTAAAAGAAATAAACCCGTAATACTCTATATACCTTATACCATCTAATAATAGAAACCCAATGTCGTTGGTTGAAAAATAATAATAAAAATAATATAATATGGATTGTCCCTGATTTAGTCGTTGTTACTCGTTATACAAAACGCAAAAAATTCTCTTTAATTAAACTTTTTCTTCTTTTTCAAAGGACTTTCATTGAAATACTTTTGATGTTGCTTGAGTTCTTTCTCTTCACTTTCACTGAGATCCTCAATTATTGCATCATCAGAAAGTATAAACTTTTTGTTATGTCTTGAATGTGGATTATTAATTGCCAATCTTTGTTTTCCAGTATGTTGTACTGAAATTGGGGGAATACTTGCTCTAAAACTTGTAGGTGGTCTAATATCCAGATTAAAACTAAACTCATAATCCTGAGGTATAGTAAAATCCTCTGAATCGGACAGTGATATTGGTTCTGATTGTGGCGCCAGGTTGGTTGAATCACTAGTAGATTGTTGTTTCGAATGTCCTTGATTCAATAAATCTATTCTCTTAGTTAGAACCCAGTCTTCAACATCTTCATCATTTGCCAACACGGATAGTATATCTTCGAGACATTGTAAATAACCTTTGCTATGCGCCGTATGGTGTGCCGATTGACTTAGTTTGTATAATGACGCGACAGATTTGGCTGCATTAGCAAATTCAGTTTTAACAAGTTTATCATTGTTGGTATTATTGCTATGTTTGTGATTAAGTGATGCGTTGTATAGAGCAGCAACCGATTTGGCAGCGTCTTTAAAGTGATTCGTTAATTCGTGACTTAGATTTCCTTGTGATGAGGTCGGTGTTGTTGTAGCTGATGGATTTGTCGATGGTAACGTATTTGATAAATTAGATAGATCCATGTTTTCGTAAAACTCGTCAATAATTAAATATGTGTGTCTAAGAAGAAATCAATGCAATTAATTAAAATCAAGATGAAACTGATCCTGTAAGTTCGTCTGTAGCAAATAGAAAAAGAATTTTCTTCTTTGCTTTTTCCCTTCTCTTTTTTTCCTCGCTGTTGCTTGTAAGTGGCTTATGTAATATCACGTTTCTTTGAGTTCAGCCCAACACCAAAAAAAAAGAGAGAAACGAGAGGAAGCAAGACAACAAAAAAAAAAATTTAGAATATTGACACAGTGTTTGTTCTACAGCCAATCCTCTATCAAAATTAAAAGAAAATAAAAAATCAGCCATGGTTGAATCCACATTAATTTATAGATATGATGGTATGTTTGCTATATTTCAATTGAGTTTGTATTATGCTTGATATGGTGTACTAACAAATTGATAGCACTTCCATTGTGTGGATCGGTCGATGATGAAAACAACCCAAACTTGACAGATCAAAAGAAGAAATGCAAAATATTAATATCAAGAATTACTCCCAACTCAGAACCTCAAGCAACTATAGAATCAGGAGATTTGTTTAATATCCATTATTTGATCTCCAATTCCATTATTTATATATGTATATGTAACAAGTCTTATCCTAAGAAATTGGCATTTTCATACTTACAAGAAATATCCCACGAATTTTACAATAGTCATGGAAATGAAGCGTTAAGCACAAAAGCAAGACCATATGGGTTCAATTCATTTGATAATTTCTTACAAAAAACCAAAAAAATCTATCAAGATCAACGTGCTCAATCGAATTTGGATAAGTTGAATAATGATTTGATTGATGTTAAAAAAGTTATGACTAAAAACATTGAAGATTTGTTATATAGAGGGGATTCATTGGATAAAATGAGTGACTTATCAAGTTCATTAAAACAAGATTCCTTGAAATATAAACGAAGAGCTCAAAGAATTAATTTTGAAGCTATGTTGAAACAATATATTCCTATTGTTGGTGTGGGTTTAATATTAGTATTCATGGTCTACTACCTTCTTTTCAGAAGATAAACAAGGTATATAATGTTAATAGTTCTAATATTTAAAGTGTTTCTTTGGTTTTTGTTTGTTCTTATCTGTATTGTAGTAGGGTTTGATGTACTTATCACAAAATACAATTCCCGTATCTGATATTCCACACTGTCAAACTATTGCTCTCAATAAGGCCAAAAAAAAAAAAAAATTCTGAACACCGACATAAACCCACGTAAGAACAACAACACAACTACTATTGATATGTCGTTTCCAAAGACATTACAAATCCCCAGTAAGTCATCGACATTGATTCCTAAAACCACCAGAACTTCTTCATCCTCAAAATTACCAACAACTGCAGTTTCCTATGAGAATGCAAGTCTGGAGATTCAATCTATCCGAGGGTCACCATATATTGCTGCAACCCCAGCACCATCACAAGCCCCAGAGACGTCCAGTATAATATCAGAAATAGGATTATCGGAATATGTTGATGATTTGAATAGTATCCCCCAGATAAGATTTGATAATGATAGTAGCACAAGCAATAATGGCAATGCCCCGCGATTGAACAAACCTACTTTGGGTGCGTTTATGTATCATGAGTTTTTTGAACTTGGTGATGCCAATTTGTCCAATGATCAATTCTATGATAAGTATATTTCAGTTTCTAAATCAAATGATGACACTGAATTCCATGATAAACTAAAACATTTTTTCATCTTTTCCAGTGCAGGCAAACCGATCTATTCTTTGAACGGATCAGACGATTTGATTATTGGTTATATGGGGATATTGACAACTATAATATCAAGCTTCCAAGAGAATTTCAATCAGGACTTACAGGTAATTGAGTTTGGAAGAGGAATGAAAATTGTTGCTGTTAAGAAGGATCCAATTATTTTAATTGCCATATCAAAGATATACTATGAGAATATTTCGAGTATGAAATTGCAATTGAACACATTGTATTTCTATTTGCTCAGTATATTATCTAAAACATCCATTGATAAACATTTCAACAATCGCTTGAATTATGACTTGAGAAGAATTTTGAACCCATTGGATTTTGAAAACTTAGATCAATTGTGTATGAATTTGACTTATGGAGTGGGAAAAGATAAGAAGATTGATAGAAATGCAGCGTTTGAGTTGTATATTAGTCAGATACTACTATCGTCAGCTAGACAGAGTATTAAAATTAGACACACTTTGAGATCAAAATTGAATTCAATTCTTCATATCAAGAATGAGGAGATTATATTTACATTATTAATGTCCCGACAAGATAAAATTTTAAACTACTTGCATCCAAAGCAACACAATTTACCAAATGAAGATTTAAATGTGTTGTTATTTATAGTTAATTCATTGTCCAAAGATCAAAATCGACAAAATGAAGATTTCTGGATGCCAATATGTATGTCGAATTTCAATAATCATGGGTTTCTTTATATATTTGTCAGGCGTGTCAATGATCTAACTTTGATGTTGATCAGTGGGAATAAAAACTCTTTTGAATCATTGAAAATCACTGCTGATGAGATTTTTGACAAGTTGGAGACCAAACCGGAGTTGACTCAGAAACTTAGAAATGAACTAAATATGCCATTAAATATTGAGGCTCCATTAATATTTAAACATTTCATTTACAAAGATGTTACGTTAAATCAATTTGTCATGAGTGAACTACCATCTGATGAAAACTGCAATCTTCAGTACATCAAAATCTACAACGAATTGAAACACAACCAGGCCAAAATCATCAAATTTGATGATGGTGTGAATTACAAGAAATTGACATATCTTCAACAGAAGAATGTGACTGGGTTTATGTTGTTGGATATGCATTATGAATTTTATTGCATTATAGAGAATACAGAAGAAGGAGGAAAATCGGTTCCATCGAAAAAGATTATCGAAATAAGTTTACAAATAATTAAATGGTGCAAAAAAAATCATGCTAGATTATTTGTGACTATTTAGATTGATGCTTATATACAAATGATAATTTATTTAAGAATACTCTTTTCAGCTGTTTTAAATGCTTCGGTTAATTTATCGAGATAAGTCTTGTGTAAATTTTCCAATTTTTTCAATAATTGATGTTGAGCATCACTTATTTTACTATGTTTCAATTGACTTTGAAATTTGTGTCTAACTTCACCTCTCACAGAATTCAATGAATTAGTCTTGTGATTATTCTTATAACTTTCATAAATCTCTTTCAATTGTTTAGCATTTTCTTGTTTAGTTTCTGAGGTTATTGTAGGAATAGGTACTTTAACTTGAAATTTATTTGTTGGATCAACAGTACCACTCATATTTAAACCTGATCCAATAATAGAATTAATTACATGTTTACCATATGAAGCATCAAATAAATTAATTATGAAATTACGTCCTTTAACAGAAGTTTGAGCTACTGAAGTAAATGGAACCAATTCTTCTTGTCCATGACTACCAATATTAACTTCTAAATTATCAAAAATTTTAGGATTAAGTTTACCTAATTTAATATCAGTAGCTGCTTTATTAAATTTACTTAAAACAGTCTCAAAATTTTTAGTAACATGATCAAAATCAATAGTTACTTCTTGTTCTTCAATATCTTCATTAACATCTTCTTGTTGCTTGCTATTCTTTTTGGCTTTCTTTTTGGCAAGATTTATAGAAGTTGAATGGAAATTACTTGATGGAATGATAATTGAAGGAGATGCAATTCTAATAATTGTTAATCTAGGTAAAAGATTTCTTTGCTGTTTTAAAACTGATCTAAACATGTCTACTGGTCGAAGTAATTGGTTATGAAGAATGGAAGCAAAAAAAAAAAAAAAAAAAACATAAAAGAAAGTTAAATCTCAAAAGGTTGAAAAATTTTGAGTCGTTCTCATTGGAACAAAAAAAAAAGAAGAAAATTAAGGACGGATTTGTATTTGAATATTGGCACGGCTTAATTATATCATTCTTTATCTATACAAGTTTCATTGATGATGGAGATACAGTTATTAGCTTCTCTTCCGATATCACCACCTTCTTTAACAAATGCATTTAAATTCTTAATCAAGAGTGGTTTGAATACATCATTCATGATTTTCTTTCTGGTATCCAAATCTTCTGTTGAGATTGAATTTAGATCCAACATTGAAATGCCATCTGTATTATGAAGATCACTTTTAAACTCATTCACAAACAACTTCAATGGTTGGTATGGTTGAATTGTATTGTTGAGCAAATATCTATAACTTTGAGGATGTATACTAACTTCCATTTGAAGTTCTCCTGAATCCTTACCGTCATCATATTGTAAAGACTTCAGTAAGAATTTATTCAAGTTTTGTAAATGACCAACTCTTGCTATCTTAGATCCTGCATTCATGGCATTTAAACTTAAATTCGTTATAGCAACACTTTTCAGAGCAGAATCTTGTTCATTTAAACTCCATCCCATCAATACAAAATAATTTCTCATCACTTTAACAAAATATGAATTAAGTAAGTTACCATGACTATTTTCAACCACTATTTTTAAGAAATGAGTACTAGTAGTTCTGATATTTGGTACGATATGACTCATGGCAGATAAAATGAACAAAATCATTGAACGTAAATGTAAATCTATCAATCCTGGTTGCTTGGCCGCAATAGCTGAGATCAATTCCATTAACGCCTTCCGTACATCTTTGTCTTCATCAAGAATTAACGGGAGAATACTAGTCATGATATTCTTATAATATGACGGATTGGCAGGTAAATGAGTTTGTAAATATAACAAAACTTCCTTTCTAGTATTTGGGGAATGATGTTTAGTCAAAGATAATTGATGATTTAAAGCAGCTAAAGATACTTTATCTGAACCAGATGATGATGTAGATGTTCCTGATGAACCAGATGATTTTGATTTGACGTTTGATGCAATTGACTGATTTGGTAATGATATTGTTTTTGCTTTAAATGAAGTATCAGTATAGTTGTCTGGTTTCTGCGCAGTTTTACCAACCTTTAATTTAGCCTTAACAAAGTCCTTTTGTTTTTCCTTCTTCTTACGTTTTGAACCCATTCTGGTACTATAGTCTTTCGTGTAGTTTGATGATTAAGAGATGAGCTTCTTGATAATTTTATCTGCTGCAGCTTTTTTATTTTTTTTCTTTTTTTCCTTCTTCCTGTGCTCGGTTGCACGATTCACACGAAATCTCGCGAAGCACTTGCCAAATATGTAAAAAAAAAAAAATTGAAATTGAAACCAGTACACGATAATCACTGATATGTTCTACATTTTTGCCCCTGGGTATTTAATACTTGAATTAAATGGTATATAATAGATTTGGAGGGACTACTGATTTCGATGCAGGAGCACTACTACTGTCATTGTCATTGGATGATGGGCCTATAAATCTGACAGGTTTACAAGTTGAAGAAGTCTACGATGATGATGTTGGATACATCGATGATCCAATGGATATTGATAACACCGAGGATATAATAAGTCATAGTGATAGCGTGAACGATATAACCATGGACATAGATGAATTTTCCACACATGATTCGTTGGAAAATCAAATCAAAAATCTGTCTGACGATGAAACAAACAATGAAGATGGTTTACTTTCATTATTGTCACCTACAATGCTAGGGGCAAAACTAGCTATCAAAAAACCTTTATTATTGATGCCACCACCTCAAGACGTGTCTGGACATACTACTACTGAAATCAGAAACGAATCCTCGGATATTGACTATGAATTTGATACAAGTCTTTATGAACCTATTAAAACTGAAGGTATTTTAACGCAAAGAACAAACAGTTCATCTTTCCAAAGTACAAATATCAACTCATTCTTGTCTGACAGGTCATCAGGAACACCATTGTACCATAGGGATAATCACAATGAACAATTCATGGATAGACAACAACCTGTTACAATTCACAACCATCATCACCATTACTACTATTACAACAATAATAATAATGGAGGTAATGAATCAACGTCACAAATGGATGCACTTTTAGAAGAGAAGAAACAATTACAGATAGAACAATACAAACAACAGATTGAACAACATCAACAGTATTTGGAACAATACAAGAGAAGTAATCATCTTGAACTTCCTTCACCATGGCAAAGGAATATTTCTCCGATGGAAAGACTTCCTTATATGTTGATGTCTTATCTTCAATTGATAATCAATTTTGTTGCTTCCTTGTATGCTATATACCTTTTCTACTACTTATTTAGAACTATCAGTATGGATATAAAATCCAAGATATCACAACAACAAACAAATTTAATGATCAGTATTGAAGCATGCCGTCGGTCGTATTATCAGAATGGATGTGACGATCCTGAAAATTTGGTGCCTTTATTGGTTTCGAAATGTCAAAAGTTTGAACGATGTATGAAACAAGATCCAAATAAATTAAGTAATGTATCGCTTATGAGTGCTGAGATCATTGGTATGATTATTAATTCTTTGATTGAACCTTTGAGTTTAAAATTTTATATCTTTGTTCTTGGATTGGGATTGGTTATTTTCGGATGTAACTTTACCTTTGGGTATATTCGAGCCAAAGCATATTATGGTATTGATGCCAGGTCAAGTCATATAGATTGATTCCATAATCAAGATGTGTATAGGTTTGATGACAAATATACTTCCGAGATGTCCTTGTTATTTATATATAGCTGACTATCTCCATGAGTCTTAACAATGGGATTGATCGTAACCAAGTGATAGGGCCGGACTTGCGAAGATGCCAAACGTCTTCTCTTTGTGTAACATCAGGTGTATTAACTCCGAAGTATGAATAATTTTTGCTGAGTCCTACAACGTTGGCAAGTTTAACCATATCACTACTTTCTCCAGATGTCTGTTATCTTGGCATCCCAAGTACAATTGACAAATCAATCTTAAACCTCCACTATTTCATAATAAACCTACAGAATCTCTAAATCCCCGGTCCGAATAAAACGTGAATTCTAAACCACGTAATCTAAAAATAATAATAAAAAAAAAAAAAAAAATGCACTAAAGCACCATCTTTGCATATGCTAACATATTATACGGATAATAATAAATGTGAACAAGTGAATACGGAACTAGCATTTCCTTCATGTGAAAATGTACAAAACAGACTTTAAGAAACGGCTGGTAAACTGGAAGCGAGAGAGAGGAATGTAGAACAGATAAAAATGTAAGAACACAATTCTCATTCCTGTTTTGCTTTGGTCAAAAACCACTCACGACAACGACCCTAGTAATTTTGTGACTAGCATTATCATTGACTATTAGACATGCAGTAAAGCTGATCTGTTTTTGTTTCTTTTTTTTATTTGCATTATTTTCGTTTTTGGTTAAAGAATGAAAAATTTTTTTTATTTTCCTTCGTATCAACGTTGATGTTGATTATTAAGGAACACAAACCTATAGTGGCCTCAAAATCACGTTATGCACCCACTCCATAAACATCAACACACACACACACACACACACACGGAGACTACCAACTATCATGAAACCTTAGTTTCTCATCCATTCCTGGCCCCTGAATTTGCTCTTTCATAACTTGGCAGGGCAATCAAGGAAAGTGGAGAATTATGGTTGCGATTTACTTTTACTTTACTAAGCTTGAACTCTCTGTCATTTATCACCCATCGGAATTAAATACTGGCCTTATATCCTTGTTGTTGTTTTGTGTCATCTCTGTTTATGTGCTATCTCCGGCGAGAATTTTTTGGTGCAAAACAGAAAAAAGCAATAAAACAAACGCAAATCATATTTTTGGCATTTCTTCCATCTCCCATTCCCCGAATACGTCGTTGGTATAAATAAAATTTAATATCCAATTAAAACCAAAACAAGCATTTGTTTCGAATAAAAGTTTGGATATTATTTATTCTTTCTTTTATTATTAAAGCAATTCTCTTTTTTTTTTTTCTTTCAATTTTATTTTCCATTGCTATTCTACAAGAACTTTTGATACCTTGGTAAAGCTTAATTAAGAAAAACGACCAATTGAATACTCGAATAGAAGGAGATTGCACTCAATAATAATGGGATTTTTTGGTACTACTAAAGAAGAAGAAGCCCAACTTAGAGAAGCTGCTACTTCTGCAGGTTCCGATAGTGCTAATGATTCAAGACGTTCAATGTCATCAAACACTGATTTGTCTGCTTATGATACTGCTGAAGAATATGGATACGACGATGAAGATGAAGAAGTTGTTCCAACTCAACGTAACGTCGTCACTGATCAAGATGAAATAGTCCCAAAAGCTAATACTAATAATGATACCCCAGCTCCAAATATTGATATCAATGAAGATCATGACGATAGTACCGTACTTGCACATGAACCACATATTCCAACTTCTAAGGAAAATGATTCTAATTCCGATGATGAAAATAATGATTCTGACATTTCTAATCCACAAGAATTACATGGAGATCATTATGAGAACTTTGAAGATGAAGAAAATAGATTAAACAGAGAATTCACTATTGAGAGAATAAGAACCCATAGATCCATTGAAGAAATGGCTGAGGAAGAAATTGAAGACGAAGAAGCTTCAATTCATCCTTCATTGCACCCTAGCAGAAAGCTTTCTAGAGTTCCAACTAATCGTGCTGATAAAGATAAGGTTTATACTCCTCAAGAATTACAATTTGATTCTCCTGATGATAAGGAAAATCCACATAACTGGCCACATTGGAAGAAATGGATGGTTACCTATACTGGTGCCGTTATGTGTCTTGTTTGTTCTTTAGGTTCTTCTATGTATACTGGTGGTATTCCAGAAATTATGGTTAGATTTGGTGCTTCCCAAGAATTGTGTCTTTCTGGTTTAACCTTTTATTTAATTGGTTTGGCTCTTGGTCCAACTTTAGCTGCTCCATTATCTGAAGTTTATGGTCGTAAACCAATTTATATATTTTCATTACCTATTGCTATGTTATTCACCATGGGTGTTGGTTTATCTAAAAACATTGGATCCATTTTAGTCTTGCGTTTCTTCTGTGGTTTCTTTTCTTCCCCAGCTTTATCTGTTGCCAGTGGTACTATTTCTGATGTTTGGGCCAATGATCCAGCTGATCAATCATTTGCCGTTGCTATTTTCTGTTTGTGTCCATTCTTGGGTCCTGTTTTAGGTCCAATTATCGGTGGATTTGCTTCTGAACATAAAAACTGGCAATGGTCTTCTGCTTGGATTTTATTGATGTTTTTTGGAGCTGTTTGGCCATTTACTATCATCTTACCAGAAACTTACAAGCCAGTTATCTTGACTAAGATTGCTCGTAAGAGAGGTTTACAAGTTGATGCTCCAAAATTAAATGTTGCTTTCCTTAAAAAAGTCGTTAGATACAATTTACTTCTTCCAATTAAATTGATCTATAGTGAACCAATTGTTTTCATTTTATCCCTTTACATTTCCTTCATTTTTGCTGTTTTGTTTGGATTCTTTGAAGCTTTCCCAGTTATTTTCAGAGGTGTTTACCATATGGATCTTGGTGTTTCTGGATTACCTTTTATTTCCGTTGGTATTGGTTTATTCCTTGGTGTTCTTTTGTATGTTATTTTGGATAAAGTTATATTTTTCCCAAAGAATCCAGATGGTACCCGTGGTAAACGTGACGAAAATGGTAATATTATTTGGGATCCACCTGAAAAGAAATTATTGGTTGGTAAAATTGGTGCTCCATGTTTACCAATTGCTTTATTCTGGTTAGGTTGGACTGGTAGAACTGAATCAGTTCATTGGATGGCACCAACTGCAAGTGGTGTTCCATTTGGATTTGGTTTAATTTTAATTTTCTTTTCTGTTGTCTTATATTTTGCCATGTCTTTCCCACCAATGTTTGTTGCTTCTGCCATTGCTGCTAATAATTTAATGAGATATATTATGGCTTCAGTTTTCCCACTTTTCACCGTTCAATGTTTTGAAAATTTGGGTATTGGTTGGGCTGGTTCACTTTTCGCTTTTATTTCATTGGCGATGGTTCCAGTTCCATTTATTTTTGGTCGTTATGGTCCAAAATTCAGAGAAAGAAGTCCATATGGTTATGTTGCCTTCTTTAAGAAAATGGCCCAAGAAAAAGCCATGAAAGAAGCCGCCGCCGCTGCTGCTGCTGCTAAAGAAAAGCAATCTCAAGATTCTGAAGTTGCATCTTCTGTTAGTGAAGAACTTCACGAAGAAGAACCTAAAGCACCAGAAAATGTTGTTGCCGATAAGGTTTAATCTCATGATATACACGACGTTGTTACGTTTTCCCACGTTATTGCATAATTCCTCCTTAATATTTTATAGACGTTTTCATTTAGAGTTCTACGTGTTTGATTTTTTTTAATGTAATATTTAATAATTTTCAATTTATTCTGATAAATTATATCGTGGCTTTTCGTTTGTTACAGTTTAGTTGCCAATCTCGTAAGGTAAGCAACCGAATCTATGTAATATACGTTCTATACCATCCATACCAGCTTCTAAATGATGTAATTCAGGACCATAACTGATTCTAACATAATGATACCAAATAATTTCTTCAATATGGGCTAAATTTTGTGGGTTAATCAAAAAGAAGAAACCAGGAACAACAATGACTTTTTCATGTAAACATTCATGGAAGAATCCCAAGGCATTACTCAATTTTCCAGGTAAATGGCTCAAATTTAACCACAAGTAAAAAGTTGAATTTGGAATTGTTTTTTGTGTAAATGGGAATCCCATCTTGGATAATCTACCAATGACATAATCACGCTTCATCTTGAAATGCATTTGTAAAGCTTTCATTTCTTGTTGTACTTTCAATGGTTGCAAAAATTCAACAGCAACGTGTTGCAATGGAGAATTTGACCCACCATCCAAATAAGAACCAGCAGAGGAAAGGGCATTTATATAGTCTTCGGGACCAACAACCCAACAAATTCTCCAACCAGGCAATCTAAAAGCTTTTGTCAAACCATTCAAAATCAAAACTGGATCTTGGTTTACATCTTCGACGTATTCAGCTGAACTGATTGAAGAACCAGTACATCCTTCATCATAATAATAATGAGAATAAAATTCATCCATGATAAGTAAACATTTTTCTCGACACATACGGTGTAATTCACGTAATTGATCTCTTGATAAACAATTACCAGTTGGATTTCTTGGATTAGAAGTCAAAAGCGCACCCATACCTCTAGCCAATTCATCCTTAACCAATTCCAAATGCATTTCAAAATTATCCATTTCTTTCAATGGGACAGGAATGGGAGAGAAATTTTTCATTGTTGCAATAAGTTCAGAATAAGCAGTGTAATCTGGAAGGAAAAAGGACAAATAAACATCACTGATTATACTAGCAATTCTAGTCAACCCGGCTCTACCACCTGGAACAATACAGACATTTTTGTAAGTATATTGAGATGTTTTTCCTTGACGGTATGTAACATTATAATAGTTGGCAACTGCTTCTCTAAGTTGCTTGATACCTGCAGTTGGAGCATATTCACGATAATCAACAGGCAAGTTGATTTGTTTAGGTCTTGGGAATGATCCTGGGATGGAGTCACCGTGTTCTGGAGCACCTTGACCTAAATTAGCCCAATCACCAACGTGTTCTGAATCATAACCATACTCCGAAGCTCTTTCGGTAGCCCATAACACACCAGTGGAAGATTGTTTGGTATTCAAAGCTGGCTTATATGTGTTTTCATCGAATCTTGGTTTTGGTAATGGGATTGGAGAACTTTCTCTACCATTTTCCAGCTTAGACAATTTTGAAATCAAGTGTTGTCTAAAATTGCTGTTTCTTAAATTTGGAGTAGCTTGAGGAGGTCTTCCTGGAATTTGTTGATAACTATCTCTTGCATGTTGAGGTTGTGGAGATTTCAAATTTGGATCATTATTAAAAGGATGATGAGGATTACTAGCACTTGGTGATGTTGGAATAGCTGCAATTGGAGTACCAGCCGTTGGGGTAGCTTGAATTGCTTCAAATAAAGATGATGCTGATCTTTTCAAAGCTGGTGGTAAAGTAGAACCTAATCTTTCGAATTCTAATAATGATTCCTGATCATTATCAGAGTCATCGTTAACTTGATGGTTAGACATATTCTGTAATAGCTAATGGTGAAGATGAAAAGTATGAATTAGCTTTTTTTTTTTCTTCTCTCTCTTCGCCGAACTTCTAAGCTGATGGAAGTAAATTCCTGGGGAGTTTGCTTTTTTTTTGGTAAGGGAGAAGAAAAAAAAGTGGTGAAAACTCAAACCATTGACGGTCCAACGGATACGACTCAACTTGTAATATACTCCCATAGTTGACCAAACCAGTGGGGGGAGTACGATCATTTATTGGTATTTAAACGTCACATTAGAAATAGAAGAGTATTAAACTAAACATCAAATGGTATGATCCCAATAAACGTATCTGTGGGGAACGTATACGTTTGGTTGGAATCACAAATCACAAATTATTATAGTATTCAATCTAAGCAGATATTATCCCCTCTATACTCTAATCAGCCCCTCACGGTTCACCTGAAGAACATTCTGCAATAGAAACTTAACCCATAGTTTAGTCTAGTGTCGGAATTCATGAGGTCGTGTACAGCACAAACCACCATCATCTCTGCGCAAGAAATTCTAAAAAAAAAAATATTTATAAAAAAAATTTCATGGAACTCATTATCAAAGTAGCATCTCTAACATATACTTTTAATTCCTATTCCCATTATATTATCATTACATTTGATATTTTATCATTATCATTTACACCTTCATTAACTAAATATAGCAAAATTCATACAGGATGATTAGAAAACAAGCCAGGGAAAGAAGAGAATATCTTTATAGAAAAGCTTTACAACTTCAAGAAGCATCACTAACTGAAAAAAGACAACAATTAAAAGCAGCATTAGCATCAGGTAAACCACTTTCTAAAGAACTTGCAGAAGATGAAAAATTACAAAAAGATTTTATTTATGATGAAAGTGTTCAAGATAATAATTTAGAAATTGATGATGAATATTCAGCATTATCAGGTATATCAGATCCAAAAGTTTTAATTACTACATCTCGTGATCCATCCGTTAAATTATTACAATTTCTGAAAGAAATTAAATTAATGTTTCCAAATAGTTTAAAATTAAATAGAGGTAATTATATTATGTCTGATTTAGTAAGTACTTGTAGTAGAGTACAAATTTCAGATATGATTTTATTACATGAACATAGAGGTGTTCCTTCAAGTTTAACAGTTAGTCATTTTCCTCATGGTCCAACTGCTATATTTACTTTACATAATGTTAAATTAAGACATGATTTACCTAATTTAGGTAATGTATCTGAATCTTATCCTCATTTAATTTTTGAAAATTTCAATACTCCTTTGGGTAAAAGAGTAGTTAAAATTTTACAACATTTATTCCCTCCAGGTGTTAAAAAAGATAGTTCAAGAGTTATAACTTTTGTTAATAATGATGATTATATATCTGTTAGACATCATGTTTATGTTAAAGCAAAGGATTCAGTGGAAATAAGTGAAGTTGGTCCAAGATTTGAAATGAGATTGTATGAAATTAGATTAGGTTTACCAGATAATAAGGATGCAGATGTTGAATGGCAATTAAGAAGATTTATAAGAACTGCTAATAGAAAGAATTATTTGTAAAACGAGGGATAATGTGAGATATAGCGATACTTAATACACGCAAAAACATATAATAAATAAAATGATTCATTTCGATCTTCATACTTTATATCTACTTACACATGACTAACAGTTGTAACAAGATAGCTTGGGTTCTCGCTAACCATTTGGCTTCTTTCTCCTGCCATCAGGTCTCTTGATCTACCGGACGATGAATCCTCGGAGTAAGTAGAATGTCTTCGACGTTTAATTCTACCTTCGATATTTGTAAGTACTCTGGTAATTAAGTTATTACCACCATCCATAGGACTACCACCAAATGTGGCAACTCTGCCTAATGTTGTGGTTCTCTCCATAGTGTGTTGTCTATTAATGGCGTGTTCTTCTTGTAATCTATCATGACGTCTCATATCTGCATCTGGAAGCATAATGGCACGATCAATAGCGTATGGCAAACCTCTATGTCTTCCTCTAATCATCATGGCAATAATCACCAACTTTGAAATAACATTGAATTTTGAACTAAATGAACAATCAGTGTCAGTGTACCCCAATGACATACCAACGGTACCATAAGCACTAATAACTTCAAACAATACGGCAAATATACTGAAACGTAAGTCTTGCTTCTGTAACTTACTACCTTCAGCAATACATATGATGAACAATCCAACACAGATATACCATAAATCATAAGACAATTGGTTTCTCAAATGTGAACCCACATAATTGGAAGGTCTATTTTCATCTACACTATCTCCACTGCCACCTTCATCCTTGGCATAAACGCCCAATGATTGCTCTTCATAGACGTTAGTTCTTCTCACGGAAATGGCAATCGGTAAGACGGAAATATACATCATCACCAAGTAACTCACTTGGGTAGCGGCATGTAATTGAGATAAATCCATAATACTGAATCCAGCTGTTCTGGTACAAAAAGCTTGGAATAACCCATTCAATACTCGGTATCCCCTATCGATACCATCAAATGAGTCATCATTTATATCCAAAATACAGAATACCACCAAATCAAATCCATTCAATACAACCAAGATGAAAAACAACCACCAAGTTGGAACACTAGGGAACAACAATGTAAAGCATCGACGAGGGTGGTCCAATAAGAATCCCAAGGACTCTTTGGTTAAACTCAATGGTCTAGAAAACTTAAACATCACCCAGATAATGAATCTCAAAATAATCGGGAACCCTGTATTACCAATCACAATTAAAAACGAACAAAGGATTTGCACAAACGCATTTGAGTTGAATGAAGACATGGAATCTGGAGTTAAAGTGAATCCTAAATCATTGAATGACGATTGCCCAGTAAACATAGCCCACCATGCAGGCGAGATCGCACTTTCACGTACAACTCGTCTATAATGAGGCATGCAATAAATCCAAATGAGTAAAGCTATACCGGGAAAAATTAAAAATCCAATGTAAAATACAACAATGATCTTGATTAACAATTTCACTGCTCGATATTCTATACCTCCCAATTCATCCTTTTGCTCTTCAGTCATTTTTATGAACGTCGAGTTTCTTCCAACAGTTGGTGCCCATGACAAATAATTACCACTCATGGTTCTTGACAAGTGTTGATATGAATCATTTGTGTCAACATTCTCAATGGAGTCATTATCAATCGATTGCGTTCTACTTCTCCTTGGTAAATTGAAACTAGGTGTTCTTCTTTTAGTAGGTCTTTTGCGTGGTGTTTTCCTGGTAGTCCTGTTGTCTGTGATATCCTCACTAAAATCATTACGAACATCTGGAATATCAAGTGTGTTGCTCCTCTTGACAAATTTCTTCCCACCAGTTGCATCTCTTGACGGAAGAACTAAATGTGACTGGGATTTAACAACCGGAGCACCGTCTTCTTCTTCATCGTCTTCATCTTCATCGTGATCATCATCATTATCATCGTCTTCCACATCCTCATCATCCTCTCCGTCAGTAACAGCGTGTTCATGGTCATTTCCATGGTATTCATTTGTCACTTGATTCTCCGAATCAATAGAAGCATCTTCTTCTTCTTCGTCCTCGTCATCAAAATCATCTTCGGTATCTGTATGGGCATTAAGAAGAGTTTTCCTTTTATTATTATTTGATAATGTTCTCCTTAATTTGTTAGTCCATGGATCAATACTCTTTCTCCTCTGATTTGCTATCCAACTTTTAGCTCTTGAAGGAGCATCTCTATTATGTGAAGGGTTCTTTTTCTTTTTTGTAAAAATTGGATTCTTTGAATCGGAATTTTCAATTTCATTAGGTGGTTTGATAATCAAAATATCGTCGTCATCATCGTCATCATCATCTTGGTTTTCATCATTATTATGATGGGTATGATGGAAAAAATTGTTATTGTTATGGCTGTAGTGATGATTACTATTCCTGCTTCCTGGACGTTCACCCAATTGAAAACTTATACTTGTTGGACTAAAAGGTCGTCTCTTACTTGGTGATTCAACATTTGAGAAATGAACCTCGTTTGATTCATTTTCTTGGTTTTTCTTATTTTGTTGCAACATATTGATTGAGCGATACATATCTTCGGGATCGATGGACTTTTTTCTTTTTGGATTAGGTAATGTACCAAATTTGATGGCTGAATCTGAGCGGACATGAGCAGGACGTACCGGTTCCTGAAAATGTATTCTTTCTGCTCCGTTAATTCCAGAATCACGGTTTTCATCTGTTTGTGTTATCAGTTCATTTTCAGTATCTGATGGTTCGCTATGATGTTCCACTCCATTGTTTTCTGGTATGAATGATGCTGTCAAATTATCTGAATTTTGTGTACTTGAAGATGGTGGTGTAGATGATAACCCCTTCTCTTCATCTTGCTCGTGTTCTTGTCGTCTTTGTTTGAACCCTAGTACTTGATTATTGAAAGTGTTTAATCTTGTGGAACTCATTGTTTCCTTGGTTGCCATTCTCGCTAGTGTTGCTGATTTTCTCATTCGATAATCCATCAATGACCTTTCTTTAATATTGTCAAAATGACGTTCGAAATAATATAATCTGACAAATAACAAAGATCCATGAATGAAAATTGGTGTTGTTAAACATGCTAGTAGGTATATGATAATTTGTTGGTAAAGTGATAAATCGCTAACATTGACAGGATTCAATCCTGCTTGTGTAGAAGCACCACTGGCAAAGAATAAAGCATCGATGTATGCTGTGGTTTTGACGGGGTAGATTAAAATTGAACCAATTATTACTAATGTTATGATGTAAAAATAATGCACGGCTCTGAAATTTGGTAAAAGGACTTTGGCATATGGATGTATTTTTGATGCCACATCGTGAATACCTTCTCTTAGATAGTATCCGAACCCATAATGAAATCGACTTCGTGTATGACGATTATACAACTCTTTTAATCTAGTGAACATGTGATTTAATATATTATCGTAATTCCATAAAGTCTGTATTTGTTGATAATGGTGAAATAAAAAAGAGTATGTGGGAGTAGTTTCTTATATGAACTGGCTTGAATTGATAACTGATTTTTTTTCTTGATTGTTTTAGAATAATAGAAGTTTATAAAGATCACAAATCTTAAAATACTACGCTTTAAATTTTAATACTGCCTCTTATGATCAGACTGATGTGGAGAAGTATAACCAAAAGTGATCCTTATCGTATGATAGTGCTGACAGTTGAATATAAGCAACTGTTATCTGAATGACCTTTGAAATTTCTTTCTGAAAAAAAAAAAAAATCCTCAAAAAATTACCAATGTCTGAGATGTGAGAGGGAACGGATATTTGTGTGTGTGTGTGTGTGTTTCAAAGGACTACATATTTTTTTTGCTTTGAAAATTTTACTTGCAATTACCTAAGCAGCAAAAAATAAAAAAAGGATCACTTGTTTCCATAGCTTGGTCAAAATTGTTTGAACAATCAATTACTCGCACGTGTACTACTTTATGACATATATTTTTCGTCATCTTTTCATCATTCCAGATTTTCACATCGTTTATCGCTAATCTGATCTCTTACATGCCGATATAAAAGTAAGACGATGATGATGAAATATTCAAGGGATGAAACAATATGATACCATTCCTCCCCTCACTTTTGATACCGATGTAATAGCTTTCGTCTGGTTGGAGGAAAATTTTTTTTTCAAGAATTTCATGGCTTTTGTTGTCGCTAGAAATCTCGTATTGAGAGGAACGTGAACACATAACGAAACAATGTGATATACATAATAACACCAAAACATGCACTATCACAACCTGTTCACGGCTCTAATACGGCAAAAGTACTTTTCTCGGTTCTTGTTTTGCCCCTTCATGGTTTGGCTTTTCGTGTAACAACTGGCAAAAGTAGTATTTTTGTGTCTGTGTCACGTGATGTAGATCATTATCATTAAATTGACAAGAAGAATGAATTTTCACGGACATGTAAGATAGTGTAATATATTTAGTAGATCCAGAAAATGATAGTTTTTTGCTTGGATTATTCTAACAAATTTTTCAGTTGTTATTTTTAATGCATTGCTAATTTGGTGTAATTAATGTTCCCACTTTGAGAGTATTCTTGTAGCCTATTACACACGAAACATGGTGTGAATAGTCGGGTTGAATCAATTGATCATATTCTTGTACTTGTGGAAGCAATCAAGTAGACGGTTCATACATAGTACAATATTTGTGATTTGATAGCGCGTGTAAGGCCTGGTACTGCTTTTTACAAAGATATTTTGGCAAAATTTGATTGATATTCAACAATAAAAAAAATCCTTATCACAAATAATTATAATAAACAGAAATAATCAGTTAATTATCTGAAGATACACTTATATTAGAAATAATTGTTTTATTACAGAAGCTTACCACTAAATGTATGAATGTATCGGAAGTACAGACAATATTTTTTTTGTATCTAAAAACCGCCATCGAAACCCGTAGACTTCAGATTAGCTACTGTGTTTGCCTTTGGCTTCAGTTGAACTGTAGTGGCTAATACTCAGTATATCAGTGCTATACAGCAAGAACCAAGTAAATTACAGAATGTGTGAGTGTTTCTAAAAAGTAAACTCGGAAAACAAATAGGAGTTGAATTATTCACGTTGATGTTAAACGGCAACGTCATGAGAGTTCATGTATGTGATGGAATTCAAACTCAACTACTACTGGAACTATAAAACTTTAACGAGATGTTGATTCCTCATAGACTGAGGTGAAATCTTTTATGTTTTTGAGTCTTTTACGTCCCTTGGATTCATAACCAGCATTATTTCATTGGTGGAATGGATCATAACATACCAGGATTCCAAAGTAATCGAATCAACTACTGTTTGTGGAAGTCACTTTAGTTGATACAGATAAGAAGAATTTCAAGCTTACTAAGTTTGGCACTTTGGGTCTTTAATAAAAAATTTTCCTTTTCTTCCAATTGTCATTCATTTATCGGATTTAACTAAAGAGTAAGGACCGTTAGAAGTCCGAAACATACACAATAAAATTTACGCCGAACTTTCCAGCAACACATCTGTTTAATCTGGGATGATGATGATGATGATGATGACGAAACGATATACGTTGGATTTAGTGATTACAAAGCACCGTTAGAATCAAAGCCAACCATCGAAAATTCCTGGCTTAATTGATGCTTAAGTGGTAAACAGAATAAGAATATGGCGGGGACTAGTAAGGGCGCAATTGCTGGCTACAGAAATTCCCGCAGGGGAGGCATTTGCGCAAAATTTCTTTTACTACAACCAGTAAAAAAAAAAAAAAAAAACAGAAAGAAATCCTCGAGAAAGATTTTCTGGTTGTTCGGTTTTTCCGTTGGGGAAACAGAAAGGAAGTTGAATTTTTTTTATGAGGTGATTAATGCTTAAATTGATGATCATTGTTTGTTATTGAGTTTCCAATAATAACCTTGCTATGGTATCTTTCTTTTATTTTCATTTTAGTTGTTTCTTTTGAGTTGCATTAATGATCTCATCGAAAATCATTTGTCATTACGGGCTCTCTTTATTATTCTCTCATAGCAATGCATAGAACGACGTTATATCTCCGAGTTTCCTTAAATTACTTGCATGATGTTAATTGTCTACACCATGATGTACATTGTATTCACCAATAGAATCATAGTTAATTGCGACTGTTTGTATGAACCAGCAATATACACTGCAAAGCTACCTGGCATCAAACCATAGGAACAATGTCTATGACCTCATCGTTCCAAATTTTTTTTCCTTCTTCTTCCCCATCACCTGTGTATTGCAAAGATCTAAAAAAGAAATGAAAATTAACCCGCAAAAAAAAGCGCCGCTAAAAAAAAGCCCCCCAAAAAATCATCTACCAAATACAAATACAAAGCAAAGCTAAATTTAGAAGTTTATCATCAAACAGAATACAAAACTGAAATTCTAATTAATTAAGCTTGCTTGTATGTGAAATGACAAGCATAAGAAAACATAAACATAAGACAACAATAAAAATAGAATAAAGTATTTTAATTCACCAAAAAAGAAAATCCAAATGTTCCTTGGTGTAAAATAATATTTAAACAAGTCTATTTCCTCTTCTTAACCCCCCTTCTTGTTTCTTTTAATATTATTATTCTTAGCAATATTGCTTTTCACTTTATCCCATCACCAAACATTTATTTCACTCGCTTTTAGTTTTAATTTTAAAGATTATTTACAATATGAAATTCTTATCAATTGCTTCTCTTTTAACTTTATCTTCATCTGCCTTAGCTGCTATTAGACAAGTCCAATTGTTTGCTCAATCAGATAACGAAGAAATCAACACTTTTGGTCTTTCTTCTATTCATGAGGGTGCTGGTATTAACTATTTCTTTTTAGCTGCCCCAGGTACTGCTCAAACTTTACAATTTGATGATGAAACCAATAATATTTTTGCTGAATTGGGTTCTACTCCACCAGCCAGACAATATTTTGTTATTTCTGGAAATATTCTTCAACTCAGTGTTGCTGGTGAACCATTGAATGTTCAAATTGCTGATGATGGTTTGGTTTCTTTCCCAGGTTCTGAATCTATTGCTGCTGCTAAAAACATTAACGATCCTTACAGATACTCTGAAGAACAATTTGCTGTTGTTACTAATGGTGCTGAAGGATCAATTCCATTCAAGATTGTTGCAAAATTCGTTGATGAAAAACCAAAAGAAACTGAAAGTTCTTCTGCTATTACCATCCCAGAAAGTTCATCTGTTGTTCCAACTCCAGAAAGTTCATCTATTGTTACAACTGAAGAAACTACTATTGTTCCACCATCCGAAGAAACAGCTGCTTACAACAACAAGACTACCGTTACTGTTTACACCACTTACTGCCCAGAATCAACTACTTTGACTCTTACTGTTTGTGATAAGAAATGTAAACCAACCGAAATTCCAACTTCCGGTTCTGTCAGCATTCCAGATGTTCTCATTCTGACTACTACTGAAACTAAGACTACTTTACAAACTATCACTAAAGCTCCAGTTCCAACTTCTGCTCCAGTTACTAGTATCCACCATAACTCTACTTCCACCTTTTTCACTCCAGTTGCTACTGTCACTTCATATGAGGGTGCTGGTAATATGATCACCGGCTCCTTTGCTATTGGTGTCGCTGCTATTGTTGGTATGATTTTGTAATCATAGAGATTTACGAAACGTATCCTCCAAGTTGGGAGAATGACATCTATTAGGTTATTATTTATCGTAGCTTTTTCTACTTCATGTTTTTATTCGGATTCATAGGGATTATTATTGTTGTTCAGTTTTCTTTTATTAAGTTAGTTTATTTTAGGTTATGTTCTATATATTTGTTTTTTATTAATGATTAAAAGTTTTATCATGTATGTTTAATGGAGTCTATTTTTATCTTCCAATTGTTGGATTGACGTAGATCAAACTCGCCACACCTTAAAACCAAAAAGTGTGGAGAAATGGACAAAAATATTGAGGTACACACGTATCCATTCGAGCCGATCGTACATGAATGAAGAGGGTCAACATTTAGATGAAGGGATGTGTTTTAATTATCTATGCATTGGTGTAATGTCAGCGGTTTAACTTTTTTTATCCACACACGGCGATTTCCTCGTTCGCATTATTGGTTAAAATGGTGTGGTTATATCCCATCCACTCATAACCTTAACATATTTAGAAATAAAGCAAGCGTGACTCAACACTTTCCACCAATAACCCCACCAGTGACACGTTTATTCTTACTAATTTAGTTTATTGCTCCTGAAATTTTCCATCATTTTTTTTTAAGGTTTTCTTTTCTTGCTGAACAATAAAGAGATACTGTATGAGCTGTAGCCAGACGATTAAAAGACCTGTTCCTTGTTTACGTTTCTATTGTTCTTCTGTTTTAATAAGAAAATAGTAACATGTTGCAATGGCCATAAAGGTTTTGAGCCAATTACTAATAATCACTGTAATAATAAATAATAATACTTTAATAATAGTAATAATAATAGTAATAATAATAATAAAAACTGTGGTGGAGATACTGCTGGTGTTAAAGAGGTAGTGGTGGTGGCGGCTGTTATAGATTACATGTCGTATGCTTGCTTCATTAGTTAGCAGTATGTCAGTACGAATTGAAGAGGAAATCGCGCAATTTGAAATAACTGCATGGCACCTTCCTCTTTCTCTCCCTCTCTCTCTCCCTCCGACATTGTGGTTGTTCTTATGACGTCAGGAATAACTCGTACTACACGAACTGTGAAAAATTATAATGCGTGTCAATTATTATTTTCATTTTCATTTGCATGGTTTTGTTTTGATTTTGTTGGTTTTTGTAATTTTGTATCCACTTTTCTTCCCACCCCCCCCAAATGTGTCGTTTTCTTTTCTGTTCTTCGTATAATTTCAACTTGAACAATCAAAGCCATTATTCTCCTTATTCTATGTCTCTTAAACTATTAGAATAAGCCTCATAAATAAGATGTCTCAATCATTCTACCATTAAAGTTAAACACACTTTTAAAGAACCTCACTTGGGATGGACAAACATTCATCCTTCACGTCTTATTATTGTAAAAGGGTTAAAAATAGCATCAGTGGTTTTATTTTCATTTATTTATTTATTATTACTGAATTTGGGTGTGCTATGGTTATGAAGAAGAGGTTACTGACTTGCCAAGTAGAATCCTTTGTGTAAGAAATTATTGAGTAATTCATTATTTCTCATTCTTCATGTTTCATTGTGTGTTTTTTTTTTTTTAATTCACGCACGAAAATGTCACCCACTTTTTGTTTTAAGATTTTCTTCCAGCGAATAACTGCTAATTATTCTTTTATTTGACTTTTTGTATTTTCCCTACGCTGCATGATTGTTCAAAACTCGGCATTAAAGGGAGAGATGAATTATCCATTTTCATGCACAAAAGTTCTGTTTCTGTATTATGGTTGTTGAACAAAATTATAAAATAGCGCATTTTATTTGTTTTACATGTTCGCTTTTATGGTACTAAATATAGACACACAAAGTGACCAAGTAATCGTTATAACATGCATTAAGACTTTTTGTTTCTTTTTTTTTTTATTTATTTATTTTGGTTGGTCGGTTGGTTTTTACTTTTCAATAGAACCGTATATAAACCAGATGATATTCCTTCTTGAAGTTGTACTTCTTTTCTATTTCTTTTAATTTTTCTTTTTCTTCATTCTATAATCTACTTTTTATACCCACATATACATATAATCAAAAATGAAATTCTTATTCTCCGTTGCTTCTATCTTGGCTTTAACTCCATCCGCTTTGGCTGCCGTTAGAAAAGTTCAATTATTTGCTGAATCTGACAACTCTGAAGTCAATGATTTCGGTATTTCTTCTGTCCACGAAGGTGCTGGCATCAACTACTTGTTCTTGGCTGCTCCAAATGTTGCTGAAACTGTCAACTATGATGACTCCAAATACATTTTGTACATTGAATCTTCTGTTGGTGAACAACCTTTCAGTGTTTCTGAAGGTCCAGGTTTCTTACAATTCGGTCAATCTTCCATCAGAGTCGACATTGCTGAAGATGGTACCGTCAGCTTCGATGGTAGTGACTCAGTTGTCGCTGCTAAGAACGTCAATGACCCATACAACAGATCTGAACAAGATTACTTCTTGGTTACTCAAGGTGGTGATGATGCTATCCCAGTTAAGATCGTTGCTAAATTCGTCGATTCTGAAGAAGCTTCTTCTGCTGAAGAAGAACAACCATCTGCTACTGAAGAAGAACAAGAACCATCTACTACTGAAGAAGCTCCAGCTTCATCTTCTGTTACTGAAGAAACCACCCCAGCCATTGTCTCTTCTTACGAAGGTGCTGCTAATGTTGTTGCTGCTGGTTCTTACGTTGCCGCTGCTGCTGCCGTTGCTGGTTTGATTTTCTAAATCAGTTATTGAGTATACCTTTTAGTTCTTTCTAATTTAATTTTTTGACAAAATTAGTATATAAAATATAAAATAAATGACGTACACTACTGTGATGGTTTAACTATTTCAATTTATCCGTTTTAACTCCTTGTAATTTTACCCTACTCCCTTTCGTTGTAGATTAAGGTAAGACTTTGGGGTATGTAATTAAAAGGTGCATCCCTGCATTTGAAATTTGCATAATTGAGGTGTAAACACAAGAATATCGTCTCATTTCAAGATTCCTACTACAGATCCGTGATGCATTATTATTATTATTATTTTCATTTTTGTTTTTGCAATTTTCACGCAGACATAATATTTTTAGTAAATAAGGGGGAAACAGAATTTATGTACGGTGGATTAAATTTATATATGGTCGTGTCGAATAAAAAGAAGATTCTCATGTTGAGTCGTGTGGTTGACTACCAAAAGATTGAATACCAGAAGTAGATAGTAAGGGAAGAATAAACTTCGTGTCGTGCCTTACAAACTTCATGTAACTTAAGCTACTATAATACTTGTTTATTAAAGCTATTCAATCATGATCCTTGTTACTGTTGGCAATGAAAGAAGTAATTAGTGAAGACAGTTATGTATGTTATATGAGAAGAGGAAAATTACTACAAATAAAGCAAAGAGTTTACCGATATGTAAATTGATACTGTTGAAGGAAGTAGTTAACCAATTCGGTAGAATGAAGAAATAACAGTGAATTAAATATTATGTAGAGTTAAATACGCACATGCATCCCAGATAGTAACCATAATTATCAGTTAAAGTTTTTAACCCACAATTTATACGGCTTCTCCTCCAGATAGTTTATCGACTTGAAGATAAAAGTCTTTATTAACAAGTTTAGTTTCTCCTTATCTTGAACAAAAAAAAATTGTTGCGTTGTTTTAGCATATATATTGAAGATCATGAAATACCTTTGTATGTTCACATTTGTTTCAATTGCTGTTGCAACTGTCTCCATTATCACATTGCTGATTAAATCAGATTATACCAAAGTAAACAACTATCATATTAACTCCAATCATGATGATCCAATAACGAGTCATTTATATGTAACAAACAACCAAGATATCCAATATTTACAGTATGATTCAGAAACAGGAATTATCTATAGAACAATCGAAACAAATTCAGAACCGTTGGTTCTTCGATTAACTATTGATGGTAGCGGAGTCTATAAATTAAAACAAACTGACTATCCACTACTAGTGAGTATTTCAGATGATGGGAAACTTGAATTTGATGGAGATGAATATATTTATATTGCAAAAAATCATAATCATCCTTATGAACAATTTCAAAATGAATATATTTTAACAAACTTATTACTTGATGCAACAAAATTAGTTGATATTTATGTTGAATTTATAAATCAAAATTTGGACAATAATAACATGCTGGTCATTTATAATATGTTTGAAAGTTATATTTTAGGGTTAGCAACGTTGATTTCATTACCGTTAATTACAATATTTGAAAAGTTGACTTGGATTGCTCTGGTTTATTGATTATCCTTCTTGGAGATGGCAGAGACGAAGATTTATAATTCTCTTTAAGATAGCTCGAACATTAAGAAATTCGTGTATTAATACATTAGATGGATCGAATCTCTCTTTGAATACTCTGAAACAATTTTCAATATATAATTAAAACTTAGAAATGATGACGATGCAAAAACTAATCATCCCTCCCTTTTCCTTGATAAGTTTACTACATGGACATAATATACATGAAAAAAACCCCGTTGAGAATGTTAGATTTACGAGATCTCAAGATAAAAAGAAATCTATTTTTGGACAATTATTGCAATTCTACCATCCCTGTGAATATTTTCCCGATTATGTAAACGAAGAAACTAAACTCTAAGCCTGTCAAAGTTCTAGAACTATTTATTTATAGAAAACATCACATATCAAATGAAAGATAAATGTAGATTTTACAATATAAAAGAAGCCCATTTTATCGGAAGTCTTTAGTAGATATTTATTTTCCATTTTCCTTAAAAGTATCGACATGAAATTCTATACTATTTTACCATTTATTGCTGCTGTTTTAGCTACTGTTTCAAATCTTACTTTATATGTTAAATCCAATGATAAAGGAATTCACAATAAGGTAGTTAATTCCATTCATGAAGGAGCAGCAGTTAATTATCTTTTTTTGAGTAATTCAACTCAAAAATTCCAATATAATTCAACAGCTAAGTCACTTTATGCAATTGTTGAAATTGGAGGTGGTCCAGAACCTTTTTATTTTGGTACTTTCGAAGATAAAAATTATCAGGTTATAGCTGGTTTAGAAGATGAAGCTCTCGGTGTTGAAATTGCGGATAATGGGGAACTTCAATTTGATGGTGATGTTTATGCTGCTAAGAACATTAAAGATCCTTATGACTACTCAACTGAAGATTACTTTTTAATTGATCATGAAACTAATGGTTCAATTCCTGTAAAACTTTATGCAAAATTTAGTAACAAAAATACAACAAAAGCTAATTCATCTATAAGTATTACTACCAAGAATGATGGTTCTTCAATTGGAAATAGCATTGCTGTGATTATTGCTGCTTTCTTTGCCATGACCTTCTAAATAGATTATTAGATGATTAAGATATTTTGATTAACATTATTAATAGATATCTATGATGATGAAGAATATTATATTCTGTCATTGACAATCTCGTATTTTCAGAATACCTGTGAATCCGAATACCGGTTTATTGTTTTATAACGAACAATGCGGCTATACCACCGAGGTCACGTTTTGAACGGCGTTTTTTTTTTTTTTTTTTGTATTTACGAGGGGTGACAATTTTTTTTAAACAAAACCGCCTTATATATATAAGAAAAAACCAGTAATGCTATCCCCCAAGATCAACCATCTCGATTTATCTGTTTCTTTGATGATACATTGAATCAATCAATCAATCAATCAATCAATAGAAATGAAATCAGATACACCACCTGAATATACTAATAGATCATCAGATAATTATGAAGATGAATTTCCCCCAGAGTTTTCAACCCTTGAACAACATGAATTGCCAGAATATTTTCAAACTACTAAAAATCCAGGATGGACAATTATTATAAATAATCGATTTTGGTTAGATGGATTTCGAATATTTGTTTCATTAGATGCAGCTTATAAATTTTCAGTGTTCAAAAAAAATAAAACTCCTGAAATTATTGATCTTCAAGAACAAGGATTTGGTGTACCTATACTCAAAGCAATTACACCAAATGTACCATTCACTAATAAGTTTCTAACATTTAGAAGATATGTACCTACTAATCTACATCCATTTGATATTGATAAAGATTATTATGAGTATTGTGTCGTGAAGAAAACCATTCATGTGGGTTATGATACATTTATTTTTGAGTTTAAACCTGATCCGAATGTACGCAAATCGGATTTCACGATCACAATGTTTTCTCATAGCCAATTACCTATAAATGATTATATATACAAAGGGAATAAACATCGATGGGTAGATGAAACTCATGGGAAAGGTTTTCGAAAAAGATGGAGTATGAAATTTGGATTCAAACATACTATTTTACGTTCGGATCAACTTTCATTAACTGATAATTGGGATGGTAAAGGTGATAAATTAAATAAAACAATTAATAAAAACCCTTACCTTGAAGGATATCTAAAGAAAATGTTCTCTGTATCTGCAAGATTACCCAAACATGAATATTATGGAAATTTATGTTCAGATACATTAGGAGAAACAGAACAATTTTTTAAAACGGGATACGCAGAATTAAAAATTGACGATATAGCCAACCCTAATTCAAATGTTAATTATGAAACTATATTTTCTTTGACAGAAGATCATTTGGTAACTATTTGTATAGCAACTGTGTTGAAGAGACAAAAGGATATTGAAGAAGACAGGAAAAGATCTTCAAGTGGTGGTGGTGGAGGTGGTTAACAGGTGTTATTGCTCAACAATTATCAATGATAACTCAATAGATATTATTACCCCCCTATTTGTTGAATTTTATTTTCTCTACAACATACGGCAGAGAGACTCATCTTATGTTCTTCTTATTCTGCGAGGTTTAATCATGTCTAAGAAGATTTGTGCATTTACGGAGATTGCAACTAAAAAAAAATTTAAAATCGCGGTGTTATGTACCAATTTGGTAATATTTGATTTTCGTATTGGGCTATCCTAGATATGAATAGTCACGAACTTGCAATCTAGTTTTGGACTATAAAAAGCCACGAATTGACCGTGATGGAGCTTTTAAAATATTTTCAATATAGCATTCAACCTTCAACAATGAAAACAGATACACCTCCACAATATACATTAAGACCAACACTGGGATATTTTGCTCCACAACATCCTCCCCAACTTCCACCAAGACCTAATGATTCATATGCCCCACCACCAGAAAAGGGCTATCCTCCTCCTCCTCCGCCTCGACAATACCAACAACCACCACCTGAAAAGTCATATCCTCCTGTTCAACAATATCAACAACCACCTCCCCCACAGGAACAATATTATTATCCTCCAGACCAATATCAATCACGAGACTTGAACTATAATCAAGTACAACAATATCAGGCTTCACCACCACTATCAAATTCCAATGGATGGGAAATTATGATAGATAATAAAATTTTAGATGATGATTATAAAATCTTCATTTCTAAAGACTCATATGATAAGTATTCATCATTTCTGAAAAAGAATAAAAGTCGAGAAGTTATTGATCTTCAACAGCAAGGATTTGGAGTACCTATATTTAAAGTTGAAGCAATTTTATTAAGTTTTCATGATAAATTTTTAAATTTTAAAAGATATTTACCCACTTCTTCACATCCTTTTAATCATAAAAAAGATTATTATGATTTTTGTTTAGTTAAAAAATTTATTCATATGAATTATGATTCTTATGTTTTTGAATTTAAACCTGATCCAAATAATAGAAATTTTGATTTTAAAATAGTTATGTTTTCTCATCAAATATTACCTATAAATGATTATTTATATAAAGGAGTTAAACATAGATGGATAAATGATTCTTATGAAGGTAGTATTAAAAGAATTTGGAATTTGAGATATTCTTTCACTCATACTATATTAAATCCAAATCAAATTTCTTTAACTGATAATTGGGATGGGAAATCCAATAAATTAGATAGAAAATTATTTAAAAATCCTTATCTTGGTGGTTTATTAAAAAAAATCTTTAATTTGAATTCAAGTTTTCCTAAACCTGAATATTATGGTTATTCAAATGTTGATACTTTAAGAGAAACTGATGATTTGATGGGTTTTGGTCATGCTGATTTGAATATAAATAATTCTTCCCAAACTAATTCAAATATCAGTCATGAATCAATCTTCTCATTATCTGAAGATGAATTGGTAAGTATTTGTATTGCAACTACTTTAAAGAGACAACAAGATCTTGATAGAGAAGAAAGTGATGACGATGTTTAAATAGATGGATTATTATCTAAACCAATTGTATGCGCAATACATATATGAGTGGAACTTTAATTGTAAGCAAAAATATAAATCTAGAACTAAATAATACTCTAATATAAATATAAACTTGTGTATGATTCTAAAACCTCATTTGTTTACCATAACTGAAGTAAATCTTCCCAATCACCTCTCTTTCTTCTATTCCAATAACTTTTCTCACCTTGAATGAATTCCCATTCAGATTCATCAACTGGACCATTACCCTTTTGTCTAAAGAATTTAGGAACATGAACTGTACCTGCTTCTTCCATTTCTTTTCTTCTCACCCTTTGATCTTGTTCTAATTTATTCTTTAAATCTTCCGCATTATCAACATCACCCTTTTCATATGCTTGTAAATCAGGTCTATTTCTTGAATCAGTAGGTGCCATTTTTCCTCTTTCCATTTCTGTGATTTTATTCAATGTACCACTAAATTTAGTGAAACCAAATTTCTTTTGATAATTAGGTAATAATTCACCAGCTTGCCAAATGGTCTTTTCTGTGGATTTAGTTTTCAATTTAAAGGATTCTGTCCATTTACCTTCAACACTGTATGGTAATTCACTCTTTTTACCATCAAATGCTTTAACAACAACATCTTCGGATCTACCACTCCACATACCACCTTTAGCAAATTCAGCAACTGCTTTATATCCGGTAGAAGACTTAACAGTGATAGTTCCACTTGGTTCAGCATACGTTTTACCAGCGATAATATTCTTAATCATAGTGGTTGGTTGGGTCCATGTGAAAACTTCTCCAGTTGATTTATCAGTCAATACTACACTACCTTTAGTGGTGACTTCGGATTGCTTACCCCAGAATTTCTGTACTGGCGATAAGGCATAGTCAAGGGTCCAAAATTCGGTATCAACATGAAATGCAAAAACTGGTGGACGATGACAAACTTTCTCTGAAACTAATCTAAACCCAAGGTCTTCACGAACCAACTCATATGTTTCACCCAATAATGGAGTGAATGGTTTACGTTTGTTTCTTTCTTTAGCACGAGCACTCGAAAGATTACTCAAAGCAAATGCAGCAATTCTTAATACCTTTTCACCAGATGCATCTTCAAAGTCAGAACCTAAAGCATTGGAAACAACTTCTGGATACTCAAGCATTTCAGCAAATTTCTGTAAAACTGTAGTAGGTTCATTGTAAGTAACTGGCATGGCAATTGTGGATAAATCTTTCCCAACATTTTTACGAACAAAACTAAGAATAGATGGAGGTGTATGTGTACACACTGGAATATCAAAATCTCTCTTTATTGGATCATGTGGTAATGGATACAAGTTATCTTCATCAGCTGTGACGGTTGGCTGTGGTAAATCTTTATCTTGACTGGCTGGTTCTTCAGCCATTATTGGAATATTAGTTACATCAACATCCTCTTCTTCATCGTCGGATGAGGTTTCCTCTTCAACAACCATATCTTCCTCTTCTTCTTGTGGGAATTTACCATCATAATCCAAAAAGTACACACCAGTGTCGTCGAAATGATCTGCAGCATCATGGAAATCAGAGGAGAAAACAGATTGTGAATCGCCAGCTCCAGATAATTGCACTCCAGCTGAGCCATTGGTTTGATAAATCAAATTCAAAAAGTCTTGATGAATTTCATCAGCCAATGGAGAAGGATGTTGAACTTTCAATTGCTCCAATTTGTTAGCAATTATTTGCAATTCTGATGTTGATGGGGCAATGGCCGTGGACCCATTTGATGCTGGTGCAGAGGAGCTTACAGCCGCACCATTTTCTGGACCCATAAGTAAATCAGATTGTTGGGTTTTAATAGAATTGAATGCACCGACCCAGGCATTAAAATCAGCCTTGTTGACTGCTTTCAAGTGCCACACTTCCATACCAGAATCAATAATAAACTCACGAGTGGCTTCATTTGCAGAAACTATGGCTTCTTTAATAGGCATTTGACCACGTAATTTAACATCATTAACTCTAAAGTAAGACAAAGTTCCTCTTGCGAAATTCAAAACAAAATAACGTTTGGTAAAACCTTGTAACTTCTTTCTCCTTTTCTTTAATATGACACTTTGTAAAGTTTCCCCTGGGGCAGAATCACTTTCATCAAATACATTTTGATCATTTGCATCAGAAACTTGTTGTTGTGCTGGCATAATAGAAGAAGAGGCTACAGACGATTCTTCTTGGGGGAGACTTGTGACAATTTTAGCAGAAAATTCCACTTGTTTGGCAATAGTCTTTGAAAATGAGTTATCAAAAACAAAAGCAAACATACCACCTTTATCTACTTCAAATTTCCCATGAATAAGTTCGTTGGCGACTAATTTGTTATAATTTTTAATTAAAGTCAAATCCGATTCATTGATTAGGGACAATGCAGATGCTCTAGATTTTAATTTGTAGACATCATTTGATTTTGTAAATTGATTAACTGATGCAGCTGAAGCTGATCGAGATCTTGTACTATAAGGTGGTTGAATTGGAGGAGGGACATCTAAACTTAAATCATTTGACAGCAGGGAAGAATCCTCATTTTTCTTATAAAATGCAAAATTGATGGATTTCTTCAAAGGTTTTGCTTGCCAGTCAATAATAGAATTATCTGGAGCATTGATCCATTTGATAAGGAAATCCTTTGAATGTATTTCTAAAGTTTCCATACTCAGTTGGTTGTTGTTGTTGTGTGTATGGTGAAATCAAAAAAATTGGTGGGAAAAGAAAAAAAAATTAACAGGTGGTTAGATACTCGGTTGATTTCAAAATATAAATATGAAACCCGTGGAGCCCAAAAAAAAATAAAAACCTGAAATTAATCAACAACTTAGATTTAACAAAAAAAAAATTAAACCAGGCTGTGAAAATTATTAAAGCCAAATTAAACTATTTGATTTGATTTCAATGAACAACGACTGATGAGTTGATGTGAATCAAAAAAAAAACGAAAAATAGGAGAATGTTCAATTGGGGTTTTTATATTGTCGATGGCTTTTTTTTTTTTTTGTCAAACACTTTGACCTTAATTTTTTGTTGGGATGGTTATGAAACACAATTTGCTTATCCTGGTTTATCTCCTTCAAGTAAAACACTGATGCAAAAAAAAAGAAGAAGAATCCATTGACACACATTATCAACATAAAGTATATTAATTAAGAGGAAATGTGAAAAAAAAAATTAAATAGCAATTATGTGCTATGGTGTCTTTTGCTTATTATGGTAATTTTCTATTTTCTTCTTTGCTTTAGCATTTCTTGAGATTCACAGTTCCAAGTTGGTCTCTCTCTCTCTCTCTGTCGAATAACTGCTCCTACACTTGAGTGATCATAACGCGTGATTATTGATTCAAGAGCATTCTCGGCTCATCAACAGCGTTGATCTCTTCATTCCTCTATGGTAAACTACTTTCTGTGCATATGAGATTCATTTCAAAACCTTGAAACCTTGTGTTGAAGACAATTTGTTAGTCGGGGTTAATTCTCCCTCACTGAACAATCCATTATCCCCGCTTTATGCATCTCACGGGAGTTAACAGAAAAAAAGAAACTTTTCATCCACAAAATAATCAAACATATAAACTCACACACGCACACGAACTGTTGAGTTATGATACATTCGTTGATTCTAAATATTTTTTTGTACCCACGGGTCCTACGTATTTATGCACATAGAGAGATACATACTATGGATTTGCTTTTTAGTATTCTTGATAATCTTATAATTTCAAATTAAGCCTTTCTTCCGAACTATTTCTTGAAACTGCAAACTCATACATCTCTTGATCATCTTGAGTGGGCAATAATGACAGCATAAGTCCGCTACCATTGACCCCATTTCTATTTCGGGCAAATAACAAAAATTGTAATTGTTTTCGTAGACTATTAATCATCATACGTTGCATATTCATATCTTCTCTCATCATAAAATTATCATTAATCAAATTATTTACAACATTTTCTTGTTCAGTGACTTGTGATTTGTTCATAAATGGAATCAAACGTTCATTTATTTCATGTTTCAATCGATCCACTTCAAAATTCAAATACATTAGTTTATCTTGATCCTCAATCGACAGGAACTTATCAATCTCTTCAATAGACTCACTATATCCGAGATTAGTGATTTTCCCTTGAATTATGGAATCCAATATTTTATTGATCTGTTTCTGCAAAAACTCATTCTCCAGTGTTAATGAATTAACTTTCTCCATCATTTTAGTATACGTCGGAAGAAACTGGTACAATTGACAATTGCTGTCCAAATGCAATTCCAATGATGATTCGTTGGTTCCTGACCACTGACATCCAATTTCATAAGCAGGACATTTAAATTTTGCCATTTTAAGACAATTTTCTTGATGTTTCTTCATGTTCTTCTGTGGTATAGTATCATTGCCACATAATTCACACACTTGATAGTTAAATAAACATTCCTCTTCTAGATGTTTCTCCTCATTGATCTTTGTCAATTTCTGATTACAAAATTCACATTCAAAAATCTTATGTACACATTCTGTAGAATTCTTATCTTCAAACCTTCTTTCAATAGTTATTTGACATGTTGTTCCATCTGCTCTGATACCATTACATCTAATACCAGTATAGCCACATGAGTCAGTGACATGATGCTCCAATTCCCATCTAGTGCCTACCCATTCGCAACCTCTTTCTTTATTCAAACAGTATACTTTCAATTCATCTATTAAATTTGTCACAATCAAAGGTGTTGGGAATAAATCGTTGATATTGGCCGCATCAAGTGGAGTTCGGTCGAGAGGACAGTTTCCTGTCATATCTTCAGTGGTGTTATTATTCAAAGATGTAACTGAATTTCGACTATTTCTTTTTGCCATTCTAAAACATTCATATATACATTCTTTACAGAATGTATGACCACATATCGTTGTCAAAGGGTTGATAAATGGTTGTTGACAAATAGGACAATTCAAATGATCAGTCAGTGATTTATATGTGATACCCCTGATATCTGGACGATCATCAGACTCAAGCAAATTAAAGGAACTTGGGTAGTCAATAATATTTACAGATTCATCATATTCCACTAATGGCGATTCTGATCTACTAATATCTGAACTCATATTGATGATACTCTATAAGTAGTGAAAAGAAAAATGAAAAAAAAAATGAAAGAAAAGAAGAAATGAATGACGATAAAGTTGTATTGAAGCTCTTTTTTTTCCTGTTCATTTTTTTTTTCTTTTTGACTTTTCGCCAGGTACCGTTACAGTTGCCAGTCGTGTGGGAACGAGCGAGTTGCTGTTTTATTACCAGTTTAACTCCATTGTTCCGTTTGGGGGATCCAACCGTCTCCCCTCCTTTAGTTGACTGGAGTTAAGTACTGTTATTTAACAGATGTGTTCTTAGGTTTCTACAGATACAAGCGGATATTGGACATTGCTGATTAACAAAAAGTTTTTTTTTAAAAGAAAAATTGCTATTTTTTCCAATGAAACCCAGATACATTGGAAAGTTTATATGGATCTGGTGTAACTTCATTGATCATCTTCTAGGGTTATTTGTTTATAAAGGCTTTTTATTAATGAGACATTAAGGTCCGAGATTCGATCTAGCTTTCCAAGCAATGAATAAAAAGTAAAATAGGGGTATTACTGTAGTAGCATCTCCCCGCATTGTAGGCGCTTTTAATGGCTTATCTTATCCCAATGGTATGGATTAAGCCACTTTCCACCGCAAGAGATAAAAAAAAAACCAAAAAAAGAAAAGGTCCTATCCGGATTCGAACCGAAGTTGCAAGGATCAAAACCTTGTGTACTAACCAACTATACTATAGGACCTGTTTGTTGGTTTTGTCATTAATAAATGACAAACTTAATCGGTATATCTAATTTTGCAGAACCTACCATTCAGCCATTTACATGCCGTTTAAATCTTTGAAAGAAGTTCCCACATTTAAATACTTGCTTCTACCACGCAATATCAAACTGGTCAATTAAACTACTGCAAAACTATTTATCAATGGGAAATTATGCTAATATCGAACGATCCCCACTTTTCAAATTCAAATTCAAAAAAAAGTCAGTATTTCCCCATTTCAGATCAAGTGGACCGTTTTATTTTTGTTGTTATACTAATAATAATTACTCCGAAATATTCCGATTTGTCATAACTCAACGTGTTTTTTTTTGCCATATTTGAATCACTTCTGTAACTAGTATAGGTCCTTTCGTAGAAACAAAATGAAAAAAAAAAAAATGTCTCTCTTGTCAGGATCTCACGGCATTTGTACTCAAACTGAAATGTGGGGACAAACGGAGACAAAAAGACAAAAGTCATATTGGGGATATTAGTATTCAAAATGTTGAGTTGAATGGTGGAGATGACGATGTGGAGGTTGAAGGTGAAGATGGCTAAAAATAATGTCTTGGAATTTGAGAGCAATAAATACTTCACCTCCTTGTATAACAGTAATCCTCCATAATATTGTGTATGGTGATATTCCCACCGAGAAAGGTGTGAAAAACCAAAATGTGAGAAAACACCAAACAACAAAAAAAAATTTTGCGGCACTTTTTTATTTTAGAGGAGTAAATGCCCCAGATATTTATATTGTTGACAACCAACAAGGAGTGAACAACTTTCTCCGCAATGAAATTCTTAGGTGTTGAAATTGCCTTATATAAATTGATAGTAATTCCTTATCAGTCCAATGAAATTTCTTCTTTCTATATTTTTTTCCCTTTCATATAGTGCCATACAGGAATTTTTTTCTTTCTTACCACTTTTCATAATATAGTATCTAGCGTAATTGATTAGCTAAGAATTTGTTATTATTTTGCATCCATTACAATGATTCAGAAATTTACATGTGTTCCAATAACTGACTATGATGTCATTGTTGTTTCTGATGGAACAAAAGACCAAATAAACTCCAAATTGTCCCAAATTAAAGATCTCACCAACAAACGAATCCCAAAAAATTCACACATCACATATTTACCTAATTTCACAAGCTTATGTCAATATTTGGCTGATAACTCGTCACTGAAATCTTACAATGGAAAAGTATATTTTATGTTTTTCAATGGTTTAGATTACATACAGGAGTTCATCTGGGATGTGCTTCAAACTTACGGTCAGTCGATTTTCGATTCAACTCAGCCACACCCTGTGCAATTAAAAAACACATATTTTTATTTCGGATTAAAACAAGAGCTGGAACTCTTGGATCCATTCATTATGAATTATTCCAAACGTAACATTGATGATTTCAATACGGTAGCTATGATGGTAAGTGATGTATTAAATAAAATGGGCTACATGTTAGGAGGGGTTAAAGCAGTTTATATAGATGATTTGCAATTAGTTGGTGAAAGAAGTATTGCAATGAAAAAGTTGATAAATAATTATCCAAAAGTTGAAAGATTTGAATTAGCTAGTTTATGTTAGATGTTTTTGTATTTCTAAAATAGATATTGAGATCATTTGCAGCTTACCCACGGCATGCGCCATGTTTTTCTAACCAAGTCCGGATTTCTCGTTTTTCTCGCTGTTGTCGTTGTTGTCGTTGTTGTCGTTGTTGCCGCCGCCGCCAACAACAACATCATGGCTTTTTCTTTTTTCTTCCACTCTCTCGTACTTCTTGAAATTTCGATTCAACGAAAAAAAATAGAGAGAGATTAGTTACAACTCACCACCCCTTATTGTTACTGTTCAATTACTTTTGTTAAGAACTTACAACTATTAGATCAGTTATGGAAAAAATAGATTTATCAACCAATTCTAGAAAGCTTCAAGAAGCTTATGACAATGTCGTTAGAGGAGAACCAAGCTCAACCTTTGTGGTTTACTCCGTTGACAAAAACGCAATCTTGGATGTTACCGAAACTGGTAATGGATCATTAGATGAATTTGTTGAAAATTTTACTGATGGACAAGTTCAATTTGGTTTGGCTAGAGTCACTGTACCAGGATCAGATGTTTCTAAAGTTATTTTATTGGGTTGGTGTCCAGACAATGCTCCAGCTAAATTGAGATTGTCATTTGCCAATAATTTTGCTGAAGTTTCTAAAGTCTTTAGCGGATACCACGTTCAAATAACTGCCAGAGATCAAGATGATTTGGATGTTGATGAATTCTTAAACAGAGTTGGTGCTGCTGCCGGTGCCAGATACTCTACCCAAGGTTCCGGAGTAACCAAATCAAATACCACTGTTCCAAAACCAATGTCAAAACCAATTGTTGCCAAACCAAGTCCTGCACCAAAACCATCTTCAACTCCATCTTTTGTTCCAAAATCTACTGGTAAACCAATTGCCCCAGTCAAACCAAAACCAGTATTACCAACCCCATCTGGATTCAAACCAAAACCAGCTGCAAAACCATCCACAGATAATGGCTGGGGCGATGCTGAAGATGTAGAAGAAAGAGACTTTGATGAGAAACCATTGGAAAATGTTCCATCTTCATATAAACCAACCAAGGTTAACATTGACGATTTGAGAAAACAAAAATCAGACACCATTAGTTCCACTCCAAAACCATTCAAAGCAGAATCCTCCAAGGATGAAGAAGAGGATGATGAAAAACCAAAACCATTATCTGAAAGAATGAAGGCATATGATCATTCTCCATCTAGTGATGGCAGATTGACTTCCTTGCCAAAACCAAAAGTTTCCAATTCTGTTGCTGATAAATATAAAGCCAATGCTTCTGGAAATGGTGGTGCTCCATCATTTGGCGCAAAACCAGTTTTTGGTCACCAATCTGCTGAATCTAAAAAGGATAAAGTGGTTGGTGGTTTATCAAGAAACTTTGGTGCTGAAAATGGTAAAACTCCAGCACAAATTTGGGCTGAAAAAAGAGGTAAATATAAGACTGTTGCTAATGATGATGACAATGATGGGGCCAAGTCCACCCAAGGTGATAATGAAGTTGAAGAACACCATGCTTCTGATTTAGCTAAGAAATTTGAACAACAAGCAAAGATTGCACAAGAAGAAGAAGAGGAAGAAAAGACTACCCCATCTCTTCCAACTAGAAACCTCCCACCACCAGTTAGACAAGCTGCTCCAGAACCAGAAGAAGAAGAAGACGAGGAAGACGAAGAAGAAGAAAAACCAGCTACCTTACCTGCTAGAAACTTGCCACCTCCACCTGTCAGACAAGTCCAACCTGAACCTGAACCAGAGGAAGAAGAAGAGGAAGAAGAAGAAGAAAAAGAAGAGCCAGCTGCTGCTCCAGCTGCTGCTCCAGCCCCAGGTTTACCAGCAAGAAACCTTCCACCAGCTCCACAAGCTGAAGAACCAAAGAAAGATTCTGTTACTGCTACTGCAGAATATGAATACGAAAAAGATGAAGACAATGAAATTGGTTTTGATGAAGGTGATTTGATTGTTGAAATCGAATTTGTCGATGAAGATTGGTGGAAGGGTAAACACTCTAAAACCGGTGAAGTTGGTTTATTCCCAGCTTCTTATGTTAGCTTAAATGAAAAACCAGCTGAAAAGGAAGATGCACCAGCTGCTCCATCTTTGCCAACTAGAGAAGAACCAGAAGCTCCACTGAAATCCGAATCTAAGTCAGCCACTGCTGAATATGACTATGAAAAAGATGAAGATAACGAAATTGGTTTTGCTGAAGGTGATGTAATTGTTGACATTGAGTTTGTTGATGATGACTGGTGGAAAGGTAAGCATTCCAAGACTGGTGAAGTTGGTTTATTCCCAGCTAACTATGTTGTTTTAAATGAATAAGCATTGATGATGATGATGATGCCCCTTATTGATCTCATATATTTTTAGTACATATCATTATAAACAATACTTAAAAAAGAATACAAAAATTGAAAAGAGAGTGTGTTTTCTTTAGTCGTGAAATAATTGTAGAATTTATTAAATTTGTATCTATAAACTCGATTTAACCAAAGCATAAACCAAACACCACATCATGATAAACCCAGAAAGATTACTGAAAATTCCATTGAGAAAAACTTCTTGTATGGGACTTTTGAAATATTTACTTGGTTTACTTTCACCACATATTATATAAAACAACAAATTAGTTGCTGTAATACCAACTAAATAAAATATGAATCCATTTAATGACTCTAGAGTTAATATCCCTGACCCAACTCCTAATGCTAATGAGGCCACATCATGGATATGTTGTAATTTTTGTTTGTTTGCTTCAATACTTGGTTGATAATAAAACTTTTCGGGACTTGACATTATGAATTGAATTGATAAATTTGATTGGAATTAAATATACTTAAAACAAGGTTCCTGTTGCCGAAAGGGGATTGTTGTTGTTGTTGTTGTTGTTGTTGTCTATGCTATTAAAAAAGTATTGGTGAGGACAATCAATTTATGGGCGGCCAATTTTTTTTTTTGTCTTTCCCTTCATTCTGCTGTCTTGTCTCCTGTGGCAAGATCCTGCCCAAATAATTTTCTTTACTCTAATTTTTTTTTTTTTTGTTTGTTTTTTTAGCCTGTCACTATCCAATTTAGCCACCAAAAACAAGTATATCACCAACCGCCATATATAACAAAAGTATTTGGAACTCATTGAAGAAGGGAATAGATCAGTGTGTTATTTATTATGGATGTGCATGATAATTGTGAATTTTCATTAAAGAAGTTCTTATTGCAACTTCCAAAGAATGCAAACTTCGATTTCAATAAAGATGTTCGAAAAGAGATTCGAAAAGCATTATTTCTAGCGATTTCAAATAATGGGAAACATTTAGATTGGTTATTTTTAAATTCATTCACAGATAATAGAGAATATACTCGAGATGAAATGATTGAGAAAATCGACAGGGAATATGATTGGTTGTTTAATAATTATTATAGATCCTTATTATCAAAAACTAATCTTCGACACGATACTCATACTCATAGAGCATTCCATAAGAATCTGCCATGTGGAAGAATTTTCCGTAAAGGTGAACCTATACATAGATGTTTGACTTGTGGATTTGATGACACTTGTGCATTGTGTTCCCATTGTTTCCAACCAGAATATCACGAAGGGCATAAAGTTCATATTGGAATTTGTCAACGAGAAAATGGTGGTGTTTGTGATTGTGGAGATCCAGAAGCTTGGACAAGAGAATTATTTTGTCCTTATGCAAATGTTGTTGAAGATGATGTGGCAATTTATGAACGTGAATTACCCGAAGCATTGGCAAGTTCTATCTTGACTACAATAGAGACTATTTTGGATTATATGGTTGATGTTTTAATTCACTGTGATTTACAATATCAAGATCCAGAGGAAACTACAATGGCTACAATTGAATTAAATACAATGAATAGTACTTTGAATCCTAGAAAATATGATTGTTCTGATGATGCTAGTTTTGTTGATGGTAATAACGACCAGTACTATTTGATGTTGTACAATGACCAGATCAGATATTATAGAGATGCGGTTCAGAGAGTGCATTTAGCTAGTAAAAAAGTTAAAGACTTTGCCATAATGGTTACAGATAAGGTCCAAAAATTTGGCAAAGCTAAAGTTATTAGCTCCAGGAATATAAAACTTCTATTGGAAAGGCAGAAAATTCTAAGCTCCACTGGCTTGGCAACATGTATTAGAAGTCACAGGGATGTGTTTCGTGAAGATATGTTAGACGAGATTGTTGTGTGGCTTAATGATTTCACGGAAAGTGAACTTTTTAGAACTAATACTGTGGTGAGGAATTTGTACTGTAAAGCGTTTTGTAAAAAATGGGAGAATGGATTATTGGTCAATGGGAAAAATGATGAAAGTTACAATTATAAGTTGGGTTTCTTAGATCCATCATTGAAAATCCCAAAAATACCTTCAAGAGAAAATGGGGATGATACTCATTGGTTGTTTGAGTCTTCCAAGTGGAAATTATCAAATGACCTTTGTGAAGAATGTGATTATAACCTTGATATGACTGAATATGAACGAAATGTGAGCCATCATGGGTCTAGACTTCAGTATTTAATCTATTTGGATGTTCGTCTATGGAAAGCAACCCGTGTTTTGTTGCACGACATGTACTCAACTTCATTAATCATAAATTTGTGTTACAAGAATATTATTTGTTGTCAGTATGTTGACATTTATCCTACAATTGTTGACATGTATCTTACTATGGATAGAGAACCGGAACTTAGTATTATGCCTACATTATCGACGCAATTATTTACATGTCCTACAAACTCAGCAGAAATAATCAAACATGGTGATTTGACTAGAATCTTGTCTTCAATATACTCATTTTTAACTACTGGGTGTATCAAGTCACCAGAAAACATTGATGTGACACATCAAGTATCTATTAAAAGTTTGAAGAATCGTAGATGGGGCCAAATCTTCTTTGACATTAGCTATATTCTAACACGAAGCAAAAACTCAAAGTTTATTCCGAATAGCAATATTGTTCCAATGACGTGTGATATGCTTTTATTATTTCAAGGTAGACCAGTCATGAGACGAGAAAAAACCAACCACGTTGAATATGAAAGTCCTGATTACACAGCTTTTTTCCAAGCCGTTCTGGTTCTTTATCAATTTGGCGAAGTGATTGCCAGTGCATTGAAAACTACCAGGGAAACTGATTCGATTGGAATATTACGCAACTACCAGCTTGCTATACAATATGTTCTCACCTTCTTGCACCGTCTAGAGAATTGTGAATTACCAGGATTAGTGGACAATGAAGTCGATGTTGATATGCATGATATGAAAAAATATATTGTGGAACCATTAACGCGTGAGTGTATCCTCGGCACTACTGTAGATGGTGATAAAGTTAGTTTCTTGCATCCTGTTCACTCCTTCTTGAGTTGGTTAATAGAATTTGCTAAATTTGATGATATCTCGCAGTTGGTAGAAGTGTTTGAGGCCGTGGAAAGACTTTATCCTAGAGATTCGAATTTGCCTAGTCTTGCTGTTTCATTATTCGATTACCCTATTAAGACTATTGTTCTTATGTCACAGATTAAGGCTGGATTTTGGGTAAGAAATGGTTTCAGTGTCAAATCTCAATTGCTGATGTATAAGAATACAAGTCTTCGAGACTTTGGTTATGCCAGAGATTTGTTCTTGATTCAAGTATTCTCCAACTTTAATCACCCAGACATTGTGACATTTTTGATATTGAACCGTTGGTTATTATATGATGATTGGCTAAAAGATACAGGATTCACCACTTATGACGAAAAAACATTACCGTACATGCTTGAAGAATGTTTGAATTTTTTTATTCACTTGTTAACTGAAGACGTACACTTGAAGGGAGATGATGAAGAGACCTTGTTGAAGATTAAAGTGCAAAGAGAAATTATACATACTTTGTGTTTTGGTCCGATGGGATATTCAAAACTTTGTTCTCAGATGCCAGATCATATTGTTGCTGACAGAAGATTTGAAATAATATTAAAAGAAATGACTACTTTCAAGGCACCTAAGGGATCAAATGATTTTGGAGTTTATTATTTAAAAGATGAATTCCTCGATGAAGTTAATCCATATTACTGTCATTACACGGCAAATATAAAGGATGATGCTATAAAATTTGTGAAAGAAAGGATCGGTAAAAAAACATGTCAGCAAGTCAGTGATATCATCATTGAACCACAAGTAATTAATCCTCAGGAATTGGGAATCTACAAATACATTGGAAATTTTTCAACGTCAACACATTTTATGCACTTCTTAATCATGACATTACTTTACATTTGTAACAATACCCAAGCAGAGGTTGAAAGTTTATTAGAAACAGTTTTGCATTTGATTCACATTTGCAGTCTAGAGCAAACCGTCGATGTTGACAAGTATGGATATTTTTCTAGTAGAATTGTCACGGTTTCTGATGTATTTGAAACGTCCATTGCGTCGTTATTATATCAAGTGTTGCTTAAGGAGGAGCACAAGTCGACTCATACCAAAATCCGTAGCATCTTTAAAGTGTTGATTCAAAGAAATCGTGAAGTTGTTTCCACTATGCTGTCTCAAATCCAAAATTTTGACCTGAGAGTGGTTGAATTGAATGCGGACAATTTGGCTAGTGAAGATGAAGCAGGTAAAAAGAAACGCATAGCTAAAGAGAGACAAGCCAAGTTGATGGCAAAATTCAAAAAGCAACAGTCTCTGTTTATTAGAAAGAATCTTTTTGAAAACCTTGAATGCGATAGTGATATTGAAATGGAGAATTGTTCTGAAGATCATGCTGCTTGGAAATTTCCAGATAGCCATTGTATGTTGTGTCAAAATGCTGCGCAAGATGCAGGTCCCTTTGGTATCATAACCTATATTTCAAAATCTTCTGAATTCAGAAATGTCCCTTTTGATGATGAATATTGGTTTTTGAAGGCTTTTTCAGATAATGTTGATCTAGACTCAGGTGAATCTGATATGGATTGTGGACAATCTTTACACAACAATCCACCTACTGAGAAATGGAGTTCATTCATGCGACAAACAAGAAATAGTAGTGTTATTGGTCCCGGTTTTAATTTAAATGATTATGTCGAAAGCCATGTTGTGTCACTGAGTTGTGGACATGGGATGCATTATCAGTGTTATCTCAATTATCTTAACAATAGTAGAAACAGACAAAATCAAATCACAAGAAACACTCCAGAAAATGTTGATCGAAGAGAATTCCTTTGTCCACTTTGTAAAGCATTGAACAATATTTTTATTCCCCTTTTATGGTCGGGCAATGATAGAAGTTTGGTCAAATTTTTGGAACCGCACACTGGCAAGAATACTTTTGCAGATTTAGATATTAGTCAAACTCAAAATAAAGCTTGGATGGAGACATTTACTACATATTCCGAACAAGAATTGGATTCAACATCTATTTTGACAAGTATCGGGAAAGAAATGATATCATCTATTGATCCATCAAAAGAATTTTCGACTGAACAACGTCACTTCCGAGTATTGCTAAACAATATGTTTCAAGTACTATCTTTATTCACCTTTCCGCATATATTCAAGGCAGATTCTAGTTTTATATTGGTTGACACTATAAAATCAACTGAAATTTCCTTGCGTGGTGTATCCAGTAATGGAAGCTTGGTTATCCACCAACTTTCAAACAACTCGTTAATTAACATGAGAACTTTGAATGAATTCCGGAACTCAAGTATTTTGATGAAAGTTAAAAACTGGTCAGATCTTCCTAATCCAAGGACAGATGCATTTGCCAAAATTTTTGCCCATATTTTCTCATTATCTAAATCTTCCATCAACCAGTCCATCTTGGAAGCTGATTTTTTTCAAAGTTTGGTTAGTGTACTTCCATTGCCTTCTTTGGGATTCTCGTTCAATTGCATTTTAGAAACAACGTTTGTTGGCCATTTAATACAAAGCTTGAATATAATTGTTAAGGAAGTTAGTGAAAACTGTTTGAAGAAGAATTGGGCATATTCTATACTTGATATTCCGACTATTGCTGACATCCCAGAAAATGTTGTTGGTGATGTAACTACCTGCTTTAAGAAATTGTGGGGATTTATTGATATTTCAAGTGTGAACTTGCTTGATGATAAAAGATTTGGCAATGTTATTTACTCAATGTTGGTACGAGTTGCAACTCCCTTTTTGAGAAGAGCCGCGATATATGCCTATGTTCAATGTGCAAATATTGATAGTATTGACTTTTCTTTGTACCCGGAAACCGAAATTGAAGCCGATAGATTGTGTAATTTTTTGAAGATTAGACCCATCTGTGACTATTTACATGCATTCAATGATCATGAATCATGTGAAGCTAGACTTTTCCATGATTTTATCAATTTTTCAAACAATTCCAACAAAATCAAGAATGTTCTTCATGTAAAAAAGGAATTAGAGTACCCTGGTATCGTCAGGCTTGTGGATTTACCGGAGAGGTTGGATTTCTTTTTCACAAAGTATTACTACCTGGATAAACACAACAATCCTAATATGGAAATTGAAGATCCAGCTATATGTTTATTCTGTGGTGATGTAGTAGATGTGCAAAAACAAGCAATTGGTTGTAAAGAGGGTCAATGTACTACTCATTATTTGAAGGAATGTGCCAATGAAGTAGGAATATTTTTATTGCCAAAGGATAGATCATTACTTTTACTACACAAGAATGGGGGTTCCTTTTATAATGCACCATTTTTGGATGAACATGGTGAAATTGCAGACGAGAGTAAAAATCAAAAGCATTGCATTTAATGAAACCAAGATATGATGATTTCTTGAGAAATGTTTGGCTCCAACATAATGTTCAAAATTGTATAGTTAGAAATTTAGACAATGTGTTGGATCCTGGTGGTTGGGAAACTTTATAGACGTAAAACAAGCGCAATAATTTAAATATATATATATATATATATATGCGTATATGTATTGTGTTAATAACCCCAAAATAAAAAAACGAAGAAACAAAAAAGTACTAACTGAATGTAAATGCATTTCATTACATCATTATGATATTATCATCATCAAAGGTATCATCATCCTCTTCTAATCCAACATCGGGACCAAATTGAACAAACGCATCACCATCGTCGTCTTCATCATCATCTTCGTCATCATCTTCAAACTCTCGATTAAAATTGACATTGACGTCACCTAATTCAATACCAGAACCAAACAAGTTTCTAGTAACAAATCCATATAACCCTTGTGTTGCCCATAACTTATTTAAATAATGGAATCTAAATTCATTCAAAGTAGCTTTCCCAGTATAACTTTTAGTTTTAACTTCTCCATGTTTTGTAAGATATGGAGCTGGGATTTCAATACGAATTGGACTATGACCAATAAAAACACATATTCTAAACATATTATTGATTGGATTGAAAAAAATACCAGTTTGGGAAGTACATATCATCATATGAGTCATTGTTGCTGATTGTTCGATCCAATTACCACACAGTAAACATTTGGAATTTTCACGAGAAGTACCATGTGGAGCTTTCAAAACTGATGCAGAATAATCAAGTGGTAAACTAGTTAAATGAACCATTCCTGGATAATCCAATGTCAAAATCTTCTGGTTCATATGTTTTGGAATTTTCGCATTCCATACAATATCAAAAACGTTACCTTCTAATGCATCACTAGATCGGTGTAATGTTAAGATCATTTCATCATATGATGGAATTTGAAGTACATCAGTCAATGCTTTCGTATCACTTAATCTGGTTTGTAATTCAATCTTTTCAGCCAACTGCGCAAGTTCGGGAATACTCTCATAGGTATTTTCTCCTTGTGGCTTTATGGTTAAAATGTCTTCAAAAATGATCACTTGACGTAAAAATATACCCAATATTCTTTCTATAGCATGGTATATTATTACTGACATATCTTTGTTAAAACCTGTTACAGTTTTGTCATTGGAGAACAACAAGTTGCTTAAGAACTGATAAAATGCCTCAATTGACTCTTCGTTGGCCGCAATATCTTCCCCTAAGCCAGACTTAATGGAATTAAAATAGTTCTCGTCGTCTTCATATCTTTTTAGCAATGAATACACAGCAATGGTGAAAATCTTGGCCATACCCCATCTGGCTAAAGTGGCTAAGGACTCGTCAGTTTGGAAAAATAAGACAATCACTTCGTTAAATACACTATCAAGAAGAACATCAGAATCCCAAAACTTCTTCACATCTGCAGCAAACTCAATCGGTTTCTTCTCTGGTGAACGTGCAAATGACATTGATTCATAAACCAACCGAAGCTGGATAAAACAAAGCAAGAGGGTCTTTGTAGAACCGGGAATCTGGGACAAAAAGTCTGTATACCCTTCTGCACCATTTAATCTCGTTGCAATTTCGTTCATTCTTATGGTATCAGCCAAAATATTACCCAAGTTCATTAATCGATCATAATCTCCATCGCGAGAACTACTACCGGCATAAGAATATTTCTTCTTCAGTAATGATTTTACTGTCGTTATAACGATATTATTAAGAGCGTCATTTGATTCCAGGAAGTATTCAGATTTAGCAAAAACTCGCAACAAGTCTAATCTCTTTAAGGTACATTCTGAATCTTGCACAATTTGGTTGTACTTTAAATGCTTTGGCGCACCAAAAAGCATCTCTCTAGGGACTTCTAAATCCAAACTTCCCACATAAGATGGCAAAAATGATTCGTTCAAGTTATGACATAATGGACAAGGATATTGTGAAATACCAATGGTTCGACTTGCTAAACAATCATAATGAATGCTATGACCACACGTGGATAATACACGTGCTTCAAACTCGTTGTTATACAATTTCTGTAAATCACGCGACTCATAACCAACTCCATAATCATCAGGATTGGTATGCAACAACGAATCCTTATCCCATTCTTTATAGCCAACAGATAAAACCTCAGAAGAGTGTCGAGGAAGTTTCCAAAATACAGATGCCTTTGTGTTACTTGACATGATACCAAGTGGCTTCTCGTAACTTTCAAGTTCACCACATGCAACACAAGTACGTGTTAATTTCGTATCATCATCATCGGCATTTTTATCATCAACTTTGGTCTCAAAAGTCAAATCTTTATTTTGGTTCAAAAACTTTTCTCTTTGTTTCGAAAATTTCTTTAATATTTTGTTCTTTCTTTCCTCAGCTTGTCTTTTCTTTCTCTCTGCTTCAGACTCAAATAAATTGGTCTTTCTCTTTTTATATGTCTGCATATATTCCTCACCAAAACAATCGACCAAGCTGTCAACAATTCTTTTGTCTTTACTAATGAATTGATCAACCAAATAATCGGCTTTTTCACAAACATAGTTGGACATTTTGGATTCCACGATAGTAAGCAACAAGTCAGTTATTGGAATGACAACAAAGTTCTCGTTAAGATACTCCTTACCATGTATCTTTTCATCATCCAAAACAATGGCATGTATCAAGTGCAACAAATGTGGAAGATATGTTTCATTGGCAGTATCAATTGCAACTTGCAAAAATTTGTAAATCAACTTGATGAATGGTAAGGTTTTTGCAAAATCACCAATTCTTTTATCAATCAATTTATCTCCTGACTCGATGATGACAGGAGTCAATACTTTCGGGTCATCCTTCTTCTTTTTGGTATACTTGAGCAAGACTTCTGATACAACCTGAAAATCGCCCGGATCAAGAAGAATACTCAATGGATCCAAGTTTTTGTACATTGATTCTTTCAAACGGTACAACCCGGTGTCAACTAATGCTGATGGGGGTTGGTAATCGGCAACTTCAAATAATATGTCGTCAAATTCTTGGAGCTTTTTCACATCTGAGTCGAGCTTTTGTCTTAACGGGGTATAGGCCATGGCTTCCTCGCACAAACCATACGCAATGGAGCGCTTTAATTTCTTGAGTCGTGCTTCTTCCGGTGACTCGTCGATTAAAAGACTTCTGTCAACAAATAAATTGTAAGCAAACGAAATGAATCTTTCTACTATAGGGAAAAATCTTTCCTCGTAAATAGTCTGATCGAACTTTACTTCATTCTTGAACCACGGATATAATTCCCATCTTTCCAAGAAATTCATTAATGCTGTCTCGGGTTCTTCAAACAAAACACCAATTTGGTTCAAATGGAAATCACGCATAAACGTAAATTCTGGCAAGTACGCACCAAAATACAATGTGGCTTGACGAGAAGCGACGGCACCATTTCTGATCCAGAAGCCAGAGGATATTTGTGAGCCTAATACTATACTTCTCAAAGAAATATCTGTAATAGCAACCAAGTCTGCTCTGTATGCTTCCAACAACGTTTCAAAATTATTAATATTGCGGAACTCCAAAAAGAATGACAATAATGTGTTCAATGGATTGACAAAACTGACTGGCTCTTTACTTACTCGGAATTCAAGTACTCCTGGTTGCTTCAATTTTTTCGGTTGTTTAATTAAGAAATCGAGAATCTGTATAACAGCACCATCAACTTCGGGTATATCACCCAATGTAATTGCTAAATTCTGCATGGAACTCAAAATTGGGAGCGTGTAGTTCCAATATATTGCTAGATCAACGATATCTCTTTCAACATGGTCACCGTATTTTCTAACCAATGGTGAAAACCCTTGGAAATTACGCAACAACAAAATCAACAATCTAATAGAATGTGGTTTCAAAAAGTTCTTCATACTGCTGCCAGAAATACTAGGATTGAAAAAGTGTGATAAACTGTGGAATGCAAAACTAACAGCCTTTTTGATTCCTCTTCCAGGAGGTAATCTACTCAGGTGTTCGGAATAAACTTTGTAACCTTTTGTTGCATCAAACTTAGAACTGTGTTCTTCAATGAGCTTAGTAATTGGTCCTAAAATGAAACCAATTCTATCTGTGTCTAAGATTTTACGAACGGTTTGGGGACAAGTAAACAATTGTGAAGATATATCTTGAAGAAGATTCAAATCTTCTTCTCTGTCACTGAGTGCTTGCATATTCAACAATGTGGGATACATCTCAACAACTTGATCAGCAAATTCTTGTTTGAGCTCAGGTGTTTTAACCAAATACGGAACTAGTAAAGTACCCAATCGCTTACGAATACTCTTCGGGAATCTAATCTGGAAGGCTAGAAGCAACTGTAATCTTGAACCTTTAAGCTCACCCAATTGTATCTTAGAATTCATCAAATCAGTAATAGATTCATGTAAATTCAATACCTCTACTGGCTGCTTCAATTCTTGGTAATTTAAATTCACGAGCTTACCCTCATAAGGTATACCATTCTCAAAATATGTTCGCTTTTCGTCATCTGATGATATTCTAAATGCATCTGAAAGTAGCTTTTCCGAGAGAACTTTCGAAAACTTAAAACTGGAGTCTAACAATAATTCTGCAAAACAAGATTGTGCAAATTTTCTTATTTGCATGTTATCAGAATTCAAAACGGCGTTAATCCAGTTTAGAATAGCTACACAAATCTTCTCCCTTAAAAAATCACGAGCGGAGACGATTGTTGCAACTAAGCCATTTGATTCAACCAATTTTTTGGAACGTGCAAGAACTCTTGGAGTGACTCCTTCTTTCAATAAGCAAAAACCTTCACGGTCAATCTTATTTGCAATTTGGTGAGCACGGAAATCGTTGACTCCTGTACCTGCTTTAATTGCATCTACTGCTTCTGTCACATTGTGAAACTCGTCATTCCATAATACCAAGTACCATTTATCAGTTGAATTGATATCTTCTGCACCACCATAAGATTCACTAGGTAAAGATGAGTAGTCGGATAATTTCTCTAAACTCAACGCCGGGTATGCCTTGCGTAGTTCTGCATGAATAAAAGGCAATGTCAATATCGTGAAATTTGTAACATCCAAAACGTAATCTAAAGCAATGGTCATAGTTTCTTGTAATGACTCGAAAGTTTCATCCAAATTTTCTACGTCTTCGGTATCTTCTTCTTTTGTCAATTGACATTTACAATTCAATGGTTGAGTAAATGCTTCTTCGTCTCCACAATCACAAATCCCACCACTGTTTCCGCGCGACGTGTAGGCAGTCACGTTATGATTCAAATGATCGTTTTCATTAAAACAATAGGAACATAAGACACATGTCTCATCAAATCCACAATCCAGGCAACGATAAACTTTCTCGCCCTCAGCAAATGGTCTTGCACATGCCTTGTCAGGGGGATGCGTATAATCTGATTTGACTTGTTTGTAGAATGGCTCTTTTTGATCTGTTGTAACAGGAACATCATATATGTTGGTTATATCATAGGCTTCATCATTAGATATGTTGGGAAATAAGCTTTGTAAGTATTCACCATCGTCGGTGGCTGAATAGTAAAGGACTTTAAAAATATAGTGCTGAATTCCTGTTGAATCTTTAAAGTGCAATTTCTGTGGAACTTCTACCAAACGCCTCTTAAGATCATCTGGCTTCATTGTGGTCAATTCAATGTTTTTTGAAGTAAAGTAATTGTGATGATACTAAAAAAGAACTACTTGTATGATTCAAGATGAAAATTGTGTCACAGTCATTGATTTTCTAACAAGTCCCTTTTCTCTTCATGATAAAAGATGAAAGGGAAAAAGAAAAGAAAAGAAAAAAAATATTGAACGTATTATATGCAGTCCCATATTAAAAAAGAAACAGAAACAGGAAGTCGGAGAACGAGAAATAAAATAAAAAAAAAAATTTTCTTTTACGGCGCATAGAGGTTAGTGAAAAAAAAAAAAAAAAATATGAATCATCTGGTGTATATTTGTATTCAGTCTACCAGTTGCCATCATTATAGAAAATGACCGTTATCAAAGATCCAGTCGAGCAATACAACTTAATTACTAAGGGTTTACAAGAAACTCTTAATGGACAAATCATTAAAGATGTTTTAGAAAAAGAAAATAGACCAGTCAAGATTTACTGGGGTACTGCACCAACTGGTAAACCACATTGTGGTTACTTTGTTCCAATGATCAAATTGGCTCATTTCTTGAAAGCTGGATGTGAAGTTACTGTCTTGTTAGCTGATTTGCACGCCTTTTTAGATAACATGAAGGCTCCATTAGAGGTTGTTAACTACCGTGCCAAATACTATGAGTTTGTTGTTAAGGCTATCTTGAGATCTATCAATGTTCCAATTGAAAGATTGAAGTTTGTTGTTGGTTCTTCTTATCAACAAGGAGGTGATTACATCATGGATTTGTTCAAATTATCTAATATCGTATCCCAAAATGATGCCAAGAGAGCCGGTGCTGATGTTGTCAAACAAGTTGCCAATCCTTTATTATCAGGTTTGATTTACCCATTGATGCAAGCTATTGATGAAGAACATTTGGGTGTTGATGCACAATTCGGTGGTGTTGATCAAAGAAAGATTTTCGTTTTGGCTGAAGAAAACTTGCCAAGTATTGGTTACAAGAAGAGAGCACATTTAATGAACCCAATGGTTCCAGGTTTGGGCCAAGGTGGTAAAATGAGTGCTTCTGATCCAAACTCCAAGATTGATATTGTGGAAGAACCAAAAGTAGTTAAAAAGAAGGTTAATAGCGCCTACTGTGCCCCAGGTGAAATCCAAGACAATGGTTTGATTGCCTTTATTGAATATGTTATCCAACCAATTAACGAATTGAAGACCGGTGTTGAAGGTTCATTCAACTTGTACATTGATAGACCAGAAAAGTTTGGTGGCCCAATCCAATATGATTCTGTTGAAACCTTGAAGAACGATTTTGTTGAAGGTAAATTGGCTCCACCTGATTTGAAACTGGGTGTTGCCGACAAGATTAATGAATTGCTTGCTCCTATCAGAGCTGAATTTGAAACCAATGAAGAATTCCAAGAAGCTGAAAAGAAAGGTTACCCTGTTGAAAAGCCAAAGGAAAAGAAGAAGAAAGTTAAGAAGATTGGTACTAGATACCCAGGTGCCGTTGCTAAAGAAGAAACAAAGGAAGAAAAATAGAGTACTTATAAGTTAGGATTAAATATACGCTTTACATGGAAAAAGGGGAAAACAAAAGTTTGAAATTGCGAAACCAAAAAAAAATGAAATGTAGTTGAGATCAGGATGAAAGAAATGAACCACCACCACACACGGGCTAACCATCCCAATCAGCAACAACAACATCAACCAGCAGGACGATGATCAAAAAAAAGCTCTCTTGCGGGGAATCGAACCCCGATCACGCGCGTGACAAGCGCGTATTCTGACCGTTAAACTACAAGAGATTGAAATTGCTTCCAACAGGATTCGAACCTATGATCTCCTCATTACTAGTGAGGTGCCTTACCAACTTGGCCATAGAAGCTGTTTCTTGTTTGTGATGACCCCCACGCCCAAGCCCGTTTTGCTGGTGAGTGAGGTCGTCGTTGGTTTATATGTGTGATACTGCTGGTAACAGTAGTTAGATTTCTAGTAAAGAGATGCTACCTATTTGGAACTATCAGTATTGTGTCAATTCACACCATGCAATAATATATTAACTGTAAAATGAGACATTTAATTATTGCACTATATGTTGAAGTCGTGTACAGACGACTTTACTATCTATTCTACACACTTAAGAAATCACTGTTAGAATTACTCCAACAAGTAGATATTAAGTATTCTGAACAGTTCATATGTTTTATTATCTAAGAAATTTTCAACTACCTTATCATTACTTTCAAGGGTTCTGGTTTTTTTTTTGGTAAAATTGGCAAATTTTTGCATGTAAAATTTTTTCACCAACAATTCTGTTTGTATTTCAAGAATCACATGGTGTGTTATAATTGAAAAATTGAATTTGTACCATATAAAAACCCTTCATATGCGTCAAAGATTGATACAATACCGTTCAACCAATTCAGGGTTGCTTTAAACAGTGCAGATGGAACTGAATTAGGAAACTATGATTCCAAATCGAGAATGAATATAAAATATTGTCCTTTGATTATTTTTTTTTTCATGCACAGTTAGCTTTTTTTTTTTTTTTAATCTTAATGCATGCTGATTCAATTACTGAGACAACATCATACAGACTTAGTTGAATATTGTCGTCTAGAACTGAGCATCAGTCGTTAGAAGTAATGTAGATCTGTAAATGGGTGGTGGAGAAAATACTAATTATCTGGAATTTTCATTTTGGGTGATTTATATCTCCATTAAAGAGATAAAAGGATGAGCTTTAAGAAATGTGTATAAACCACCAAAATACAAGCAAAAAAATAAAATTTCAAGATACATAAGAACATGTACATAAGCCACCACAGACAGGCAAGATCTCAGAGAACCCTTGAGATTATCGACAAATTACTAAAATGCCGGTGTAAACAACGCCTTAGGGGTAATTTCTCACTAGTCAGAAGTTTAGACTGAAGAATGAATTTTAGTTCATTCTATTTTTTTTTCTTCTTTTTCTTCCTTTACATTCTTCTTTAGAAGCAGGGTGGTATTTAATTATGACGAGACGTGAAAGGGGAACCGAAGAATCTTATTTAATTATTCCATCCTCTATATTGCGTTATTTATAATTCTTCCTCAATTCTATTATTCCCGTTTAATAAAAGAAGTAGTCTCGATGAAAACAAGGTACTTTTAGATATTGGTGCCGATCTATATGTAAATGATCAATGTGGTTAAGCTTTGGAGTTATAATCTTGCCATTTGAAACTGGAGAAAATCGTACATGTACATTATTTACATTTCTCTTAATTCGGTTGTTTACTTACCTGCTTGATTCATTATCAATTTTGTACTCTTTATTTTTCTAGCTCGCCCTATCCATAAGCGTCCCTGGAAAAGAAATTTGTATCTAGTAATCATCCCGAGCTATACGTTTGGTACATAATTCTTACTTGATTTTTCTTATAAATACTGGAAGCATTCTCCCCTGAATGTCGTTTACCAACTCTTTGCATAAACAGCGCTCGATTTGTTCCCATTTTTGCTTCCTTATTATTTCATCGTTAGAACTATGTCAGTTTAAGTCATGGTAGTCCAGGAGTCAAAGCGAAACAGTTTGTTATTAAGTCTCAAGCGTAGCAGTGGTAGCTTTTCTTCAACAACAAGTAGTTCCACAGCAAACTCAGTTTCGTGTAGATGCCTGTCCACGAAGAGTAACCATAGCACCAGACTTACTCTGTTGAGACACAAGTGTTCCACAATAAAGCTCAAGTTGAAGAGAAACTCAACCTATATTAAGAATACAGATGAAGAAATCATGTGCTACGATCCTGATGATGCTACCATTGTTGCCAGATATTCTGAAGAAATGTTTCATACGACACACAAGTGCTTCAGATGTCCCACCGAGAGGATTTCGTTAGATGAATTGGCAGATTCGGCTTTGAATGCAGTGTGTTGTCAAGTTACCAATGAGAAAGAGTCGTCTTATGTTGAATGCGATGCTGAATATGAATTTGAAGCTGAAGTTGAATCTGAATCTGAATCTGAAGTTGAAGTTGAATCTGAAGTTGAAGAGCTAGAAACCTTATCCATCACCACGATAGAACTACAACTTCCACTACTACCAATATCAGATGAGTCGCTTGTTGAATTCTGGGAGAAGTTCTGTGAAGAATATAAACCAACAGAATAGATAGCCACACAATTACTACCACCAATTATTAATTCACAACCTCGAAAACACCAGCCAAGGTATATTACAGAATAAATTAAATATAAAACATAGTTTAAGGAGTACTTGAAGGAATCCTAATAACTATATTAAAGTTTTTTGCAGATACTACTTTAACCTACATAACAGTGTTGCTAATTCTTATCTTATGAATCACCAGGACCTACCGACAATTACATATAGAACAACAGATCAACCAAATTTTTCAAACAAATACCTGTATTATATTCTTATTTTTTTTTACATTCTTACGTAGCTTGTTTTAATACACATTTTCTTTTAACACAATTGCGAGCTATATACTAAATGAAAATCTTACGAAAGTTTAGGTCTTGGAGGAACAGAAAATCCCTTCTTAACAGCTTCGATTTCACAAAGACTGTCAAACCATTTACCCAACAATGGCCAGGTGTGAATGTCAATTCCAACTTTGGATAAAGAACCAGCCCAACCAAGCAATGCAATATCTGCAACAGTGTAACGATCACCAACCAAATATTTATTTCCATTAACAGCGTTTCTGGACAAAATATCTTCATATACGCCATAGATTCTTTTGGTGTCGGTTTCGTAACGATTGATAGCGTATTCAATTTTTTCAGCAGCAAAAATTTTGAAGTGACCCAATTGCCCTTGAATTGGACCATTTTCAGCAACTTGGAAAATAAGATACTCCAAAGTCTTGTAATACTCAGCGGTTCCTTGTGGGTAGGAATACTTGTGGTCTTTATCGTATTGATCAGCCAAATATTGCAAAATAGCACCAGTTTGACTAATTGTAATAGGTCCAGTTTCAAAATTTGGATCAGTAATGGTTGGGATACGACCGTTTGGATTTAATTTCACAAACCAGTCAGACTTCAGCTCGTTCTTTAAGATGTCAACGTTGATAACTTCATAAGGGATTTTTAAAAGTTCCAAAAAGATACTAATCTTAAAACCATTTGGTGTACCGAATGAATATAAAGTAATTGGCTTTAACATAATGAAATGACGTGGTGATAACAAATAATAATAATAGTAGAAAAAAAGAAAAAAAAGAAAACGAAAACTGTGTTCCAATTAATTTTAAATATTTTGCCTTCTATTTATAGGCTCTCTAGTATACGGAGGAACTAAATTGATGGGCCGAAATTTCATTTAATTGTCGGAGTTATCCAATTTTTCCGATGCTGAGCCAAGAACATCACTCAAAACACGCAAATCTTAGTAAGCAAATTTTGCGCAATAGAAATCAAGAAGAAACGAAGAACGATCAATTGTGCTGGAAAGATTAGAAATTATGGGACGGAGATATTTCAGCGGAGTATAGGATATTAAGTATATAAAAAAAAATAAAATAAAAGAAAACCATATTTCCAATTACAAAATATTAGCCTAGTTAAAGTATGTGCTTGAAAACACCAACTCAAGGAGTCACGTGGAACAGTTGTTCTAACACTTCAAACGTTTGAGTTTCACAAACGGTTCGGATCCGCTGAAAACAATTCTCTTGTAGTTTAACGGTCAGAATACGCGCTTGTCACGCGCGTGATCGGGGTTCGATTCCCCGCAAGAGAGCTTTATTTTTAATTTTATTTTTATTATTTCACATAAGGAATATGTCAAAGAGTGGAAGAGCCCGAGTTAGATCATCATTATTTTTTAAGTTTTCGTTCATGGGAACCAAACGTTCGTTCTACAATAGTGCGATGAAGCTTGTACAATTTTAATTTTTTTCTGGTTCTATAAATTTCAATCTGCGTATGGGAGCCAGCTCCTATTTAATTTTCGCTTAATGATATAGTACTTATTAATTAATCTACTGTGTAACATCAAAATCCTTGTAAATAACTGTGGATCTGTATCCAAGGACAGCAATTCTATAATAATTTCTTGGGCATCTCCAGTGCTTCCATCAATCACAACCATATCTTCACTACCGCTCTCGATCAAATCGTCAAATTTGATTTGAACCATTTGTAATTCATAGACAATATTGTGATTAAATTCAAACATTTGTTTATTGGTAATATGTCCATTGTTTACCATCAAGGACATAGTCTCATTTAAAATCTTTCTTCTATTCCATAACTGTTGTTCTTTCAACATTATACTGTTCTGCAACACCATCCATCCTTTTTCCAACTTTTCCTTGGTTGATGTAGATAGATTGAATTCTAGGTTGAGCAACGTTACTATTTGACGAATTTTATAGGACAAATACAAATCATAAGTAGTTACCAATTCAAACAACGAATCATGGTATAATTGAAGTAATTTTGAAAAACTGTCGCATATGGTAGCCATGAACGATCTATGTAATGGGTGTGACTTGTTATAACAAAACTCATAAAATACAAATGAAAAAAGTCCTGGCCTTAATCTCACCTAAAGTTCATGACTATTTATAGTTCTTCAAATGTGTTGATTTTTTCAATTTTTCCACTTTTTGCAGCTAATTACAAAGTGGTTGAAAAAATAAAAGTAAAAAAAAAAATACACTTCTCCACATCTCTTCCCAGATTAAATATCACGGATCGATTTTCTATCCCATAAAATTTATCATAAGTGGAATTAATGACTCTTTATTGTTTAGTGAATTTTTTTTTTTTTCATCAAACGTAACATGTGTTCAACGGTACCACAAGCTCATTAGAATTTTCTTCTTAGATTTACTTTCAACACATTTTAATTAACACAGTGATTCTTTACTACAATAAAGTGGATGCCATCTGTGGGCAAATGACCAATAAAATCTTGCTTCATAAGTAGACAAACACCAAATGATACCTTTGTTCTTGGTTCTAAATACACTATAGCCTTGCCTTGTAATAATAATGACCATCCTTCCCCCCCTTCGTTCTTTTTTCTTTTCACCACGTAATTAACTTCGCGTATACGTCAATCGCTAGAATTAGCAATAGAGTTTAGATTAAACAGAAAGGCGGGAATTGACTCCACTTTTGATCCTTTTGTTTGCTTGTTTTAACTGAATGAACTATCTCGTATTTGTAATTTTTGATCTTGTGTTATTTTATTCTCACCATGGACACAACCCTTTACAGAACTTTCACGATAAGCACCCGGCTCTAACCGAATGACACACGCTCTATATTCTTGCAGCCATAATCTGTATAGCCAGAAGAAAAAAAAAAAAATCAGTCTGCCAAATTTCTTTGATCTGCATCAAGAAAATCAAACAAGGATAGAGATACACACACACAATATACCAATCATTCAGCCATGCTGTCAATAATTCTTGAACAATATGACTATAAGGCTCTTACAAAGTCTTACATGGACATTTTCAATTCTAAGAAATTTGCTCAATTTTTGAATACTACTCAAACAGGATATGCCCACTCATCCTCAGGTATTGAATTCAGTGTATTTATGAAAACTATATTTACCTCCTTATGTTTCTGCACTATACAACTCACTTTATTCTGCTTACTACGATCTGTTTTCAATTACTTGTATCAACCTAGATGTTTTTGTGTTCCAATTGGTGAAAGAATGGAAGTATTACCTCGAGGATTTTTCAAATGGATTGTTCCTACTTTGAAATGTAGTATCAATACTTATTTATCATTAGGACTAGATGCTTATTTTTTTGTTCGATTTATTAGTGTATTGCTGTTGTTCTTTCTATTTGTGGGAACCTTGAATATGATTATACTTATTCCGATAAATTTCACCGGGAGTAATTCCGAATATTCTGCATTTGGATTAGATAAATTAAGTTTGTCAAATATTGCAAATACTAATGTTCGAAGACTAAATGCTCATTTTATAATGGGGTTGGTAACAATTGGATTTTTTCATTGGTTGATTATTTACGAGTTTCAAAGTTACGTCACGATTAGACAATCGTATTTATTATCACAAAGTCATAAAGAATCGGTTACGGCAAGAACATTGTTAATTTCCAACGTGCCGTCATATTTACAAGATCACGAAGTATTAAAAAAATTATTTGAAGTTGTTCCCGGTGGAATAAAGGATATTTGGGATATCAGTGATTTTGAAACAATAGATCATGAAGTAAAAAAAGCACAAGCGGCATTGAATTTTCTAGAGAAATCACAAATAATGGGGCTCAAAAAATTTTACAACAATAGAAATAGTTGTTGGTGTACTTCTAAAGTAGGAGATTCCGTAGAGGAAGCTCGGGGATTTCTCATAAAGCATGATGTTTATTTTTACCCACCGATATATTTCGGACCAGTGAAGATCCCCCAGATTGAACGAACTTTGAGAGTCACATTCCCAGGATGGTTGAGAATATTTGCACTTCAAAGAAGACTTTCAATGGCAAACTGGTCACTACAAACACTTTATGAATGCCATAAAGCCATAGAGCAAGAGAAGTTGAAACTTGCAAGTGGCCAACTAACCAAACACAACAAGATATTCATTGAATTTGCTACGCTAGAAGGTGCATATATCGCGCATCAATGTTTGCTTTCTCAATCACAGGGTAATTTGGATAAAACATTGATTGATGTAAACCCAGATGATATAATTTGGAGAAATGTGGGAAGAAATGATGGAATAGCTTGTCAATTTGAAAAATATCTAGTAACCATAATTTTTATTAGCATTATAATCTTGTATGTGATTCCTGTCTCGTTGATTGGATTAGTTTCACAAATTCCTTTGCTAACTCAATTGATGCCATTCTTAAAATGGGTTTACCAGTTTCCCGAAGAAGCACGTGAAACAATATCAGGGTTTTTACCATCGATACTACTTAGCATTCTAACGGAAATAGTCATGATAACTTTTAGATTCTTAACCTATTTTAAAGGCAGAACAACGGGCCATGAAGTGGAAATGGACTTGCAAAAATGGTATTTTGCATTTTTGTTTGTTCAACAATTTCTTGTGGTTACTATTCTGTCTAGTGTAACGGTAATATTGAAACAAATTATCGACCAACCAACATCAATCCCAATCTTGTTAGCTACCAATTTACCTAAATCAGCAACATTCTTTTTCCAATACATATCACTTCGAGCTTTTGCATTCTGTGGGAACAATTTCTTAAGAATCAGTCCGTTGATATTAACAAGCACAGTGTATAAACATATAGATACCACACCAAGACAAAAGTTCAACCGAATAACCAATCTTCCCAAAATAAAATGGGGAACCACATTTGCAGTTTACTCCATCTATGCATGCATTGGTCTTTCATATTCAATTATATCTCCTTTGATATCTATATTCATTATATTTTTCCTAAATCTATCAATCTTGTATTATAAATACGCATTGAAATACGTATACAGTCACATAAATGAATCAGAAACCATGGGAAGACTTTATCCAACAGCATTACTTCATCTTTACACCGGGGTATACTGCCTTGAATGTTGTTTGATTGGAGTATTCTTTCTTCTGAAGGATGACAAAGGAGTGTATCCGATGAGGGTACAAGGTTGGATAATGACAGGAGTGTTAATGTTAACCATATTTGCAAATACAACTATTTATAACCGCTATCTTCCACATTTTTCAAACTTGCCAATATTATCAGATAAAGCATATAAGGATGGTGTAAAACCAATTACACCTACAGAAGATCCGGATAGCGGCAACACATACTATCTGAATCATAAATTATTATACCTTAACCCTGCATTCAAGTATGAAAGTCCTAAAGTTTGGTTACCAAGGGATCCATTTGGATATTCTGAAATACAACTACAAGAATTGCAAACCAAATCACAGTTCCAAGGACAAACAAATGGTGCACAAGTCCAATTTGGTAAAGTATTGAATTCACTCAAATTGATCATTTCCGAGGCGCCACCTGATTATAAATAGCTATCTAGACGTTTCTTAATTTCCAAATGTTTAAGGAAAAACTTCCAAGTGTATAATAATTTTATGTTTCTTCTTGCCAATTGTTGCTGATACTGTTTAATTCTTTCAGTAAGCCAAAGCTTTTTGATCCAAAGCTCATCTTCTTTAAGAATCACAACTCCTTGTTTAACTGGATATGCCTGACCAGATTTGAATGAAAAACCAGTTACCACGGAAACAAACTGAGCTCTATTTTTAAGTATATTTTCAATATCCGTCAACTTTAGCCATACACAATCATCAGGTATCATGTTATCACGGAATATTTCAATGTTGCCATATTTATTTCTTGGGAGAACCTGTTTTCCATCAATTTTAGTTACTTTCATTTTAATATAAGGACAAGTTTGATCAAAACTAAATAGCGGAACCTGATTCAATCCCGAATTCTCAATTTCATTCTGATTGAATATTCTCTTGTTATATATTGTCCTAGGAGTAGCCTTGGCATATTTTATTGGATGGGCAGTTGGTTTGATTGATCGACCAAGAAATTTCCATTGTTGTTCAGATTTCCCATAAAGTATACTGTTCTTGAAATAAACAGGCTCTTTCTTATCCCTGAGTCTAACTTTCTTAACAGGGGTGGTTCCTGAAATAATAACTTCATTATACCGAAGCGTTGAAGGTGTTATAAAATTTGGACTACTCTTCATAGCAGAGAAGGTACTTGGAATTGTATAATTATTCATTGCCATATCTCTGAGTTGATCCAACTCCTTATTATCATCACTTGAATAATACTTATCTTTATTTAATATTCGTAACATTGATTGAAATAGCAATGCTGATTTCCCTAAATCGGTACGTAAGTCCAATCTATTAAACCAACGGTATGAAATATCCTTCATATATCTTGAACTTACATCAAGAATCAACCCATTATTAGTGAAACTCAAAACATAGTGCATAGACATTTGACAAAATTGGTTATGGATAGGATAAAATTGATCTGTATAGGATTGATTCAAAGACCCACCATAGCGTGTTATTCGTAAAAGTCGTTTCTCCTCTTCATAAAAACATTGTGTCTCCAATATTATTATTTCCGATGGATCTAAGGGGTTTACTAACTCAGTCCAATAATACGGGTATATTAAATCATTATCTTTGTTAACTTTGAGAATCTCGAGGTTGGGCTTTGGTTGTGGAGTAGTTGATCTTGGTGATAACAAAGGAAGTGAAAACACCAATCGACTTTCAAACCCTAAACTTCTTAATAAAGCCGTAAATAATTGTGCACCTGTATCTCTATTGTGTTGAAATTTTTTAATGACGTTTATTAGTTCATTTTCATTTCCAATGGGTTTGGCGTTATTAGGGAATCGTTTGGCATCAGTAGAATATCCCAACACTCGTAATCCATTAGAATCATGTTTGAAGTTTTTCCTAAACCATTTTATTAGGTATTTGAGAATATAGATCAATTGTTCATCTGCTTCTGATTTATTGTCATTCTTCTTAAATTTCTTGTGAACTTTTTTTACTTGATCACGAATCATTTTTCTTTAAAACTTTCTGAACCTTCTTACCAGATAACAACTCATTTCTATGACGAGCATGAAGGGTATATGTCAACATACTAAGATAATGTAAGCTAACACGCTTTTGTTTTCCTTAATTAACTCTTTGATCCGTTGTTTTCTTTCATTATTCATCTCTTCTGGTTGAATTTTAATTGAAAATTCTGATTCTGGCGTGTCTGTTGTATCTTCCATGAACACATCTTCCCATTCCGATTCACTCAATTCAGGTTCAGATTCATCATCCACTTTTTCAAGTTTGATTTTTTTAACACATGGTTGTTCATCTTCATCATCACTAGTAATGAAAAGACTCATTTCAAGGGATAAAGAATCTAAGAGAAGAAGGAAGAATCTTTTTTTTTTTTCGTCAATTGATTTTTCATTTTGAGATCAAGGGAGGGTTTTCCCAATTCTTTTATTCATTAATTATATTACTCATACTTATATATTCTGGTATTAACGCCCACTGGTCATTCTGAGCAGCAGGAACATCATGACCATATACTGTTAAATCATTGAATTTAGCAACGGGAATAAATGTAGAAGCAGTTTTCACTTCACCAGAGATTTCATCTCGTACTAAATTTTCTACTTTATTGACAACATATCCTTGTAGATTACTTTGTTTCAAATCAATAGTATTACCTACCAATTTACAACCTCTAAAATAAGCTACTTCAAATTGTTTACCGCTTGGTTCAGTTTCTTGCATTTTCGATGGGGCGAAATAGCTTTCTGTGTTTGCAGGACCAGAATATTGAATACTCATAGGTAATAAAGATGCCGTCACAGTTGGAGTAGACTCATTGTGTGTTTCGATAGTAGACATAATTGTTGGCGAGAGCGGAGGAGGAGGGGGATGATAATTTCAAGATCTTCAGTTAGGGCCGCCAACTATTGCAGTTGGAAACCAATAAAAGAAAAATACTGAAAAATTATCAACAGACGTGTACGCGCTAGTCGTGTGCAAACTCATAAAATCACAAGTGTCTTCACTGCCGAATTACGTGCGGAAGTACGGATGTTGAGATAGTGAGAGATTTTCAAAATTTTACTTTTCCTTTTTTTTTTCTTTCCTCCGCTGGATGGTAAGCTCAGATAAGGAATCCCATACGATTTTCTCTTGCGTCAATGTATCTTCAACACTTGACCTTAGCTCACACAGGAAGTTCGATCTAATAATACGTCAGTCAAGTTAATTGCCAATTTTATTGGTAGCTAGTGACAATCTAAGATCTCAAATAGTCTGGCAAATGACAAAAAAAAAAAACAGGTGAGGATATTTATCTCCACTTAACGGCGGTCAGTGAATTAGCCCCGAGTTGATTACCCCATTGGTACATAACAGCGAAGTAACCGCCACAAGATCCACAGTTCTTGTCTTTGACTTCGTTTTTTTCTTTTCTGTTTCTCTCTCCCTCGTTTTTATGAACACTCTCCCATATTTAATGTTGAATAATTCTCGCACTGTCATAATTTCTTGACTCTTTTTATCAAACTCTACGTATTGCGTTAATTTCCTTATCTGATATACTCAAATTATGTCTGTTTCTAGTAACGGTAGACGTTTCAGTGAACATCATTTACACCCAAGTATTATTCAAGATGTATCCACAGATACCCCAGGTATTGTGGCTGCAGAATTAGCAGCAGAATTGGGAGTCGAAGAAGAAGGATTATTGAATACTGATGCTACGAAAAGACACAGTTATGGTGCTATACTTGCTGATATACCAGATCAAGATTACGATATTGATGATCCTAATAGTGGCTATGCATTGCCTAAAGCTCAATTATACACAGTTATCTCAAGTTTTATTTTTGGGTTCATTCTTGGCAGCATTGGATGGTACAGTGGTTACAACTTTATTAACCATGATAGCTTTCAGATTTTGTATGCTGTGTCAAACATCTCCCTGGATTTGCAACTGCATATTTATTTATCTTCAGCAGCTTTTCCAACCTATTTTTTGGGTAAGTTGGTCTGATATCTTTGGTATAAGAAATTTTGTTGCTTTGGATTGCAGTGCTGTTTTTATGGAATTGGGTTGGTGCCATTTGGTGGGGGGTTGCCTAACTCATCTTCCTCGTTATGGGTTTTT